GTAACATCTTTATCCACAACAAGACTCAAGTGATCCTTAAAATTATCAGGATCAAAATTACTGTAATCACGTCTGCGTGTTTTGAATTGAGACTTCATTTGAGGTGTATATGAGCGAGGAGTAGAAAATTATCTGAGATGTCATATTTAATAATACTGGAAGTAGTTTTATATTCTAAAATCTAAATTATTAAAATAAAAATGATCTAGTATAGTGGCAGTTGAATTAGTAACCCGTGTGGGTTTATTTATACCACATAAAAAACCACAAGAGTGATGGGTGCCTATATACAACTGCTACAATAATGTTTTTGGCGTTTTGCTTTGAAATTGTTGGTGGTTAAAGCTTGTTGTTGTCGCTAGAAGTTTATTACTTTTATTTCTCTAAAATATTTCTCGAACTCACCAACAACAGGGCTCTCCTTCCACAAAATGTATGTATGTGTCTACGTATGCTGCATTAACATGGCATGCTCCACATGATTCTGTTGCATAACTTTCGATGCGCCAAGGCTAGTCTCCACCCAATTTCATAGAATTCATACAAAATTCAGAAATGAATAAAAGTAATAGCCTTCTGGAGAAAAATTCCATCCCCAACCACTGAATTTCTAAGCAATTGGTCGAGTAATCGAAGAGAAAAGCGACTTTTTAATAACTATGTCAAAGAACAAGCATAAGAACAACAAAAATGCCAGAACGATCGTTTTGTCCACTACGTGTCCAATAAATTAAGTTTAAAAGCTCTTTAAGAGACTGGAGGCTTTAACATAGCAAGAGAAAGCCTGACGTCATGTTGCCTGTTTCTAGTCGCGAGAGGTGGAGGGAGGCAAATAAAACATTAATGATGAATAAATTTACCCTAGGCTACCATTTTTTTTAAATAAAGCGGCTTATGAAAAAAGATCCGAAAATAGTAAAATATATGATAAACTAAAAGATAGAGTTTCTAAATTTAAACAAATTCATTTATTCAGTCGTCTTTTAATGCTTTAAACGTAATATATTTGAGACAAGATATATTAACCTAGTTAAAAAATTAAACGAATATATATTGTTTTTAATTCTGTACCTGTCATATTTTGTAACAAGTCTCTAAAATTTAAAAATAAATATTAGTTCAGGATCACATGTCAAAAACTAGAGACTCCTAGGCTGAAGCCCATCTTGCCTAATGGTAAATCCGGCGCTAGATATATAGGAATCGAAGGAGTTTCATTTAATTGGATTACAAGTTAGTTGCAAGCTATAAAGAAAGTTGTTTTGTTTATATGATAATAACTTCTTACAGTACCGACGGTAAAAGCATATTTGCTCCCACGGACATGTGCACCTACGCACATTTGTACTCGTAGAAATTTTTACACACGGCACCGGGGTATCTTTGGGGCACACAGTCATTTTCACTTGCGATTGTTCATGTTTCAGACGAAGTTTCATTTCGTTATTAATATTTATTGGATATTAATCCTGATTACAAATCATTATGGAGTTTACGTTGCGTGTTGTTTTTCAGCTGTTCCAAATTTTTATTCAGATCGAGTAGATGGATAGAAGTCCAATTTTGGTCGCCAGGCGATCTTGGAATGGCGAAGTTGTCTCCAAACTAGCGAGTGGCCACCGTTTAATATCGCGACACCGTCGAGGTAGCGGACTAACTTTTCGACGGTAGTGGCATTTTCGTTAACCGCTGGCTTAGCTGGCTTTCGACTGTCCATTTCATTATCAAGTTTACAGCAATCTTTTCGTTTTTGCTATAGGCCAGGGGAGGCCAACCAGTCAGAGACCAAGAGCCGCATTTCGTACTTTATTGCCGGTGTCTCCAAAATGTCGTGTCCCACTGGTACCACGTGTCCCACATGCCCCACGTGTCACACTTGTCCCACGTGTACCACTTGTCCCACGTGTCCAACTTGTACAACGTACCCACGTGTCCCACTTGTAACTCTTGTACCACGTGTCCCACTCGTACCACGTGTCCCACTTCTCTTCGCTAAACTCGATTCAACAGATAAATAAACGGCAGCTCGCGAAATTGCAGCAAGTACTTCTATCTCCATTGTTACGTAACATCACAGGCATTACGTAATAGAAAGTAAACGGCATAAAGGGGTAAAATGAATTTATTGATTCATATGCACATCATTTGCAATATGTGAAATATTTAATCATATTTATGTTTAACACAATTCTGTTACTTTTCGCGGCGCATTTGGCGACTCGCCACGGCGCACTAGTGCGCCGCACCCTTTGGGAACGGCTGCGTTGCACCATTTTTACCCTTTCATTTTTTTGGTGTTCCGCGAGACGGGATAAAAAGCGTAAGTGTTCCGTGGCCAAAAAAGTTTGGGAAACGCTGAAATAGGATGACCATATTTCCAAACCCTAAATGAAGGACACGTCATTCGGTAGAATCATATTTCACCTGTACCTGAGATATATACATTCAAGGCTTAAATATAAAAGAGAGCTATGCTCAAATATATGGACACGTAGCGCCACCTAATGGCAATAATTTTGATGACGTCATAGCAAAAAAAAAGTAATAGCCTTCTGAAGAAAATTTTTATCTTTAACCACTGAAAATTTCAAAGCAATTGGTCCAGTAATCAAAGAGAAAAGCGACTTTTTAAAAACGTGTCAAAGAACAAGAACAACAACATAATATTGAAACGATTGTTATGTCCACTACGTGTCCAATAAGTGACAATAGATAAAGTGAAGACTATGCAATATTGCATTTTCGTTCTGTCAACGTGCAACTGTAAGCTAATCTTGCCTTTATTCGCCTCAGAAACGACAGTACCCTATCCGAAACTACTGCACTCCAATTCGCTATCAGTTCGATCTTTTCTAAATGAATACTTCAGCTTTATTTCTTGGTTAAAAAAGATTTTTACTGGGTCTACTAACGTAATTTTCATTCAAAATCGAAACTTCGCCAAATTGCGAAATACAAGATAAAATGACGTAAAAAAAAATAATAGCAGAACAACACGATTTTTACATGTTAAACGACTATGCACAACAAGTATGCATTTAACCTAGACTAGAGCAGTGCTTCTTATTAACTTTTGGGTCTATTGATTGAACCTCTACGCCAGGGGTCGGCTACCTACGGCCCGCGGAGCACTATAATCCGGCCCGCGACGCTTCACTAAATTATAGTAACAAAACATTCGTTTTGACGAATATATTCTTTAGATTAAATTATATTATAACCTAACAATATATAATTCACAATTACTCGTTTGATGAGGCGACAAAAGGTTGCCGACCCCTGCTCTACGCTATTGTGCAAGCTCCCGTCGAAACCCATTCAACGGCTGAAACTAGGAGCGCAATCAGAACTTCACAAAGAGGAAGCAAGGTTATAGAAAATGATCTTAATACGCTGTGTGTGTCTGTGTGTAGAAATAGTCATTGTTGTGTCACAATGATGTCGGCAGCAACCATCTTTTGTTGTATAAAAATTGCATTTTCGAGATTCAGAAGATGATATGATACCTCAAAAATGTTGGTAGCTCAAGTCATTCGTTTCCCAAACTTCAAACTGCATCCGGGTGTGGATTAAAGCGTTTTTTTTTCTGCTCCGCTTGGCACTGCTTCTTACTAATACTGTTTCGACCACAAGTAAACCAAAAACTTTTTATTTTATTTTAAGATAGCATTACGTAATGTACTAACATCATACATACCGCTACCCGAAGTATTCAAAGGACATATTATAAATATTTTTGATTCTGTTGAATGATCCAACTGAATGAGAATGCAATTTTCGTACCTTTTATAACAGTAACATGGAAAATATTATAGTATTCTTATTCGGAAGGAGATTTGCTTTAAAGTCGGAAATATAATCGTCTTTATATTCGAATTAGTTCATATACTAAATCCGCCATCGCTACATAACCGTGATTTTATATCGATGCCGTACCCATACGAATTGTAATGTGTTTTTACAATCCATGATGAAATTGTAGCGCTAGAGAGTTAATATTAGGGAGCTCATTTAAAGCAAGCGACACGGATAGAGATTTTTCTATATATATCACTGTTGGATTGATCGTTGATGTCTCTGCCAAGTTTTCCACTTGCCGTTTCCGATAAATTCACATTCACATCTATAAACGCTATTGAACCAATAATATTCACAGAATTGAAAAATATGTTCAAAAAGATAGCACCAACAGATTTGAAAAAATATTATTTTCTTATAAAAAAAAAAAAATTGTCAAGCATTAATGGAAAGAAACTTTGGGAGCGATGTCTGTCGCACTTTGGACAACCTGGATTTCAGTTGATATGTATCGCGAAAAACAAGTACGATTCTTACTTGTTTGGCGACTATCTATGATGTAATTCTAGCTTTAATATTTGTTTAGGGGGACAACAATGGTAGACGCGTTTACTATTTCATCCAATAGTTCCAGAAAAGAGCATTAGGTGATTAAGAATAGAAAATTGGCGAGTTAACCGTGCGAGGATCTTGGTTTTTTTCGCTATGAGTATAAGGCACAGCTAGTATTATATGGCGCAACTCAACACACGAATCATGGTTAGCCACTGCAATAGAACTCATACTGTTATTCCAATAATGAATTAGATATTTGTGGCAGATCCCTCCAACGCTTTTAGAAGTTCGTTTGTTTTAAAATGATGGAATATTTGAAATAATACAGTTGTGTCCGTTTTAAGAAGGTTGCTGGTATGTTTCGCCGATTTACCAATATTTTAACATAAATCAAAGTCAATTCCTATAAAATGAATTTACAATGTGAACAATGGGTGTGCCATTTATCCTCATTTATAAAACAAATTGTTTGCATGTTTTAAATGCCAGTCCATATATCAGCGTCAGTCGAAACAAAAAATTGGACATACAAGAAGTAAATCTCGACCGCTGACAACTAGTTTAAGTATTGTCTGTATCACGATTGTTAAGCCGATACAAAGTGATAACAGACAGAGAGAAAGGGAGAGAAGTAGCTATAGGTAACTTGAGAGGCTGTTGTACAAAAAGCGACGAGTGCCGCGGGAAAGTAGTCATTTATGCTCAACCGAGAGTGAGCGAAAGCGTCCTTAGGCCAAAGGGTCATCGCGACGTCGTGTCTCCAAGCTGTGGGACAATGAGAACAATAGACAGAAAATACAGCGGTAGGTGGTTCTGACATTATTTAATAGAGCAGTTGACGCTGAAAAACACATTTGGCGTTTCTTTTATTGAGCGTCATTTATGTTCCTTATCACCCAGTTCGATTAGCATTGTCACCGAGTTTGGCTTCTATTTAAATCTTCAGTGCAGACCTATTCGACACAAAGCGATGTCTAAATTTAAACCCGTCATGTTGTCTAGAATGAATGGAGTTAGTTCACCCTCGCTGAGTTGGCTTTACATTTGGTTCATGAATGCTTAGGAAACAACTGAGTCACGAAGATCTTATGTCGCCGTCAATTCAGTACGATTTCAAACCGCAAAGTTGATTTTTCAGGTGGACAACTTTTCATATACTTAGCTTTATGAACAAAATACATATACGAGCCTTGAGTAGTCACAATGATTGACGCAGAGAACCCTGCAGGTGATTATATTGGAAGTGATGGGATCATCGACACTCGGCCAGATAAGTCCTCGCTTTCGCCAAAAGAACTGAAAAAATTGGAAAAAGAAGAGAAAAAACTTCAAAAAAAGAAAAACACATGGAAAGTTTTTGTCGATTTTTTGTTGCGGCATATCACGATAGTAACATCTAAATTTTCAGCTTGGGAGAAAGATGAATTTGAGTCGTTTAAAGCTGCCCTGGATAAGGCACAAAGACTCGATGACAAAGATTCTGAAACTGTAGCAAAAACGTATAAGAAACTAAAGGAAAGAGCAGAAATACTGTCCACGAAACGATACTTCGGAGAATGCAACAGAATCCGAAAATATATCGATCTAGTTGCCAGAATGCGATGTCTAAATTTGATAGCTCGAGACTTTTACAAATCAATTAAAAAGGGAAAACTGGAACCACTGGAAAAGATTCTTAACCATTTACAATATTGGAAAGGATTTACGGTCACTACATTTGATCTCGGAGAAGTTAGTCCGAAAGGATTGGAACGAAATCATCCAAGTAAGAACAAGATAATTATAACGAGAAACATTATAACTGTGTCAATATTAGGCCAATGTGGATTATCAATTTTTAAGTTATGTTTCATTTTTTACCCGAAATTAACGCCAGTCCATTTCCCAAACAATTCGTTTAATTTGATGGTGGGTTTTTGATGTAAGTTATTCGCTAAAACTATATTTTCTACTGCATAAAAACTAATCCATCAACATCTTCACTCTATTTTAAAACAGTTGTGGCGAAATTGAGACTGATATATGAATTGTCTAATATTTCTGAGGTCAATGCGACTTGATGAAGTGACTTTTTTACATTTCACTGTTGAGTTCGTTGAAAAGTTTAGAAGATTTGTATAAAGTAACTTATATTAAGAAGTTTCGTTTCGGTTGGTAGTGGCAACCATTTTATTATACCCGTAAACGCGCAAAACGGTCTTTCTGAATGGGACAGGGCGTAATAAACTCTGGATTACGACGTTGAAATAACAAACCGGAAAATCTGTGTGCCGCGTAAATATTTGGAAAGAGAGAATGTTCATATGAAGCGAAAGAGTACACTGAAGTTTAAAATGTTTACCACTCAAAAATTGTTCTTAGGATTAATTATCACAAACAATTTCATTAGTTTCATGTTAGTCGATCGCTGCGCTTTAAACCTTTAATCTCAGGTAAGTAAACATGAAAGTTCTCGTGAATCAAAATTGTATTGTTTGTGCACTATTCCTTATTGCGTTGATACAATTCCTCGGTAAATACGCTCATCAATGAAGATGATAAGAGAGAATTAACTTTGTAACCACACCCTGAATGCCAAGGCAACAATAAAGGCTACTTTGTTCCGCCAGCTGTAATTCGTACGGATTTTAACCCGAGAAAGTTAACGATTAACAATCGTTTTATTTGACACTCTTTCACAGCGTATAAATCATAGTTTGAACGAAAAGCTAAATTTTAATGAGCGATATAAGGCAATGATTGATGTCCATTTATACAAACTTAACCGAAACATCCGATTCTTCTTTTGACAAAATAAAAATATTCCAGATTTAATAATTTTTACCTAAAATTTGATACGAACCCACATCGATTTTTAACGCAAACTATATTCCTAACCCAGCCTACACTTCCATCCAGGACTGTTACCTATGTGATTAATGATGAAATTATTATCTCCCCTGTTTGTCTTAGGTCTTTGATTACTATTAAACAAGCGCAAAGCAAAATGGCCATCACTATCGACAACGATTACTTTCAATTTTTCAAAAATTAGGTAGATAACCCATCAGGTTTTGTTGCAATTTTTGATTAATATCTTTCGTATTCTACACATCTTCAATAAAGGGTGGGCCTATTTGGATTAGATCCGATTACTGTTTTTCTAATATAACGTATATCCGAATCTACTCCAGCTCGAAGTAAATGATTAATAATATTTTATATCCAGGATGCCATTCTATATTACTGCTTATTGAAAATGTTTCCATGACAATTTTAACGAGGGCAACAAGTCTTGCTGCGACATGAATTTATAATTTTTTCCTCGACTGTTGGCCTACAGTCCACACCATCTATAAACGACTATTTACCTGTTGTTGATAAACTCGTGAAATGAATTTGTCCTATTGGATTACCGGAGTTGGTCATAAGTAGGGAGGGATTTGGTTACTTTATGTTTATAGCGTCAAATATGTTAAAATGAGCATACAATTGAGTAATGGGAATAAATAAGCAATTCTGAAGTTCTGGATGTAGTTGACTCAGGAATTCGTAGCCAAATCGTTACTATCTAAACTAATCTACAACGAGACCAGCACTATCTTTACGACTTATAATTCTTCTATAAAGCATATTTTATTTTGTGTATACAGCTGCAAAGTACGTGATATGGATCTGCCTCGTTCGTACATTACTCAATCTTGGACAAAAATTTCTACAATGCGCTTCAGAACTTACCGAGATTCCGTTGGTTACCGCTTCCTTTTATGTCAGTTTTAACCTCACCGCTGAACAACTTGTCGTTGGAACTCGACTTGAGGAAATTCTGGCAACTCATGTATCTAAAGGTAAGATTAAGAATCATTGAAAACGGATTGTGCCAGGTCTACTTGGTTCCTACGAGGGTAAAGTTCTTGAAATTGTCAATATTAACATTAGTTACTAAATAAAGAGCTTTTGAAGATTCCGAGAGGGCTATTCTTTGGATCGATCTCACTGAATTGTTTTGTTTGTTTCGAAAACAGAAATGTCAAGATGCGCAAAAGTCCCTTAAAAATGTTTATGATAAGCGAGCGAGTGTCATACTCTACTCCAGTCGTCTTCAACCTGGAGCGGAAACCCAATGAAGTGTGCACTAGTCTGTTTGTTTTATGCTGAAAAATCATTTGATTAATATAATTAATCATATTAAATACCATGCTCAGATTTTTTTTTATAATAAATACACAAACTGTAAAAAAAATTAGCCTACATCTTTACATTATTATCATAAAAAATTCAATGAGAAACCTGAGCCTGGTGTTTCTTGCACATCTCTTCAAGATCGAGTCGTGATTCTACAGACGAAACAAAATGATCATTAGAGTGTAGGAAGTTTAATAGCAGTGGCAAAAACTATTACTGTATTACAGTACTGTATTAGGTATTCGTTTATACCTATATAATATAGACTCTTGGATTTACATGTGAACTTCGAGAACACTGGAGTGCTGGCGGAACCCTGGTTGAAAATCATTAGCCTACTTTATAATCTATGCGAACTTGCCTCACCGACAACCTTAAGTTTACTATATTGACAGATTCGACTTATTATAAAGTCAGCAAAAACACCAATAAACGATCCCAATAATATCATGGAATATTAATATTATCATATTTGATAATCATTTTACTCACTATATAGCAACAGGCGTACAATCTGCAAGAAGTTTCGGAAATGACAGGAGCGTCAACTTGAGTGGAATGGCTTCCGCTTTCGAAGTTGGTGGTTCTCGCAAGAAGATAGCATTTGGCGGGAACAAGCAAATAGAACCACTTCCTGGTGAGGGCGAAGAGTTCACCTTTGAACTCCCAGAAGAACCGCCCAAAGATAAAAAGAAAAAGGGGAAAAAGAAGGGGAAGAAGAAAGGTGGTAAAAAGAAGAAAAAGAAATAATGTTATTGTTTTTAATGCAAGCAATATTTAATTTAAATATACACTAGTTAAATTAATCACCATTGCCAAATATTAGTAATACTTGTGATACTGCTGGAAAAAATATATTTTGTCTCTGTTTTTTACATTTACTAATAAATTCCGCCCGTGGAAAATGTTTTTGGTATTTATCAACTCAGGATGTATTCCGCATGTAAGGTTTTTTGAATCCACGAAAGAAAGAAAATGGAGAAGCTATCGGCGGGATCGAGTCATCAGGAAATCTTACAGCGCAACCACTAGCTAACTATGTACATACATTCAAAAAGTGGAGACGATTAGATCATAAATTCTCGCGCTCACTTGAAAGATAAACTGCGAAATCACGTATTGTAAAATGTACATGACCAACTACACCCACGGAAATTCGTCCTCGTGCCCGGCCAATGTTGTAAATGTAGCCTATTTGCGCCTGGTGTTTCCACGTTTATTCCCAATTAAATGGAATTACATCCGCACACGTGGGCTCGTGGAAAAAGCCATAATCAACACCTTCCAACCCCACAAGGAGTGTACAGCGGTGCGGTCCCCAACCTTAACCTTTAGCACAATACGTCCCATCAAATGACAATTTATGGTAGTTTTATGTCGACGGCAAACACATACACGCTCGCTGCTCTATACCCCGTTACAAATTTGAAACTCTCTCAACTTGTGAAACAAAATCAGATATGAAAAACAATATAAATAAATATGTGTATTTTCGCACATAAATTTAATAAGCTTGCCATCATATAATATTTTAGCTACTAGAAGACAAATACACAGGTATAAGAGGTTGAAAGCTTTCGAAGAAAGGGTAAGTGGTAAAAATTAGATTCCGAATAGTAAGTCTGTTAAATGATTTTTTTCTTTTTTCAGTACCCCAGTCAATACAATAAAGCTAAACGTGCCAGAGGGTTAATATATATTAATAATTTGTGTTACTTCATGTTAGACTTGAAAAATTAGAATTTTGGCCACCATCTTAGTAAATGCTTCATTCAAATTGCTACATATATAATAAGTATAAATGGACCACTGTAAGCTATTATAGTTGTGGCTTCAACTCAAGAAGAACATAACTAAAAATGCACATGCAAATAAAGAATCTTATTACGGTAATATAGTTTGAAATGGGTTAAGATACATATTTTTTTTACTGTGTAGCAAAAGTTTACCAAGACCCATGGCAGTTATCACAGTAAGTAGTATGATCTCAAAATCTTACAAAATTTAGAAGAAATCTTATCCAAACTAAAATCAATGAAAGCAGCACATTTGCAAAAGAAATTAAATCAGAGACATATTCAAGTGCATTTCGAACAGCCACCCTTTAACCTGTAGCTAATTTGGTCATTTTCGAAAACTCATTATCGGTTTCAACTTTATATAGAATTACAAAAATTCTGTGAATTTTATAAAAATGTACCTCTATAGCAGTGGTTCTCAAACAGTGGGGCGCGCCATACAAGGGGGTGAGACAATTTTTTGAGGGGGCGTGAGGCTAATTAAAAATATTTGTCAGATTTCGATTATTTTGGATATTTACGTTCCATCCACATATTTTCAACACTTTTTTTTCAATAAAACGTACTTTCGCTTTACTATCTGCTATTTGTAGCTTATTGTTAGCTACGTAATTATTTTTGAGGTGGGGCACAAGACTTAACAAATTCTAAAAAGGAGGTGAGGGCTTAAAAAGTTTAAGAACAAATTTAAATTAAATGCAATCAAAGTTGAAATATCTGCATTTGAAATTCAGTCAGAATTCTGATATGTACTTCTTACTATGATGATGATAACATCGATTCGAGTAAAAGCATAATAAAGTACCAATATTATAAGAGCACCATAATTGTTTATAACTAGCAGAAATGACAGGATGATGAAACCACCTTGCACTGCATAATGTAAATGCAAAAAATCCACAGAAACAGTGGTCTGATCAATAACTGGTTAGTGAACACAGCCAACTAATAAATGCATGTAGGTAATTCCTATGCTAATCAGCTACAGGTAAAAACACAAGCAATCATCAGCTTCAAGTTTAAAGTTACAATCAATTAATCAGAATTGGACCCAAATTTGTGAACTGGAATAGAATAAAGAGAATTAATTAATGACAGCATGCTTCGAAGACTTGGCAAGCAAATTGCTTCCATGCAGGTTTCCCGAAACCTATCCTCTCTTATATTATGTAATACTATGCCACTCATAAGATTTTAAGTTGGAAGTAATATTTAACAGAGATAATTACATTCAGATGATAAATTACACGAAATGTACATAATCATGTCCCACGTTTTTCACACGTTCACCATGTGTGCTGTATGAGTTTTTTTTTGTAACTGGGAAAGCACATTCCAATTCACAAGATATTTACCATAACTACATTATCATCATATTATAAACAACCCTGAAATATCACATAAATAATAAATTAAATACAAATTTCTCTTGAATTGAGCACTTGAAACAAGAACAATATTGCTAGTATTTGGACACTAAACAGTGGCTGATTTTCAGCACCATTTCAAAATGGAATTATTTCCCTCATTTATGCTTTATGTTTTGTTATTTATCCTTATTAGACAACTTGTACATAGTTATGGCAACATGATATCACATGCTGTTCTTCTACTGAGAACATGAATGCGATTCTATGAAAAAAGTAACATGCTCAGAGACAAAAACAGAATTACATTTGACAAGATAATATATAGAAAAGTAAGTAATTTTTGCAAGTGAGAAACTGTTTTTATTATGTATACCTACACAACCAAATTATCATTACACAACAATCAGATTTTTCATCTAGGTATAATTTCCCCTTTCTTTTTGAAGATAAATATCCAAATCTCACTTGTGTTTTTCTTTATTTTCTGTTTTATCAGACATTGATACTTTTGGTAAATTGTGTACCAAAAAGAAACAGACTAGACAAGGATAAAACAGGGAAAACTTGTCTTTTGCTTCTTTTAAGAGTTCTGAACTTAGATCCAAATAAGAATAAATATTCTTTGCATATTTTCCCGGATTAGGAACAGGATTTGACCTAAATTCAAGCAACCAATTTTAACAACTGATCAGGAAGACAGTGAAAATTTAAAGTCGGTTTTGTCACATTCAAAGTATTTTGCACCAAAAAAAATTTCAAAGTAATTTGATTGTCGCATTTTGTTCTCAATAAATTACATAACCCTTGAATGGCTAAATACGCTTTTCTTTGACCAAACGTTAAGCAATTTATAAAAAGATTAGGAACTGCTGCTTTAGTGAAAACTTTCTGAATTTGTTCTTTTGTTTCTACACTCTTTTAGATGAGACTTAATCTCAATCAAGTATACTTGTGACCATAGTCATAGACTTGATAGTCATGTGGAAATTTTATGTCCAACAAGTGATTATACAATGCTTCGATTACCTAATTAATCAGAAACAGAGACACTTATGAAAATGATCGAGAATACAACAGAATAATATTTATCTTGTATTTTCTCCTCAAATTCAGTTTAGACAAATATATAAAAGTTTGTGACTGTTTTATGCTGAACATAACTCATTATATCATATATTCCATAATTTAAATATTTTCCCAGCATGTAATGAAAATTTTCAATTGATCAGATTTGACAATACCTGCATAACATATATAATTACTGTGAAACAAACTGGATATTGTGTAATAAAATTTCCAGGTAGGTTGCAAGGTTCAGTGTAGAGTGTGTATTTTTTTTGCTCAAACAGGAAAACTATTTTGTGATATGACACAAACTTTCTTGAAAAAAAACTGCAAAATTTCATCATATTTACCACTTGAAGGAGAAGAATTTTTCTAAGGAATGCCAAATACATGTGACGGTAACGACCCCTAACTTACTGAATCAAAAAATAGAGTGATTCAGTGCAATATAATATATGAAAATGACACTTTAAATAACAAACTATAAGAAAGTAGAGTTAAAATAAAATACTACATATGCTAGACCTAAAAACTGCAAAATATATAAATTCATGTCAGTGGCTAGGCTTGCGCAATATACCATGATTAAATGATTTTATCTTTAATTATTAATCCCGATGTGAATCATGTAATGAAACAATTTAGACAAATAGATGCTATTGTCGAGTGACGAGAAAACAAATTGGACAAATTATGCAAGTTTTGCAGTTTGTATATCAGGATTCAGGGGTTATAATTTCAGTTTTTCACAGGGTGCAATAAGATGTCTAGGCTTTGTAGGAATGAAAGATTTTAATTTCCCAACATATGAAATACCTAGAAATTATAAAAACCTATAAGCAGCTTACCTCGACCCTTTATCAGAATGAAGTTGAACAGATAGTAAAAAAATACAAAACTGCTTTGTCATCTTGAGTCTTCCAAGTTGAGGAATTTAGTTTCTCCAACATATTAAGTATCTAGAAATAGGCATCCTAGCCGATTACCTAGAGCCCTTTACAGATCTTATTGAAATATGCAATGAAAACATGCTCGCAAATCTATAACTAAGAAACTGCTATGCCAATTGTAGCATATTTGGTTTATTTTAAGACGACATTCTATTCTATATCACGGGTTTGGTTGTGTATGGCATTGGTTCCCAACCGCCGGTCCGCGGACCGCTGCCGGTCCGCGAAAACATTTCGGTGCTTTGTTGTTTTTATGCCGTCTAAATCGCTCTACCGAGGACGAGGTCGCGTTGGTTTATTACGCAATTTCTCTTCCGCCGTCATATTGCGACATCTTGGCGCCGAGTAATCATACTTTTCGCTTTTTCGGCTCCGATTCATCTCGAATGCGCTCCGATCTCTTTACTGAAGACGAGGTCGATTTATTACGCAATTTCTCTTCCGCGACATCTTGGCGCCAAGTAATCACACTTTTTGCTCATCGTAAATGCGCTCCATCAAATCTCCCAAGATTCAGAAACCTAAAAATTGGCACGCGTGCTTTCTCTGTTTTGCATGCTTTTCCTGATTAATATGACTATCCAAATAAAACGTTATGAATATTTCTTTGTTCAAACCAAAAAACCGTCAAGAAAAGTATAATACTCCAGAGTAAAATATGGCAGGTGGTCACGAGGAGCGCAAAAAAGCATGGGCCGCTGAGATCTTTTCCAGTATCTTGAGCAGACAAAGTAGGATTTTGAGCCTGGTGCCAATTACATGATTTGACATGTACATGTTTTTTATGTGAGATGTTTTATGTGTGCCTTTCTTACGCATAATGGGTGCCCAGCACTGCATTTCATTACGCAAATATTTTTGGCCGTCACATTATTTGATAGTTTTTCTTCGTGTGAGCTGTTTTTAAGTGTGCCTTTTTGTCTAGACTCTAGATGCATATTGAGTGCCCGACATTGCATTGTATTACGCAAATATATGTTATTCTTTTATGTTCCGGTCATTTCAATTTTTCGCCGGTCCGCGAGTACATTTAATTTAATTTTACCGGTCCGCCAGGGTAGAAAGGTTGGGAACCACTGGTGTATGGCACAGAAAATATTTTCCACTGTAATCAATGTGTACTAAAGTATAATAATAAAGGCGCTTATATATAATGGAAGCAAGGATAAAAATTCATCATAATTTGTTTTAAATTTTTTTTCGCTACATTTCTTTTATATGTTTTGCATTTTTTGGTATCATATCTTGTATGCCTTTATGTGATTCAAAAACTTTGTCATTCTGCTCTCGTTCCCAAAGTCGTACTCTCCTCTTTTTTTCTTCTTGTGGATCATTTTCTTCATTTTCGTAATTGTCATAATTATTATCATCCTCCTGTTTGGGAGAATCGTTGTTTCTATTGTCATCTTCTCGACCAGGTTCATCACCATAATCTTCTTCTACATCTTCTCCATTTTCATCTTCCCCACCCTTCTCCTCCTGCTGATTATCTTCTCTGTATTCTATTGCATCTTCTTTCTCATTTTCCTCTTCCTTTCCATCTTGTTCTTCTTGCTCCTAGTAAAAAGCAGACAAAATCCTAATTACGATTGCAAAATAGGAAAATTGCAATTTCCAGAGTTTAAGAAAATTTATTTGCAGGATAAATTATAGAATAGGATTTTCATATTTATCCCGGGGAAGAAAAGTCGATGAGACGGCTTAATTATATGGCATTCATGTCCGGTTACCAGTCATTTTGGGTATGGGATTCGTCTGCCAGATATTTGTTTTCAGATACATGGACTTAATGGTGAAGGAAGTCGTAACTGACCAGCAGTTCTGTGAACCACCCTACGACGACGAGGATTCTAGTAATCCTCTTACAAATAATTATCCCAAACAGGATTTGAACCTACGAACTCTTCTAGGGTAATCAGAAGTGTGATGGCAAGCATATTCCTAATACTTAACCCAATGCGGCATACCACCGAACCATAGCATATTGTAGAGTTTAACGAAGCTGAACTCTAATAACAATTTACATACATCTTGTTCATAAATATCTTGTCCATTGATATCCTTGGAATCAATGCCATCTTGATTAGGAGGTGGAGCATTCATTACTGCTTCAGGATTGTCACCAGCCACCCTAGCAGCAGGTGGAAGATCAACTTGTACATTGTCGTCATCTTCATTTTTTTCTACTCCGTCATCTGGGTCTTCTCCTGGATCTGTAATTAGAATGAAGTATGGGGTGACCCAAAAAACAGAATTCAGTCCATCTAAAACATATTATATGGGTTCCGTTTTTTGGTGTTACCTTGTACATGTTCAACTGATTAACCTTGGTTTGTTACTTTTTCTTGGTAAGTCTAGCTTTTCATTGTTGGACATTAAGTATATTTATGAATCACTATACTAAATTGTTGTTGTAGTTGGGGTGAGAAAAAGTTGCTTTTTTGTGCAAAATATGGGACTAATTAATTTTAAATTTCCAGTGCTTAATAATAGAAGAAGTCACCAATAATCTATTATAATATAATTATGAATTAGAATGAACAATAATCTTGGAGTTCCACAGAGACCCCCAAATATTCACCATGGCATGACATTCAGCACACCTTCATGTGATACTCTTTTAATAGCAATATTTGGCCAACACTATTGTTTCCACTATTATTAATGACATTTATGTCAACATTTTTTAGCACTGGTCTTTCGTTATTAATGTACCCTGTTTGCTTGTGTGAATAGATGAGAGTAGGGACAGTTTTGCCTATTTTGGATCCCTGTTTCCCTCCCTCATTTCCGCATAAAAATTCCATAACTACAACGAATAAAAAGCAAAATTTCATCTCCTAAAAACATTAATATTTGTTCAAGAGGTGGAGGGAATTCCTTCACAGTTTTAAGTAACACTAATTTAAAATTTATCTCAAGACAGTTTTTAGCCTTCTCGTTTGTTTTACTAGTTTACAATTTTGTTAATATTGTACGTTTTGACATATTTTAAGTTCGATCGTGCAAGTTTTAAAAAAACCTTACTACTTCAATATTCAGTACTGTGGTGCATCAGGTATCTCTGCTCCTTTTTTGAGAAGAATCACCCAATTATGAATCTAGTTGTCATGTAATAGTAATTTTATACATAGTTATGAAAAGAGTGGGGCAAGGTAAAGGTAATTTGTGTGACTAAATACACTTAACAGTAACTATAGCGTCACGCTTGATATTACAACATCCGGAACAAAGTTTATTGAGCATTCTTTGATATATTTGCTAACATCAGGAACAAATTTTATTGGGCATTCTTTGATATATTTGCCAATAGCTCAGCTGTGAAAAGTACATAACATAATCAGAAATGTACTAATGAAATACGTATACCATGATGAAATGAATTTTAGGGATTTTATATTTCAAGTTAAAGTGCTGGTAATTATTAAACCTGACCACGTGACCAGGATATATCAAAATTGGTATCATGTATATGTAGAACCGAAGAGACATTTCAACCATTTTAATATGCTTTTTATGATTTTCCAAACCTTATAGCTTACTAAAAGTACCGAATCACATAAAACCCTGCTTGGCTCGAATACATGTATCATTCAATTTGTTATCGTTTTTGTAATAAACTTCTTCATTATCATTCTCGTTCGGAGGGCCCAACATTTCAACCATTTTTATATGCCTAGTATGGTTTCCTAAACCTTATAGCTTATTAAAAGTATTGCTCACATAGAGCCTTGTTCGGATTAAATACATGAAGCAATCCATAAATAAGTGTGGTTCATGCTGAATTTACAATGCTTATCTCCTGGGTGAAGGCAGAGGTTCATGGGGCTGCAGTTCAAAACGAAACAACAGCCACTGATGTCAGCCCTCTAAGTGTCACTCCAGTTTTATGAAATTTTGGTCTTCGACTACAGTAAGAAAAATTATTGCTCTGCTCCTCAAATAGTTTGACTTGAGTAATCATTTATAACAAAATCTTACGATCCACATTGATTCCTTCATCTTCCTCTTCTTCGTGTGCAGCATTATTATCGTTTCTGTAATAAACTTCTCCATTATCATCATCGTTCTGAGGATTCTCCTCCTCATCTTCTTCTTCTTCTTCCTCTTCATTTCCTGGATGTTCTTCATCATCTTCTATCTTTGCTTCAATCTGATCATTTTCTTGGGGCTGAGGTGGCAATGCTTGCTGATCTATTGGGGATCATTTAGTAGAAAGTCTATAACAAGCTTTTATCCGCCAGAGAAAAAAACCTATTTTAATTAACTATGGTCAACTGCACTGTTAGCAGTACGGGGGTAAGGTAAACAAACATTCAAGGTCTCCGAAATGTGGACATTGATTATCCTGGGTTAATGAAATGTTCAGTAAACTGCTTGCACAACATCATTCCCATATGAACAAGCATTTCTTGGCGAGAAAAACCAAATGCAACAATTGCTTCAGGTGTGAGGGTCAGAAAAATTTTGTAACAAATGGTTGAAACTTGAAAACCTCTCACTCTAATAACAATAGGATATACTGAGGGTCTAGGTCAGGGGTCACCAAACTACGGCCCGCGGGCCGGATCCGGCCCGCGACGTCATTTTATTCGGCCCGCGGCGTCATTTTATCCGGTTCGCAATAACACGCAAAAATGGCTAAATTTTTTTCCAAGGAAGATTTTCACGAGCATCGTCGTCCTTGTTTATTTCGTAACATTGGCCAATCGGCAAGATGCAGAAAAGTGACGTAATAATAGGCCTTTACGCATCCGCTCAGACACTTTTGTCACCCTGACAGATTTTCAGTCGTGGTTGTAAACAAAACTTCGTTTTTGCGACTTTGAATGCTACCAGTACGTAACGTTTTCTGCGATACACTTGTACACTCGTGGCGCTTGCTTTCAACGAAACTGTTTGTTTTTCGTGCTAAAATAAACGTCGAATGTGCATTTTGTGCTAACAGTACTGTAATCCCTCGCGTACTTCTCCAATTTCAAAAGCCACACTAACTTTTGTACTGCTTTAATGCGGATATTCATGTAGGTATGTTACAAAAAAATTGAAGTTCATCCGATTTAAATAAAAACTGCTCCAGTGGAAAGATCTGAGTAAAAATAAAAAACAGTACCAAGTTTGGAATAAACGGTCAGGAAATAACGGAAATATCGGAATTTTAGTACCGCCCGACAGCCAATTTTTTCCATAATGATTGTATTACTTTTTTGATAAGAACTGTACTAAATATGGAAAAATAACACATATCAATCACTAATCTTTCGATGTGCGTCACATCTATGGTATATTCACTATATTGAGATAATTTCAGGATTTTATTCTGGCAACGGTCATTGACACCGCCGAAAGATCGTCGCAAATAAACGCTGGAGTTGTGCATGATAGTTTGACAGTGGTTCATTGTGATTAATAATTAACGATGTTCTGATTGTACGAACTTCATAAAAATTGGTAAGTATCAAGTTAGACAAGAAATACACACGTCCATATAAATTTTATTGGTGTCCATAGACAATATCAATAATTTGCACTACGTATAACTGGGGCGTAATTTTTAAAAGCGTCGAATGTTGGGAAATTTATGCGCTAATGAAAAAATTCAAATACCAGATAATAGTTGTTTATTTTATCTAAATTATGTCAAAATTTCATAGAATTCCAAGCTACAGCAGGCAGTCGTTTTTATGAGCGGTATTTCAACACGGCGTAACGGTACTTAGCAGACGTGATGCGTAGGCTACATTTTTTGCCGCGGATTTTGTAACATTTCTAATTCATGACAGCAACGTTTTGATAACAGCTAAACTCAGGATAGTTGTCTAGATATATAAATCTTGTTAATTTTTTTCCTAGGATGTTCTCGATCTATATTCTGCGATATTCCCAACATTTGTGAATTTATTGTATTGCATTGACAAAAATATTCATCCGGCCCGTTTCAACACGATTTGAGTCATACCTGGCCCGCGGTCAAAAAAGTTTGGTGACCCCTGGTCTAGGTATACCCTCCACCTATTTTATGTCTCCTGAATACAGCAATCAGCAACAAGACACCACAAGTTTGTAAACCATGTGGATCGTTTTGCTAACTAGTTGTTGTTGGGCAACTTTTTCGGTGCAAAAAAATTATTTTCTCTGTAACTAATCTTAAATATGGAAATACCGGTAGTCATTAAAGAGCTATTACTTTTATTTATTTTTTCAAATTTCATCTTAAGACCTTTAGGATCCGATATTTCACCCAAATTTTACCTTTTCAATTTAATTCATGGAAACACCGTTTTATTGCATCAAGAGTGGCCGTGTATGTCACGACTGTCTTTCGTTTGATTTTACGAACTTAGTTCCCGGTCACATTTCTATGTGCATACCCTTCCAGTAGTGCGGTCAGTCATTCGACTTTTATCAAATATTTGAGCATTTCTTCCTCATATTAAAGTATACTATCAAGTGAGTTACAGTTTCATTCTACTTGCCTCTTTGTTGCTGTTGTTCAACTAATTTCTCCATATCAGCCTGTTGATTCTTTGCAACTTCATATTGCCTCTTTGAATTTTCTTTCAATTCTTCTAAAGGATCAGCGTCATGTCTTCCATCTTCTTCAAACTATCATAGATAATAAATTGAAAATATTGTGGAAAAGGGATAATTCACAGACTAAAAATACTGTATGATTAATTGTTGCTACTGTGCCCTAATAGACAGGAATTGAAGAAAAGTCATTAGCCTATAACTCGCATCCAAAAATCCAAATCTCAATATTCCAATGCTCCAAGATACCAGGATAGCAAACTATAATTACAAAACCAACTTCAACGTTTTCATAATTTGTTTTGACTGAAAATGTTGATACCGCATCCAGACATCTGGAAGCACAATTCAAACTTCAAAAATTTCAAATTTAGACACAAATTCCCAGTAGATAATTTGTCTGTGAATTGAGGACAAATATGCACATGTTGTATGGGCGATAAGAACAAAGTTCAAATTAAATTAAGAGTACTTTGCAGTTAAACAAATACTTTTGACAAAGGTTGTGAATTATTTCGAGAATGTGAGACTTAAAAAACGATGACATGAGACGATGTAAAAAATGATTTTGCCTGTCGCAAATGTTCTCTCACACATTTTGTTCATTTATATTCCAGTTCAAAGTTAGGAAATTAATATTAAATTTGGGAATAAAAAATTGGTCAGGTTTTAAATTTTTAGTGTATGAAGACATTTTTGCTGAGCCTTGTTCTGATGAACCAAATGAGCTAAATATAGACAGGTTGATCATTATTTTAATTTACATTAGGATTCATGTCACTCTGTTTCTGAAGCTCTTTCCGAGCCTCCTCTTCTTGTTGTCTTGCTCGTAACTCCTCTTCTTGAGTCAATCTCTGTTCTTCATCATCCTGATGTTTAAAAAAAATATAAACAATAAATAAGTCAACCATAAGTTTTTTGTATGGTGTTTTTAAAAGACTTACACTCCAAACAAGAGTCTGCATAAGCATTTACTTATATGCAGGAAGCTACTGTGTTTTTGAAGGTCCGGAACGATGTCAGGTCGGCATTGCCTAGGGAACTTTGAAGATTTTTCAGACTTTATATCTAATGGCATATAGCAAAGTTGTCTCAAGAAATCTCAACAGACAATTAAAAGGCTCACATACGTCACAGTTTTTGTAATTCAAATTTTGGTTTCCTCTGAGATGATAGCCATAGCTTAAATTTTGGTCAGCCAGTAGTCATGTTTGTTTTTTTAAATTTAATCCATGAATCTTGCTGCACACTGACACAAATGTATTTCTGTAACGTTAGTTTCATTTTCTAAATCTAGCATAACTTTCTGTTACTCGAGTCCTGATGACAATTATGAGCGTTCGTAAAATATATCACTATATTGAAGATAAATTATTCTTGTACCTGGTCATTATTATCAGGTTGTTTGACATTTTTGTCATTATTATCAGCAGCAACTTGATCTAACATTCCAGCTTTCTGCATTGCTACAACTTGCTGTTCTTCTGTCAATTCTTTTTCAATATATCTTCTCTTTGGATCTTAATAAAATTTTGATTCATAAGTTGGTTTGTTATTTCCGAAAATAGGATGCACTAAGGGTGTAATAAATTTGGTAGAATGCAGCGCTGGGTACAAGCCCCAAAACTCCAGCCGTGAGCCATAGGTCATCATAGACGCAAATCAAGTCAAAAATTGGGGCAATTACTGAATTAAATCTCACTGGTGGATGACAAGTCCGAGTAATGTTATTTAGGTCAGGGGTATTCAAACACAGAGGTCTCGACCCCACGGTGGGCCACGAAAGAGATCAATGGGGGTATGGTTCGCTGTAAAGTCTTTTTTGACACTAACCTATGTGAGAACAAAATAGAGATCAAATTTGAAAGATTTGGAACCTGTACTGAGAGCAACCATCACCGAAATAATGCCAAGATTCGATCTTTTGTGAAAGAATATACAAGCACATCGGTCTCATTGAAAGTATTGTCGGTTTTATTTTATTTTTTCTAATATTCTCTAATCAAATTTTACTTTATTTTTATTCCCGGGGGTCGCAAAAAAAATCAGCCATGGCAAGTGAGTCATGAAAAAACTTTTCCAAGAACACTGATTTGAATGACTTGAGTCTTTGATAAACGAAGACGCAAGGTTCCCCAACACCCGCAGGCGATATGCCAGATCTGAGATATTCTGGTGCTTACTAAAACATAGCTGAATATCAATATGGTATTGCTCAGAATTAAGATGGTATTTAAATTTCTCTTAACAAAGCTCTAGGCCTAAGAGGCTCCTAAATCCAAAAGTAGTTACATATGTTTAGCTGAGATTAAAAATTTCCTTCAGTTCAGCGAACGCTACTCATATCATTATATCCTTGATAAGACAATGGTATTGTGTCTGGCAGAAATTAAACTAAAGTGTTTCAATGCAAATTAATTATTTCATGCTCACAGTTATTATGAGAAACAGAAGTTACGTTGATTATTTTATATTTAAATATAGTAAAATTAAGGTGTCAGACAATGAAATATAGGAAACTACAAGAGACATATGGTAGATGATCATATCCAGAACACATCAATTTGAATACAACAAAATTTGATTTTAACTCAATCGCTGATAAAAAAAGAGAATAAAACAAAGAAGAATTTCAATTTTTTTGCATTTCTGAATTGGGTATTGAAGAAGGTATCGGAATGCATGAATTTTATTTTATTAAAAAAACCAAATTTAAAATTTTCTTGAAATTCAATTTTTTTTCAAGTGATATTTTTAATAATAAATCATTATGTTTTGGTGATTTCCGATCATGATGTGTAAAATCGGATGAGAGACTCACGACTAGAAAATAGTACGAGGGACAAAAATCGATTAATTACTCATTCTTCTTCGTTAGTAGAAAGAATAGTTTTAAATTTAAAATTGAAAGATCAAAACATTCAAAAAAATCATAAACTGTCAATCAGTAACTTACGCAGTATTTGGATATATCATTATTCTATACATAGATTAAACAAACTACCATTGCAAACTGCTGCACATTCTTCCATGGACTCAAAATTATTTTGATTTCCACCACAGCCTCCCCACATAAATCCACGGCAGGCTTGAAGGCCGTCATAATAACCGAAACGAATTTTGCCGTCATGACATGGGCCAGGATCGACAGTCAGAGCACAAATATCAATAACTAAACAAAAAATTTAAAATAAAATAAAAAACATAACCAGGGATGCTCCACTCCAAATAATTTATTCCCCCAAAATTGAATAAATATTTTTTCAAATCTGGAATATTGAAGATATTGTGAATTTGGTCATGTTTGATATATAAATTTGCAAAACTCAGAGCAAATGTATAGAAATTGAATTGAATAATGCTGAATAGTTAAGGTCAGAAAAGAAATGGTGAGAATAGAAAATTTTCAAATTAAATCATCATGAATAGTTCATGAAAAATTAGGATTTTTTTTACCTTTTACAAATGTATTTGAACATATTATGCGATTTGCACATCCCTGGACATGACATAAATAAAGTGGAATATGATGAAGAGTGCTTCGCATTTTTCTCAAATAAGTCAGAAAATGAAAGCATTCATGCTTGAAAGTAATAAGATATCATTAAAGATGTCATAAAGCAGAAGAATCAGCACTGATTAGAAAAGAAATTAGGTAGGAATCTCAAGTTTATGTAGGTGATATATATATATATATATCAATCAGACTAAATTTAAATCAACCTACCATTTTTACCATATTTTTGTTGTGTTTGCGCAATCACATGTTCTTTAACAGGAATGTTCTGGCCTTGATTTTGATCTGTTCCAAAAAGTAAACATTTGTACTTGCGAACTGATTTATTTGAAATTGTACTCTGTGAGAGCAATTTGGCATTGATATACCAATACATAATCAAAAACCCTATCCTTCTTCATCAATAAACTAATATTACTCATGGCCTAATCAGTTCAGTGATCAGCCTCCCATATCCACTACCCTGTCATGCGAAATTTAAGAGCACACACTCCCATAAGAATTCTCTCTACAAGATGTGTGTGATTGATAACTTTGTAATGAACTTACTAAATATTAAGCAATATTTGATCACAAGAATATCCTTAAAGCAATCTTCACTAAGTGACATAAAAATACCAGTGCTGATTATTTTGCGCTAGTGATTTGGTTTTTGCGAGACTAACTACATTTCCTCCTTCTATGTAGGGATGGGCAATATAGAACAATTTACTATTTTAGAATTTTATAGAATACTTAAAATTCAAATCCAAAATCCTATTATATTTTCATTGTTATTTAAATGTGGGAATTCTCCCACCATATTGATGGATTACAATATAAAAAAAGCAAAATTGTGAAAAAACTACTACCTTTGTATTTATTTGAAAATACCCTTTGAGTATTTTATTCATTACCAAACAGGACAATGAAAATTTAATAATTTCAACAAAATACTTTTTGCTCTGTATTGTTCAAATTTTACGTGATCCCTAAATATTTTTATATGTTAAAATAAATAGCGCATTATACACATCAGTACTAAATTGTGAAATACAAAAAATAGGTGTGAAAAAAACATCAAATTATTATCAATGTGAGAGAGGCAGAAAACACACAGTCCCGCCCGAGGCCACTGCAATTTATGCGGCCGCACAGAGTACCGCACGTTAATTGATAGTGTAAAAGAAATTGAACGATTATCAATTATATTCAAGTATGTTAGCATGTTTATTTTTTGCGAGCAAGACTCGTAAAATATTATCTTGAGACAAATTCATTTCTATTGCAAAATATTAATTTTCAGTTATTACCGTTATACATATGTGGCAACTTTTTGAATTTATTGTTGACTAAAATATGTATTTTAATGGGCGTGGGAATGCAAAATAAATGTAACAAAACGCCTTGTTTTGCGATATAACATTGTATTTTCGGAAACAGGATGCCATGGGAAGTAAAATTTGATCTAAATTAATCACAAATAATGTTTTATCATCTAATATCTGGTGCACATCAATTTCGAGAGAACTCGAAGGCCGCGAAAAGTCATTTAATTAAAGATTGTTGCAAACGAGTAATCGGAAAATCGCCCATAAGTCAGCAGTTGGCACCAATAATAATTAATATTATAAGCAAAACTAAATAGTGAAATTGTAAACATGAAAAAAGGTGCAATAACACCATGTGAGAAAACGCAAGTCAATCAAACGAGAGAGATTTCGTTGCGAGAGAAAACGCTCATCACTGATTAATAATTAGAAATACAAATACAAAAATTGACGCACGGCGCCGAAGAGCGAAAACCGAATCCTGTAATCGGATCCTTCGGGATTGGAATACTCTGGGACTCGAATCCGCCGGATTCGGTATTCTATATTGCCCATCCCTACTTTAAGCTTTTGTGTCGATGGATCCGTATGCATATAATGCAAGGATGCTGTAGCAAGACTGATTAATAATTAGAAATACAAATACAAAAATTGACGCACGGCGCCGAAGAGCGAAAACCGAATCCTGTAATCGGATCCTTCAGGATTGGAATACTCTGGGACTCGAATCCGCCGGATTCGGTATTCTATATTGCCCATCCCTACTTTAAGCTTTTGTATCGATGGATCCGTATGCATATAATGCAAGGATGCTGTAGCAAGAGTGAAGATGACTATACAAATTACAAAGTGATTCAAAAGTCTTGGTGCACACTAACACAAATACATTTCTGTAACGTTCGTCTGACCAGGGTCAGATTTCTTCTAATAATAAGCTAATAATTCTGGAAGGACCGTGATTCTTCCACCTCAACATTGCCTCAGGCATTTATTACACCCCGTGTAAGGTGGTGGGCATGGGATTTGAACCAGAATTGTGTAACAAGCCAACATACCTAGTTAAGTCCAAATCTTTAAGCACAAAAAAGGAAAAATTGTATTCAATAATAAAAAAATGGCAAGTTACATGATTTGATCAACACCATTCCATAGACCATTATCATTGATTCTACAATGATTATTACATTCAATCTATCTAAAGCAATTCTATGAGACTGTACAGCGGCCTAATCGATATATTTCTAGACACCAACCTCCACCAACACCCTGCGGTTCAACCTGCTGATGATTTTGTGCCTCAAGAATTCGCTGCCTTCGTTCCTCTTCAATTTGTCGAAGCCTGTCTTGTTGTTGTTGTTGTTGTTGTTCTTGAACAAGTTGATTTTGTTGAACTTGTTGTTGGAATTGTGCTCCACCTCTAGCTTCCCCAAGATGAACTGTGCAGAACATGGAATAACAAATTCAATGATAATAGAAATTACTTTTATTTCCGGAATAGTGTTTAAGTAAGGCTGACAATAGGAACTGTAGCATCGGAGTGTGACATGTTTTCACGGCAGTCGGAGTCGCATTTTAAATCTCCCTGAAATTGGAATTTTGAATTCCCCATGGTTCATATTTCAGACTCCCAATGTTGATAAAAAAAACGGTCAAAAATTTTCTATGAAAACCTGAATAGTATCAAGTTTACTAATAGCATTTAATAATATTAAAGAATGCTTAGATTGTGTAGGGTCCTTTCATTATTACACCCAAGGTGAGGTTTATAGGGTTTGAATCCGAAATTTTCAACCTGGCTGTGGCTAATAATGTTTAGTCCAACGCAACAAAGGTTAAAAGAAACAGAAAAATAATGAGTAAATATCGTTTATAAGCAAAGCACTCAAATGCAAAATTCAAATCCAACCGTTTAAAATTTGCTTCTTTTCAGATGCGAGACTCTGAAGTACAGGATGATTGAAGTTAATTGCATCTGCTGGTACTGCATTTAATGCTTGTTTAATTTCTTCATATTGTTGCTAAAATATAAGTCAAATATTTAGAAAGCAGAAAAAGGGAACGCAATATAAAAAAGTGGAAAAGTCCGTCAAAAATTCTTACAGCAAGAAATGAGTTTGTATATTCAGCCACTAGAACTTCTGCAAAGTATATTGTAGAAGACCATTTTGATAAGAAGATAACAATTGCTGTCCTCAAAAGCTAAATTAAAGTTAACACAAACACCATGCAAGAAAGGTTATTGCAAAAATATAATGTTAATGATACCTCAGGTTTAATTTTAGTTAATAATAATTTAATAAATAACCATTTTAAATTGGACCAATACACCATGATCAGAAACATTGACTAGCACAGTTGAATGGGGGTACAGTAACTGCTCGATATGTCCTGAGTAATTATCATGGTTATTTATCCATGAATAACTTTTTGCTCAATAATTGTTATATGAGTCACAAATTTCAGCGAAAATAAAATAATTATTACATGCAAATTTCTGGATGAATAACTAAAAAAAAATTCTACAGCATTTTGTTTTTGAGTGATATTGAAAATGTATGGAAGTATGCAATAGATTATTACATATTTGGAAGTGGTAAATCTAAAATATGCACACTCATTATTAATACAAAGGGAAGACCATAATTCCTAACCAAAACTAGTTTATATTACATAATATCAGAGGATTAATATTCTATCTCTAGTATATGATTTATCTACAAAAAGTAGATTACATAGTTCAGTGAAGCATGTATACAATGCTTTCTAATTAGGGTCACAAAACATAATCCAGTTTCCTAGAACAGCTGGAGCAATGCTCTATTTCCACTGCATAGCCTATGGCAGACAATGTTAATTCAAGCAATAAAAACTTAAACTGACTTATTATAGTTACAATATAATTATAAAAATGTATAGTGATAGATACTGCTGCTATGAAGAAACTAAATAGCGCAAAATTACTATGGTAGCATATTATACTGATGAAAAATAAAATAATATAACAAACAAAATTTCACACAGGTTTAATTTATGGTGAATCATAGCGGAAATTTGTCATTCGACACAAAAAACATCCAACACTACATATTGTATAGGGGTTCAAAATGAAGGTCAAGATTAAATTTATTGGAAGTTGGTGAAAATACAAACAAAGAATTTCAAGTTAAAGCCAAGGCCTCCTACATTTTTATAGACTGTTTTCCACCTTCAGTCCGCAGTCTTTACACAAGCAGTAAATATTATACCCAAAGTGAGGTGCATAGGGTTTGAATTTAACACCTTCAACCAAGCTGTGGCTAAAATTGATTTGTCTGACAGGGTAAACACTATACCTCAGTATCCATAACTAAGATCATCCACGTTTAGTTTGTAAGTTATTGGAAAACTGTGCAAATAATTAAGTAAAGAGAAATCATAATAAAAAGTGCGAAGGTTAGAAGAAACAAAAAAAGAATGGTAAAACATGTCAAAAAAGTTATCAAGGTGCAAGTGAATAATTATTAATAAACCTACAAGAAATTACGAAAGAAGTAAACCGCAACGAAGCGCTACTCAAACCTTGAAAAAAATAAAAACAAAACAAGCTAATTGATATTTAGATTCAAAGAAAGGGTTATATAAAGTTAACAGGCTGGGGGATTATCAAAATCAAATGTAGCGTACGTAGTGTCAAGTTTTTCATAACAATTCAACCACAGATGCCCAAAATAAATTTCATTCAATTTGAGTTTCTTTTGAAAAATTGGCATTTTCATTGGTTGTTCATCTCAGTCAGCTTTCCACCATTTTGAAATTCAAAGTCATCAAATACACATCGACCTCTATTTGTTCCCAATACAGAATATATTATATTCAATATTCGATGGCAGAATTAATTTTTGAAATATATTCCAATTTCAGAGAATTCTAGATAAAAAAGAAACTAGAATTCGGTTGGAAAAGGAAGACTTATCGATCGAAGGTTAGGGGATCCCCCAAAACAGTGGTCTTACTCCATAGTGACACTGTGTGTCCCATCACTAATTAATTAATAACTCGCTAATTATGCGACATAATCCATCCAAAATCAATAGGCTTCTGATCCGAGCTATGATGAATGCACATGCAAAATCTGCAGCAGATCCAATCTCACTTTCGTGGGATATCGCGTGCATCTAACATACAGACAAACAAATACCTATCAACATACTTACCGATCAAGATCGATAAGTAACAATTCAAGACTCTTGCTGCACACTAACACAAATGTTTCCTGACCAAAGTCAGACTCCCTTAGACGAAACGTTACAGAAATACATTTGTGTTAGTGTGCAGCAGGACAGGGAGTTAGTCTCGCGCAACCCAACTCAAAGATAAAGAAACAAGGTGCTGATTACAGTGGTAATTTGGATTAGATAGATTAAAATAAACAAATTAAATTCGCAAAATTAATATTGAAAATAAGAATATTTTCATTCCTATGTGTAGGAATGTGTTGCAAGAAAACCAAGCATTTGGGATCACCTTCAAAACTTGTGATTGTTTCATCACAATATCTTTATCCTTCACATGTTGGTCGATTTGTAATTTCAGATTACTAATTTCATTGTTTTTTTCATTGAGATATTCTTCTGTGTTCTGAGCTGCACTTATTATACTTTCTTTTTCATTCAGTACTTTACGAAGTTTTTCCTGATATGAAGGTATTCACCAAAATCACCAAATGAAATTGAATATTCGGATAGTTTCTAAATTTTCTTATATCCAATATTTTGAATTCTTGATTTTAAGAATCATTTAGCATATATTAACTAGAAAAATCATCATTGTGTGTGCTGTATATCCTCGCATTTAAGCCGACCCTACAAATCATAACGCAACTATCACAACAAATGGTTGCAGAAGAGAAATAATGAAAATGATAACCCATACTGTTATGTTCTACTTTTATTAATAACTGTAAGAAGTGTCTCAAAATCTTGCCATAGAGTAAAGACGCAAGCGACCCTGTGTATGACAACCAATCACAGTCTGTTATTGCTGTCATAGCGTAAACACGCAAGCGATCACATATATGAAAACCACACCAGACTGCTACCACTGTCATAGCGTACCAAGTGCTGTTTCGAGCGTGTGAGTGCATGCTCTCATCGTGAAAACTTACCGCATATAACTCTTTAGTGCAATCAGAGTTATGCACGTATAAGCCGACCCCTTATTTTGGGCAACTATTTTTTCGAGTTTCAAACTCGGCTGATATGAGAGGATATACAGTAATTGAAGTTTTCTCAGTATGACTAAAAATTCAAACGTGTTCAATATACATTGATGTGTTCTCTATTAACACCCAATTTCAATATATATTCAATATTTAATATTAAATTTTTTTTTTAAAATGTATTTAAAATAGTAAATTATTCTGTTTTGACCATCACTGCTTAAATCACATTGCATTCTCAAAGTGGAAAATGAACATAGAAGAAATTTTGAAAACAATGGAATTTGTATACTTTTAAACAAAGTAATTTGAGTAAAGAAAACAATGGTCTCTGAAGGAAAGAAATGTAACAAATGGATGATGATAGGTTAATAAATCAAGAAAGAGTGGGATTTATTACACATTACTATTGGATATACTATAAACTTCATAGAATATTTCTAACACAGGAAATATACAACAGATGTAGAAAAAATCACCACTTTCATACATCTTTTCAAACTATTTTTATTGATGTCATTCTGAAACTTGGTTTATTTGTATTGGATTTTATGAAAAATCAAACTAAAATTAATCTAGGATTTACACGATTACTTAACCTCAAACGTTAAATAATGTTTCTAATAATTGTATTTTAGAAGTTTATAATTTAGAGTTGAGAATGGTTGAATCATCATACGACATGACATTGATTTATTAATGATTAAATGGGCAAAACACACCTTTTAAATAATTATTTAACATGACAAGAGTTACTTCCAGAAAACTAGTAAACAGACGGCATATTGACTAAAAAATAAATATTATACAATGATTAGATAGCTTGTTTCCAAAACAAGTATACCAATATAAACACTATAAGGCAGTTTCCAAAATTTGTGTGATTATTTTTTAGACCCAGATTTGAGATTGAATTATGACTAGCAAGTATTTGTATCATAATGAACAATATTCAATTCCATAGGCTTGATCCTTCATTAGCCATATATAATTTCCAACAAATTAATTTCAAGTAATATCCATTTCTAATGTAGTTGGAATGTATAAAAATGTGTGGCCCTTATATAATTTCCCAACCTTATCATAAATAACAATAGGAAGAGAAGATTCATTCATCTATCTATTTCAGCCAGCATTGTGTTACAGTGAGTAGCATGAATGCAAATTTTCTACTTTGCAGTGTAAAGAAACATGGCAACAACAAAAAATCTACTCAAATTGGTGAGAATTTCAAAATGATTCAACATTCTCAAGATAAGATATTTTATGTTTTCTAAAATGGTGTTTTGATAATTAACTTGACGAAGGGAAAGTCAATAAGATGGCTCAAACATATTCATATGACATACTTCATCTAGCCCAGTAATATAGCATATTCTAACAGAATTTTTCATGCTTAATCCGAGAAAAGGAAGAGATAAGATGGCTTAACATTAAATCAAACCACAACCACTCGCCAGGTCCAGTCACCAGTGGAATATGGGAACAGTTAATTGTAACATGTTCGTTGTCCAGATGTGTGGACTTGACTAAATGAAAGCCAATACTTACTTTAGCTTCTTCCACTTGCATTTCCAAGCTTTCTTTTATATTTCTCATATTTTCATTTTCTTTTTGATATACCTGAACTTCGGCTTTAAAATAAATTGAATGAATTATATTTGAAAAAATCATGCTAGTCATTGAAAATAAATCGAAAAATTAGGTTTTCATTCATAATTTCATTCATTCATAATAAAAATGATAAATAGTTAAATCTACTGTGGCGTTTTTATGATTATTGCGGGTAAATTGATATACGGTACTTTACAGCAACGAAGGCCACAGAATGAAGAGGGTCCTTGACTAAATGTGGGAAGAAGTATGAATCACAATAATGAATAGGCCTACCGTAGATAGAATAAATATGGTTTTTAGCACAAAAAAAGAAGTATTAAAAAACTTATTGCTGGGAAATTTCGTTGGTATAAAGTAATCTCCATAGGGCATGGATGATAACTAGGAGATAACAGAACTTTAAATACGAAATAGTACTGATATAATATTTTGAGAATGGAGGTAGGTAGAGCAACATCCAAAAGAAATTAAAAAATAACAAGGCAAGGGTTTGAAGGGATTCATGATAATAAAGTCAATTTGTAACAATAAGTCACAATAAGTCACACATACCAGATAGTAAGGAGAAAGTAATATAACAGATAATAAAAATAACTACAGCTCTCTGTAATCTCTAAACAATAAGGAAGTATAAATGTCCAAAAATTAGGCGGGCAGAATCAAATCTAACATTTATTTTTTTTTAATTACCGTAGCTTCACGCCCTTCAAAAAATTGTCAACACCTCCCCTCACGAGGTGCGCCTTATCGTTTGAGCACCACTGGTTTAAAAAAAAGGCAGTGGATGATTAATAGTATACATACCATGAGCATCATTTACTTCTAATGAATGACTTCTCAAATGCTCCTGATGCTTCTTTTTCAGTTCTTCATGATCTCTATAAATTTTATCATGCTTTGACTGCAAAAAGTTTCAATTTCCATTAATCATGCAATTTTTTAATTTTCTATTATTATATGATTCTCACTCAGTTGAGAAAATAATTTTGGCTGAAAATATAACAATGGTCTTTTCAATTCGCGGCCCACTTTTATTGCCATTATTTCTGTTTTCTTTCCCACAACTGAATATTAATGTATGAAAAAAGACAATGTATCCGAATGCGATTTCCTACAATACTGTAACAAACACAAGTACAAAGACTCACCTCAATTGCGCTTTTTTCCGAAAATAAATCCTTATTTATTTTCTGAATATAGAAGAAGAATTTCAGTAAAATGTCTGAAGGAATAAAAATTTGAGTTCACCAAGAAAATCTATGCTATGCAATTAACTACAAGTGTTCTATAAGGAAGCCTATTCCAGTAAACCTATGTCAATCAACTATTTTTGATCTAGGATCTGTGACTGGAAAGCCGAGGCTACCAGAAATTTCAGTGGCTCCAGCTCCTGATCATCTGACTATTTTTTCACATTTACAATTTTCTGATACCTAATACAAATAATAAAATCTATCCTTTTCAGCTTATAATTCTAAGTTTAATTTCAAAATTTGAGACGAATGCTTATATCACAGTTTTGATTCCCACTTCCTCAAAACCACAATTTTTTATGTTTGTTATCAAGCTCAAAAACCCCAATGGCTTTGGAGACAGCGCTGGAGATCAGCTCCAACATAAAAAATGAAGTTTCAGACTTGGAGCTATCATGGTTTTGAAACAGCTCCCCAGCCCTGATTATTACATAGATTAATAAACTGAGGAAACAGGTTGGAAGTCAACACATAACTTATTTATGCATTACCAAATGATATGAATTGCGTATTGAATTATGAATTGCAAAAAACTTGAAATTTGAGTGCACCAGGGCACTAGCACATTTAGTTTTTGTTTGTGAATTATGGAAGAACATCAGAATATTAAAAATATAAACTATAAATATAAAAAATTCATATAGCAAAATTCCTTAGAATTCCAATTACAGTTGATTCACAAACTGGACTTGACTTACTGACCATTAATTTTTTATTTTCATTATTCAGTGCTTCATTCTTGTCTTGATGTTCAATCAACATCTGTTGGATAATTGTTTCTTTATCTATTTTGATAAAATTCAAATATTTTTCAATATAGCAAATACTTATTTTTTGTCATACATTACAAACAACGATGATAGTAGATAGAACAATGAATTCGTTGAATAGATTAAAAATAAAAACAGTACCTTTTGTTTATAAATTTCAGCAATGTATCAAGAGGTAAACAAAAATTGTTTTGAAACTGAATTTAATTGCTTGAATTGAATCTCATCAAGTGCTACGAAGGATTTAAGGTTGAAATCTATTTATTTCAGCACTCAGTTTAAGTAACAACCAAAAAAAACACGTGCGGGTCTGGCTAGTGAAGGTGATCTGCCAGTGGGATAGACATAACTCAATTATGGTCTAGCTAACTCTGAATGAACGAAAGGATCAGTTTGTTTTTTGATTAAAAAAAAAGGTTGAATATCAATTTACACTATAAAAATAATTTCAAAATTTGTTATTAAATCTTACCATCTTTGATTTTCTGCAGGTCTGTTTTTGATTTCTGCACAGACTTCTCTAATCTTGCACGATCTTCATATACCGCTGAGTACAATAATAATGTATTTATAAATTTTGTGAGGGGTTGTTACAGTTCCATTTTAAATATGGTATAATTTATGGCTCCACACAAGTCTATCACCCAATTCTATAAGGCCACAAAAAAAAAACTTCACTTCAGCATGGTGTACCTAATTTAGTACATAATTGTTGACGTATTAGAAAGGACTTTGACCAGATGGCTTCAGCAACTTGTGCTGTCAACATTAACCCAATATATAAACAACAAACATAAAAAATATGTTGACTTTCCAAAATATGGTTAAATATGATGTAATAAAATGTAATAAAACAATCAGGACTATAAACTTCGAAATTGAAGTTTTTAGTTATAATTGTGGTCAATAGATAACTTTCCAAATTCTTTGAAACTGGACTCATTCAACAACATGGGCTACCATGTTTGGAAGAACTTGAGAGCCATGAGTTTCAGCATTCAAAAAATCAATAAGCCAAGCAAACTAAAGGTCGGCGCTATAATGATCCTAATTATTTTTTTCCTCGCCAAAGACTGTTCCTTTACTATTTGGGAGCCAGAATTGAAGTAGAAATTTTTTCAATCAGAAAAATGGATTCAAATATCTGAATCGTTTACGATCAAGTGTCAGATTGTGATTTTCTTTGCTCTAGTCCAGGGCTTCCCAAACTGGAGGCCGTGACGCCGAGAAGGGACACAAATTTTAGATCTCACAAAGAGTATGCCAATTGTACACAAAGTACTATATCTATTATACTTATTTGAACATTTTATTCGAACACAATTATTCAAACATAAATCACACGATTTCGAGAAAATACGTAGAATAAGAAAAGCGGAGCGCTTGCATAACTCTGCCGACTTTGATCGGAAGACCCGAAAAGCTTGAATAGCAATGCTGACTTAACGGGGGACGCAGAATATCTTAATAATATAATGGAAGGGGCCGAGAGCTCAAAATTTTGGGAAGCCCTGCTCTAGTCTACAGCTCTGATAACAAATAATAATCCTCATCAATGTTTGACCAATTACAAACAGGATTTATACCTTGCAATTGAGATGACAAAGACTTGCGTTGTGTTTGATGCTGAAGGACCTTGGTATCCAGATATTTTACTTGCACTTGAAGAAGATTATAGAGATAAAATCCATATCCAATACAGACGATCAAAACAAGAATGATGGTTGTCTGTAGCATTCCTTTGTGCCTCCTAGTACACATGGTGGAGGACAAGGCAGGCGATTTCGATTTGTTGATGTGAACTGAAAAAAAAAATATAGCATCGTTAACTTAGTATATAACAAAACAGTAACTTAACTGAAAAAAAAAATATAGCATCGTTAACTTAGTATATAACAAAATTTATGATACCTTGATCTATTACAGAGTGAAATAAATTATTTTTCACATTTATCCTGCAGAAAGAAGCTGATATGACAGTTCAATTTTTTGCAAAGTTTTGGATAAAAGGATAATGACCAGGGTGTCGCCGCTCGATAACCAGCTTCAGAGTTTTGGTTCCCCGCAACTTCCCTTCCCCAGTAAAACTGTGTACATTATCATTTTCTCATAATTCTTGCTTGTGATATTGTTGGAAAAAAAATAAACTCGACTTGGCCAAAGCTCTGAAAAGTTATTAAATGTATCACTCTGCAGCTTGCAGAGATTTTCTCCCTTGTTATTTTAAATTTGTGTACATACTGAATGCACAGTCACTGTATTATTCAGCATTTGCAGAATGAATGTCTGCGTACATACATAGTAGGCAGTGCAAACTTTTTTATTATCAAGTATTTTTTGCTTGTTGCTTAATGGAATACCGTTTGTCTAAAATAAGCTGTAATGTGCCACACAGTGCTAAGATAGTGCACGGTTTCGTAGTACGGAATTAGCTGCATCACTAAAAATACCTACCGGTATGTCTAGGCCTATAATACCGGTACTGTGATAAAAATTTACTAACGCATTAAAAATTCTGCTGGCTCTTTCGATGATAGACTTGCAGACTGAAGAACCTAGTGAGTCTTCTTATACCCACATTCGAAAAAGCAGAGTTTATTCAGAACTTACTTGGAAATGGAAGTAAATGCCAGTGGTGCAGCGCAACGTACTGACCTATAAGCAAATACTGTACGCAACCTGCTATATCTGTATATAAACAACAGACCTAACCGGATATATAGGATTGTATTTTCTTTGACCTACGACGTGTCGTGTCGGCTCCCTCTAGGCGTGTTGACAATTTTTCGCGGAAATATATATATATACTGTATAGGGAACTATACTCGAATTCAACACTGCTAACAACAGAAGGAAATACCTGGCCTAAAAATTCATTTTTAATTAATTACACGTAGGAGAAGATAATGCCTTTTCTTTTCATACGCGTATATTATATCGTCTGGCATTTACCTTCAAGGCATCCCGAGCCCGAGCATCGAAGTCCTCATTTACATCCGTAATATTGACTAATCAGAAAGGTGCAAAATGTGACGTAACAATAGACATTTTAGCGGTCGCTCAGACACTTTTGTCAACTAAACAGATTTTCAAGCATGGTTGTAGGCTACCAGTACGGTATAATGCATACGGTACCGGTTGTCCGGTACAATACGCCGTTTTCGCATGATATTTGTCAGCTTTAGTTGTTTTGGAAATTTGAGTATGGGTACGAATCAAATAACTCCATGATTATTTTTCCACTAATACCCACTAGGATAAGATATACATATTTATCCTGGGGGAGTGATAATATGAGTACCGTATTATTTACGACATAATCACACGGAGAACCACAGCCTCTCACCCGGCACGTACTACGGTATGGGATTACGGTACCGGTAGTTGGCCAGTTACGGTACTTGTTTTCAGAAGCGTGGAATATTAAATAACGCAATCTAAAAGATGGTTGGAAACCTATAAACTAGTATATGCGCCAATCACTCGAAAAGTACCGGTAAGCATAACAAATTTTGCAAATGGTACAGGTATTTGATCTGAACCACTCTTGTTTAGTGTAAAGCAAAATGTGAACATATATGCACAGACGGAAACAGTGCCAAGCAAGATGTATTTTATAGTAAGAATCCAAAAAAAATGTTAAAATGTAGTAAGAGAACCACGCAGTAACACCAGATCATTCAGTATTTGCTGGTAAAACATTTGCTGCATGCACTGTCCAAAACCAAAAAGTACCGGTAAGTCATATTGAAATGAAGTTCTTCATTCCCATTATGCCAGATTCCACCTTTCATTTGAAGTCACACCTGAGCCATCAAGACGATCTTCTAACTAATAAACAATTATTGATATGAGAGCTATGAGCCCCATTCAATCTTTAGGTAGATCAAAGTTGAATCGAAATCCTTCTGTTTTCTCCTCTTGTGTCTCAATTGTAAATTTTTTGAAAACATCAGAAAGAGTATTCTTTGAATTTTGACGAGAAGAACGTATATAAATACTTTTCTCTCCTGGGTCAGCAGAATGTGAAGTGATGGTAGAATTTTTCATGATTTTCTGAGAGTCTGAAATATAATACTGTTTTACAAGTACTGTATGGAACAAGAATGGTCTGGAAACTTCATTGGCACCAAACATTTCAACTGGATCATGACCAATTATGAAAGTATTGACCAATAATTAATTATTCTTTAAAACGACATGGTCTGGAAACTTCATTGCCACCAAACACTTAAAAAGGATCATTACCAATTATGGAAGTATCAACCAATGTTCATCTCTAGCAACTTCATCACTCTCGACAAATAATATTGATGAAAATGAAGACATCAAATTGTGATTGAGGAAAATACTGCTGAATACTAGCACAAAAATAATTTCTCAAAGCAAAGAGGTACCTTTGTACCACCTGGCCTCTTCATCTGCAATCTTTTTTCTGTAATCTCCAAAATATTGTCTCATAATTTGTCTTTTTTTCACGAGCGGTGCAGTAGATGAAGATAGGGTTTTTATGATTCGAACGACTTCTTGCGCTGTAAAATTAGAAATTTCATAAAAAAATCATCTATACAAATATGACGGTCAAATCTGGATAATTGACTTAAATACCTATGTAAAAACTTAAGGGCATAATTAAATTGAGACAAGAACGAGACATATTACTGACATCATTTAATAAGGATGTACCTTTGGTAACCAAAATCCTATAATCTGTAGTTCCGCAAACTATATAACTGCAAACAAAGATCATTATGAATTGTCTCTTTGGACAGTTGAAAGTTTGTAATACCTTACAGCTGAAAATACAAACATCATTACAAGTCCTAGACCTAGAATACATTCAGAGAAGACTACAGTGTAGCATTACTTTGTTTTTGAGATGATTTCTGTGACATCAGGCCAACTCTCAGCTGATCAATACACCAATTTAATTCTTTTTGTAGTTTCTGATCTTCAGATATTTCTTCATTATTTTTAATATTTTTATCTTCCTTCACCTGCACTGATATTATAGATTGAATTAAATTCAGTATATCTAATAAGGGTACTTTTCCGAGGTATTTGTGGGTGTTGTGGCTAAGTTTAATAAATCGAAGCTGGTATTTTCAGTACTGCTTCTTCATCTTTTTGGTTGATTGGAATATCTTATGTTAGAGATGAGTCTCCAGCCATAATATTTTATAAGATGTATAGCAGTCAGCAGATTATCTTATGTCTCCTTACTGAATCCATCCATATATATAAAGCTCTACCAGATCATCATTATAGATGAAACTAGAATGAAAGATCCTTATACCTGTATATAGTTACATATCAGCAAAATAATATGTTGTACTTTCCTAAAATGATGAATACTACCGGTATTTTAAATATTATGAAAGTTTCTTTCGTGTACACACACACACACAAAGAAAGATGAAAGTCAAATTTGTTTCAATATTCTATGTGAAAAACTGATTGCATCTCACATAAAACTTAGTTATATAATATATGTGCTTAGCAACATGTTCAAGTTCAACCTATCAATGAAATAAATGCAAACTTACCAGTAACACTCGTTTCATCCAATTTTGGCCTGTAATGAAAAACAACCATAGTCATTTACAATCTAAGACGCATAGTCAGAAGTTTCTGAGTGGTAAGATCATGAATAGACAAATTACAGGCTATGTCAACTACGCTCAAAAAGAGGGCTAACTTTGTTGCTATAGGAATGCCAATATATAATTAACAAAGACTTAGAGCAATTGAAGAATGTGCGATTCGGCAATAGGAATAAATGAATGTAGCAGTAGTTGATCATTTACAGGAATATTGAGGTCTATACTTCCAGACTAGCGACTCACACTGCTTTTGGGCAGGTAATGAAATCGAAATAATTAATTTCAAATAAACTAGATAGCAATCGGAGACTGCCGGCTCATCGATCCGCGGTTTCGATCCCTTCGCTCTGACTCGACCCCACTTATCCCATCCCTAATTAATTAATAACTCGCTAATTATACAACATAATTCATTCAAAATCAATAGGCTTCTGGTCCGAGATATGATGAATGCACATGCAAAACTTGGAGCAGATTCAACCTTGATTTCATGAAATATCGAATAACATACAAAAGTGTCTGACAGACAAATGCCTATCAACATACTTACTGATCGAGATCGATAAGTAATAATTACAATCTTACCTTCGAGATTTGACTTGTCGCTTTTTAGACATTTTTGCCTTTGCAATTACTATGAAAAAATATCTAAAAAATGATAACATTAATATGAGAGTCACTGGAATGTTTAGTAAGGTAGTATACGTCTCTGAGAAATGACACCACTTAAATAGTTGAATCTGACACTTGATTACATCAACACAATACAGTTAGTTCATTACTAGTAATTTAAAGTTCACAGTAGAAGGTAAAAGCATGCACTTTTAGATAAATATTATTTTCAGATGAACTGGCCCGCTTTCAACACTTCTAGACAATTATTGAGAACATCATATTTCGTCCCACTTGCATCAATCTTTTGCATTTTAGGATTCTCCATACGGTTGTAAGATTCCTCTAATCGTAGCCGGAATGGTGAGGACCTCTCAAGACGAAGTTCTTCATCTGTTTTTATTGTGCCACGTTTCAAAAGTCTATTTCTTCGTTCCTCATCATTTATCGTGAGTAGGAATACAGCATCAGGTTTTAAAAGATCCGAAGGCCATGAATAAACCCAGTGGCCTTCGGGTGGTAGACTTTCTATACCACCTACCCCAACATCAGTAGCAATAGCATAGGCTGCAGTGCTGTTCCAAAATCGATCTGCAATAACAATTCCATCATTAGCAGCTTCTTCAATCATTGCAGCAAATGCGTAATTGCCAAGGCTATAAAATGCTCTCCGAAGAAGTTGAGGATGAGAATCAAACTTTGGCCGCAGATGGCAGATGCATTCTGGTGGCGATTTTAGAACTGTTGCACCAAGCTTTTCACCTAGGTTTTGTGTTAGTGTTGTTTTGCCAGTAGCATCAAGGCCTTCAATGACAATCACAGGGTTTTTAGCTTTTAATGGGAGATTTTTCATCCAGTTTTCATTTTTTTTGATATATTTGTCACATATTGCCTTCAACTCCATGATTTCATTGAAAGAATCAAATTCATTCAAAACGTCATAACATCGCTGAATATCATGATATACTGAATTTGTATCAGTGAACATAAAAGCTGGATGGACCTTTACTGGAGATGAAGCAATTAATTGAAACCCATTTAAGGTTATATTACTACCGCCTTCAGAATGATGACTGAGTAATTTAACATAAATTATGCCGTCATTTCCGCTTGGAAAAATTCTTAAGACTTCTCCGCTTCCCAGAGCACCACTTCGCGATACCAAATCAGAAATTTGCTTCTCAACACACCCTTTATCAAGTGAGTCATACAGCACAAAAAACCCACGTTCAAAATCTTTTTCATTGTTCAAACTGATACCTTGGTATACTTGATTTTTATCAGTAATACGAGTTTGAATACTCTTTTTTAATTGTTCATGCCTATTTATATTTCTTGCAAAAGAATTATCGGTTAGAAATCCAGACAAATAGAACATGGATTTATCCTTTAGCAATGTTTGCAATTCTGTATTATCAGTAATGCCAATCTTATCCACATTCTCCTTATTTGATGTTTTCATATAAAGAGGTCCCTTTTCTGTCTCAATGCAGAAAATTTTTGATCCAAGGTCGGTTTGCATTTTGATTTGTGTAGCAACAGTTGTTAAAGTTTTAGAGAAACACTGATCGATTCTGAGGAACAATAATTTGCAAGAAAAATTTCCTAGAAATTTTCTCCATAAATTGTACTGGATCATAAATAAACTAATTTTACAATATTATTATAAAATAAATCTGGAATAAGATCAAAGGGTATTGGCAAGCATTTAAAATCATATAAGTTCTTCCCAAAATTTTTCTCTTCTATTTATGAAAATCATGCATACCGGTATATTACTCAGATCACAAAAGTACATTCGAACAACACATGCTGCATGATGAGATTGGACAAATATAAACTTTCACATTATGACAGTATAATAAGTATATTTTGATTCCCTGAAAACGCATATACAGAACAAATTTATGAACTCTCAAATAATTGGGAAAATCAGGAAAACTGGCAAAACAAAGGTTCTAAAACATAGAAATACATGCCAGTTGACCCATATTACACACACAAACAATATATATATAAAGATAAAAAAGTTACGACATCTATCGGTAAGTTATGTAACGTAATGCAGACCCACTGTTCCAATATAAACTGTTCATGTCAAAGCGAACATGATTGGGCTGTGTTTATGATTTGGGATTTGTTTCCACCCCCCAATTACAGTACACGAATAATTAGATTGATGTAAGAAAATGTGGAATAGTATGTTAAATGAATACTGCGCAAGCAAAAATAAGAAAATTCTAAATATCTTAATTAAAAAAAAATTGTCCAAGTGGATAATATTATGCACACAAATAAAAAAAAAACATTCCTGAATTTTGATTTTAGAAACCTTTAATTTTCGAGTTTTTATTGTCAATTCAACTTTTGACTCATTTCCCAAACAATAACATTCTGAAAGGAATGAAAGTAGGGTTGAATTGATTTGCAATTCAATTATTTGCATTCTTGGACATATTTTCGTGAATATCCCATTGGAGTAAACTCTTTTCACATTGTTTAAAGATATAAGTTATCTCATAGGTGCACACTGTCTGTGAATTTTGATGTGGATTTTAATCTGCTTTTCAATATGGGTTACACGTACAAGGTTTCTTTCCACAACAAATCAATAAATTCCTTCGTATTGATGCCCTTTTGTGTAAAATTTTTCTGACATAGTTTGAAAGAATTACACTTGTAATGTACACGAATGGTCCAATTGTGAAAAGCCTTTTCCACATTGATCACAAACTTACAGTTTCTCTCCAGTATGAGTTCGTTTATGCACTTTTAAATTGGACCACTGTGAAAAGCCTTTCCACATTGATTACAAACTTACAGTTTCTCTCCAGTATGAGTTCGTTTATGCACTTTTAAATTGGACCACTGTGAAAAGTTCTTTCCACATTGATTACAAATAAAAGGTTTTTCTCCGGTATGAGTTCGCTCATGCACACGTAAAGCACATAATTCTGAAAAGCGCTTTTCACATTGTTTACAAGAATGAGGTTTTACTCCAGTGTGAGTTCGCTCATGCCCTTGTAAATGAGATAATCGTGCAAAACTCTTTCCACATTGTTTACAAACGTACGGTTTTTCTCCAGTATGAGTTCGCTCATGTGAATTCAGATGAGATGTTCGTGAAAAACGCATCCCACAGTGTTTACAAATATAGGGTCTCTCTCCAGTGTGAGATTGGTTGTGCTTGCGTAAATTAGTTAAATGTGAAAAATCCTTTCCACAAAGTTTACAGATATAGGGTTTTTCTCCGGTGTGAGTTCGTTCGTGCTTAAGTAAATTAGATATATGCGAAAATCGCTTTTCACATTGTTTACAAGCATGAGGTTTTTCTCCAGTGTGAGTTCGCTCATGCACTTGTAAATGGTATAATCGTGAAAAACACTTTCCACATTGCTTACAAGTAAAAGGTTTCTCTTTGGTATGCATTCTCATATGCCTGTTCAAATTCTGCTTTGATTTGAAGTTCTTCTCACATTGTTGGCAAATATATGGTACATCTTTACTGTTGGTTATTAAATTTAGCCTTGATCTAATGTTGCTATGAACAGCGGATTCCATAATTTACTGGTTGATATAATTTTCCATGAAGCGGAATATCTAAGAATATTAGAAAATATTTTCATTTAGCACCCCGAACATTGTCATGAAATGCAGTAAATAGCTTTAATATTTTTATGATCAGCTTATAGCTTTCTTATCTTTTAAATGCAAATTTTGAATCGTCAGCTTGCTTTTCAAAGATTAGCTATGGCTTTTAGTGACATGTAATTTAGTATTTAAATGGTAAATACAACAAAACTTCCTAGAAGATAAGAGAATATAATATACGAGGTGTGGCTAAAAAGAAACGAGACTGACGTCACAGATTGCGCAACACGATTAACCATTGGTAATCAACACTTTTACAGTGTGGTGTAATATGTGTTCTTTGTTCAACAGCTTTTTTGACACAATATCGCAATTATTTTTGCTCTTTAGGAGCCATAGGTGAATGTGATTAATTGCTTGTTGAAAAAAAAATTGCCGTGCGAGATCTGATTGAGTTTTTTGGCGATAGGGGGTTCAATTGCAGAATGACGATTGGGCAAAGAGTTAACATTAAATTTTGTGTCAAACTTGGAAAAATGCATGTCAACTGGGCAACATTTAATCGTTGAGCTTTCTGCTCCTCAGTCAACAGCCTTGGCACCATTTTGGCACTCACCTTTCACAAGCCAAAAGTGTCAACCAAACTGGTGCGAACCGTTTTTTTTTGTCTTTTCCAACTTCGCAATGACGCGAATTGTTGAGCGACGGTCGCTGCGAATCAACTGCCTTTCACAACTGAACTCACAACTGATACCTTTTCGATGTTGGTATCAGTTGTGGAAGTGCAAGGCCTTCCTGACTTCGAATCATCCTCCACATCCTCCCTGCATCCCACAAATCGCTTGTGCCATTCAAAAACTCTTGTTCTGGACATGGAAGAATCTCCATAAACATCACACAATTTCTTCAAAGTCGCAGTCGCCGTTTTTCCAAGTTTGATACAAAATTTAATGTTAATTCATTGCTCAATCGTCATTCTGCAATTGAACCCCCTATCGCCAAAAAACTCAATCAGATCTCGCACGGCAATTTTTTTTTCAACAAGCAATTAATCACATTCACCTATGGCTCCTAAAGAGCAAAAATAATTGCGATATTGTGTCAAAAAAGCTGTTGAACAAAGAACACATATTACACCACACTGTAAAAGTGTTGATTACCAATGGTTAATCGTGTTGCGCAATCTGTGACGTCAGTCTCGTTTCTTTTTAGCCACACCTCGTATATGTGTATATTGTAAAGTCCTTTAGTAATATGCATCATCAAAAGGAATCTGACGTAGTGTTCACTATGAGCGCACTTTTATGCCAAAACTGTGAGGTACAGTACCATACTTCTGCATTTTTATAAAGGATTGCAAAATCGCCGTTTTTCTTTTTCAAATAGAAAAAGTTGATCAATATGTAACAGTTCATGGAAACTTTTAAAACAACAATTTATGCAGCTGACAAATTAATCCCTCTCCAATGTTATAGCCAGATAGTATTATTGTGTAGAGATAGACTACCACAAATAATATATTTTAAACTCAACCTCGGACAACAAATAAAAAACTATTTTTGAATTTCAAATAAAACTTAAAGGGTATCATCTACTCCTACAGGCAACAACAGTCCTTGTTTCAATGAGGGACAACAAAAATTTATCTGATTTGCCTACAATAATACCTAAGCCGACAGCGAATCTTAGCAAGACACAGTCATGCAAATTGTCTAATTTCTGAACTAGGCTAGGACGATTCCTAACAAAAATACCCCAGCCTTATCTTATCTTACCTACTTTTCCAAGTGCAGTTTCAAGTATTCCATGGCGTCTGCAGCTGCCGCAAAACCATGGCGGTATTTCCATACCATAGCCGCTACGGCCAAACCTATGGCGACTGACTTTTTAGCTGCCACAAACCAATGTCGAGCTGCCGTTACCGCGGCAGCAAATTGAAAACCAATGGCAGGTAAAATTTTGCTGCCGTAACCGCGGCAGGTGGGCCGTAAGGACAGGGCTGTCCCTTATGGTGACAAATATTGGGTAAGTTGGAACGTTTTTCTTATGGATACAGTCTTGATGGATTTGGGGTTAGGGTTTAAGTAGATATACTTCCGCATGATCAATTAGAATTTGGTACATTAGTTTGTGAATATACCGTTAATACTGATTACTGAATACAGAATAGCGCTATAAAACTATGGCAAGAGCTGCCGCGGTTCGTTCGTGGCAGGAGCTGCCATGAAGTGGTAAGAACTGCGCCTCTACTTTTCTAAATAAGCAAGAATCACCATTAGGTTATTTGGGAAACTGGTACCGGTAAAATATTAGAAATCTCTGAAAAATCAGCACAAAACATCTCCGTAAAGGTAAATCTAGCTGGTCTGAAATTAGAGCTAACAAACATACGGTATACCGGTACCGTACCGGTACCGGTACCGACAAAACGAAGTTAGGCACTTTCACGACGTAGGTACCGGTACGTACCTAATATTAGATACCGGTACCGGTAACTGTTTTCTAATCATTTGAATTCACCAAATGTCTGAATGTTTATAAGTTATACCGTACCGGTACCAGTTTAGTCGAGAAGTTACGGCGAGCTCGAACAACACGACAAACTGACAAGACGCAAGTTTCGACAATTCGAAAGCAAGGTATCGGACAGTCGGACACACCCGCTAAAATTCGGGGGACACACCCACTTTCCGCCGGGCAGCATAATCATGAACCCACGTGAGTGGCTACGCTTCAGTGACAATATTACCGACACCGATACTGTTTTCTCCCCATTCTCAGTTTGTGGCGGATATGCTTCGTCCGCATTAATTGCATTCCAACTTTAGTCATTTCAGTGCGACTTCATGCGTCTGGAGCGACTGCATTGGTTTTTAATCTTTTAAAATCGTATACAGGCTTTTGCGGCATTGATTGTATGAGAGGATTAAAAAAATATGGCAAATAGCGCACAAGAAGACAAGGGGGTGCTAGCGGACAATTTGAGGCCGGACGAAAGCACTGAATTCAAATGGCCGGTAAGCTTCGCAATAGCTTATAAGTTATATTCAGTACCGGGTACCGGTACAATTAAATTATATTCTAACTTTTTATAATCATGTTACAATTTCTAGGGAGATTTTATTAATGCAAATATGGAAAATTATATCATTATGTTCAACGTGTTCTTGTGTTATTTTCCAACAGAACACCAAAACCACTATTATAGCAAGAATGGTAACTCTAAAATTCATAATTGTATTTGAAGAATTTCAGTTCAAAGCTTCAAGGCTTCAATTGACAATTTTGATGATGTCACACCTCTAATTATTTCTTCACATGCCCCCTCAATGCAAAAAATGTTATTTTTTCGACGGAAATGCGCGTAGAAAGACGTAAACATTCTAATGCGCGCCGTTACGTGTGAAAATTACCATTAATTTTACTTTTTTTTTTTCACGTTTAAAATTTCTCTATACCTACTCCAAGTATGGTGCAGTCATATCATATTTTTCAATAAAATCACAGGGCCAGGGATGGAATGTATGACTGAAAGTACATGATAAACTAATACTAAGCCATTATAAGGGAGTTTATTGTTAGTTCATTTCCTGTCTCAATCACATCAACGATTTTAAATGTGGAAATCGATGATATTTATAGAACTGGCATTATCAGCGAATTTGGAGTCCTATTTACGTGAAATATACGACTCTACTATAGAACCTTAACTGTAAAAGACCATTATTCCCTTCTAGAGTTGGACTAGGCATGAATTATACTGTGCCTATGCCATCCGACATAGTATGGTTTTAACTTATTCAATTGAGTTTTGTTTTTGTTTTCTTTTTGTTTTTCTTGTGTTTTAATTTATTTGCAGTGTGTGTTACTTTAGCTCAATTTCGTTGACAAAATGGTAATTTTATATTTTTTTAAAGGTTGTGACTAACTCGATGACCTAACGGTCGCTTCGTCACATCCTCGTCACAATGCCTTGAAAATAATTTTGAAATGTTGTATGTATACTATTTGACATTGTTGACGAAATAAAATACTACTACTACTATGTTGCAAAAATTATGATTAGCCTATGTGAAATATCTCTGAATAATAACAAAAGGCAATACGTATTGTCAATACTGCAATATTTTATGAAGTAATTCAGATTTTTTTTTCTCACTACAGGTGACTTCTAACAGCAAAGTTTGGAGATTTTTATTAAATGGCAACACGTCTTCTATGGTTAAACATTCATCAATTTTAACTGGAATAAATTCAGAAGAAATTGATAAACTTCTTTTTCAAACAATCGAAGATGGAAAAGGAATTGAACTTGTAAACACCATATACAAGGTTTTTTCTGAAGGTGATCTTCGTTGTAATATATTCTTGCACATTCCAAAATATTAACAAAATCTGTACCTAAACCACAACATTAGCACTTCTTTGATAAGACCATATTTCAAGTTACATACATACAGTAAATCGGTAGTCGAACACATTTCGTTCAGGATTGGTGTTTGACTCTCCATTTGTTGGAGTATCCAAACTTTTTGTCAAAAGGAACAATGGTGAATATTTTAATTCATTCTTGCACATTCCAAAATACCTAAAATATTAACAAAACATGTAGCCTACGTAAAACAGCAACATTAGCACTGATGCGATAAGGTCACATATCATGTTAGTATGACCTTGAATTTATTTCCCATGGTTGGGGACTCTCAGAACTACACCAGATCTATGGAATATTAACTGTATCATTTTCATTCATTCAATCTTAAAGTACCATGTTTTACGTAAGGTGATAAAAGTCAACAAACCTATTTGAAATATTATATAAAGGATTCACAGCTGTATTTAATTTCGTTATAAATCTAACCTATATGATATTCATACATTCTATATTCCAATTTTTGAAGCAATATGCTAATGCTTGTTTTGTATCATATGATAATATCTTAAAGACGTGATTCATAGCATATTATCATTCAAGAAGTGTTCTGGTACCTGCTGCAATTTCGTTTTTGTAATCATTTGTATTGCTCATTTCTTTGTTATATTTAGGATAATTTTTTCTCCGAACTTATGAGATATATATGAGAATAACTCTTATTCTACAGGTACTTCAGTCAAATATGAAGCTATCGTTTATGCATTGACTTTATGTACTTGTTCGGAAAATGCTGAGGTGAAGACTAAAGCCTACGGTCTTGTGAATGAAATCTGTGATCAATCGTCACATTTTTTACAGGTCAGTTTACTACAGCATTCAATATATCACAAAATTATTTTATATATTGTTTTGTGATTCTTGTCTTTTAACAGGAACTGAATTGGTGTTAATAAAGTAAATGCTAGATTGCTAGTAATAATATGTTTACATTGAAGTTAAGTGTTACATAAGATGTATGAAGAATTCAATAAATTCAAAGTTAGTTGTGTATGAAAAGTCGTTTGAAATTATTGTATTTTCAGGCAAATTTGTTATTTTCCTAGGTAAGTTTGAGAGTACCTAGGCTTGTAGCATGGTTGTTTATTTGGGGAAAATTCATATCAGACTCCGAATTAACTCTAGCTTGGTAAAAATTCAGATTTGTTGGAAAAAGTTTCTCCAGAGAAAAGCAAATAGCAAAAACTTTAGATAATGTGGGCATTTTTTATCTATATGATGAAGCTGCTATTTGTACGATTTTTGAGTTATATAAAGAATTTTGAATCTCCAATGCATGGAGCCTACCTCTTACTAAGCCTCTAACTACTATTATTTATGTCAATAACTCCAAGCTCCACAGACCCTTCTTGCCGAATTTTTATAATATAAACTATTTTGCATGGATTTGCCAAATATGGAATTTTGGAATTTTTTATTGAAGGTTGTAATTAATTGATCATAAAAAAACTTTTTGAAGGCAAATAAAATTGAATATGAGCTTGGGCATTCTCACATGTGACTTGATTTTTATACAGGACTTTATTCACTGCATAAATATTTATTATAAACTAACTCTTTATTTATATAATTACAGTTTGTTGACTTTCATGAAAAGATCTGCCTAGCGAAACGTAAAACTACCGGTTGGAGTCGTTCGCATAGAAATGCTGTCCAGAAATGGTATCAAAGAAAATCACCCCTAGAAGTCGCCAAATCAATAACAAAATGTCCACGTTACAATCACTGGACACACAAAGATGTTCTTCGGTTGGCTCATACCATACCTGAGAATGAAGGTAACCCCTTATTAAATTAACATAATATAAAATATATAGAAACAGCAATTTAAAAACAGTGACGCCAAGTTTACTACAAACTTCCAATACGAGTTTGTTAGTAGCAAATGCCTTTGGCTTTCAAGTTTCAACCAAAGGTTTAAATAATACTGCTTCAGATTGATCATGATCTTACGAGCTCATTGTAGCCGCAGTAATCTTTGAAACCAAGGGGGTCAGAATAATTCTTCTGCTGAAGATAAGTGCTATTATTAAACATGAAGATATTTTATATGATTCTTATTTATGCTTTTCACTCTGAACAAGGCCCTAAACAAGCAGCCACTGATATTTAACAATACATAAGAAGCTACTATGATTTGGGGTGATTGGAATCTTCTCCGATTTGGTATTACATCAAGAATAAGGTGGGGACATGGGATTATAACCAAAGATGTGTGATCTGTGACATGCCAACACAGTTAGGTCTAACGCTCCAAACCGCCAGTCTTTCAATAAAACAGTGGGCTTGTTAGAATTCAAACAAGTTGGTTAAAGAAATTGATATTAATGGCTAAAAATGACTTTATGGAGTATACAGAAATAATATTTCATAAGTATTTTCATTAATTATCTGTTTCGACTCAGCATAGAAATATAAAGTCCGAGATAATATCAATCTTGAATGGTATTATTAAATTAGTGAAGTTTTGTTTGAGTGCATTTAGTATGTAAGAGTTTTCTAGATAATGGCGTAGCATAGCATCCTCATTAATTCGTTACAATATCGCAGGTCAAGAAGTTGTGTCTAGTTTTATTGTTGCTGGTCTGAAAAAAACTTTGGAAAGATACAAAAATGAATCTGAAGAGAAAATAGATGAAGCTCAGAAGGTATAACTAAATGTTCATCCATCATTCTAAATATAATGATTTTATGAATGTATTACAAATTTGCCAAGGTTATCATGAAATATTTCCTAATTCCTGCATTGATAGAGAATCAACCTTTATTAGGAAAAAAGTAAAAGAGATATACCGGTAATGCGTGATGAGATTCTAGTTATGGATGGGATTTTAAGAACAGGTTCTCTTTTTATTGGACTTGTTAATAACGGGTTCCCTCATTTGACTGAAGCATTTAGATCTTTTATGCTAGATCTAAAAAACAAGATCTCCTTTGCTGATTATCACGATATGTGAACCCCCCAATCCCCACTACTGGATATAGCAATCTTTGATTTTTCAACAAGATGATAATTACAGCCAATACACAATGAGCTACTTGAAAAATGATGATAGACAAAACAGTTTCCCAGAAGTTTTAAACTTTTTCACCATGTCATATTTTGATACATTTTATTGTGGTCAGGTACTCCAATATCTCGAGCAAGCTATGATGGTCAGATCATCACAAGATAGTTTGAGAGTTATTGCTGTCTTTAAAAAATTGAACCTCTCATGGGATTTCATACCATGCCATCTACATAAAGATCCCCAAGTGAGTATTGAATAGCCGTTTAAGTTCTGATTAAAACTTACCAGTACCTAATCCCGTGGTAATACTAGAAATATAAGGAGATGATATTTGAATAGTCTAATCCAAAATATTTTTCTATTTATAATATCTTTTTATGAAAATCATAATTGCTTTTGTATGTAGTCATTTATAGCTTGCCAATACCTGTCTATATATAGAGATATAAATTTTCTTCATTTAGTAATGTGCAGCTGCTCCATTACCTTCGAGGTTTATACATTTTGGATACATATTTATGGTGTTTGTTTGCATATTTGTAGTACTATTATTAATGTTTCAAAACTCAGATTTGCTGACATATAAGACTACTACCGTAATTTTGGTAACATGTTAAGAAAATATTCTAATAATAATGAATAATATCCTGAAACCTGGAATATAAAATAGTTTTTTGTCGAAAAAAATGGGCTATTATCTATCGTCTGAAGAAGTTAGACAATAATGTAATGAAGCTAACAAATATACTTGCTACTTCAAAGAAATAGATTATGTTACCCCTTTTGTTATACTATCTCGTTCAAGTAACCTTTTGGCAATGACCACAAGTGATCCAAAGTAGGAAGTAGACAGGGAGAAGGGGCCTCGAGTTCCGCAATATCCTAATTCCTAGTACTCCCTGATAAAACATAGGGTAATAAATAAGTATAAGAATGGCCTTCATAATCAGAGATTACTATTTTATTGGATAACCCTATATTAACTTTGTGAATAAATATTCTTTTAGCTTTGGAAGTTTCTTCTCCCCTTTCTGCCATTGACTGTCATAATACAGAATGTGTGTCGAATGGCGAAGTTGAGATTGTTTGACGCACCAGATCCCGCGGAAGTTCAATTTTTTATTTCCACTGCTGTGAAGGTTCAAGAAGTAAAAGATTCTGGACTACATCCGTACCAGTAAGATTTCTAATCATTTTTGCGAAAAATTTTTATTTACCTGATTATCTGAAATATTTGCAAACAGTGCTGTTCAAAATGAAGGATATAATATGGTTCTTACAGTCTCACTCATCTGCATAAAGTAAAAAAAATGGACATATGATGTCATTTGCCATTATGGTGGCTTTTTTCAACTTTTTTTTGTTTGTGGGTATTCAAATGTCAGTTTTATTGGGACTACACATGAGTCATCGAATACGGTGAATTTAGAATATATACCATATTCAGATATCCCTTTTTATCAAAAACAGCATTCAATAGTAAATTTTATTGCTGGTAACACGCTTGTTTGCAGCTTACTTCATGAATCAAATTTTATAAACGTTCAAAACTAGATTTATCCAAAGATTTAAGACCTATTGTACCTAATCTATATACCGGTAATGATCTTTAAAATCTATTCGATTTTCACTTTATTGTTAAGATTATGCTAGTCAAGACTGATTATCAATTAGCATATTTAAATTTTTTTACAGTATCTTAATGTACCGAGAACTATACAATAATGCAATGAATGATGCCAAACGAAAGATCTCATGGAAACCTCATCCTGGTATAATGGCTGGTCTCAACAAATGTTTTTTACTTGCAATTCAGGTATGTTCATCTGAAATTTCTGGCCATTGTATCAAAAAGGTTCTTGGTTGAACCACTGGATTAGTAACTGTATAGGTCTGTGCTTCTCACAATATGAATTTTTTTGTGCGACGCGAATATCATGACTAAAAAAACAAATACACGGTTGAATACTGGCTCTTAAATTGAATAGTGCTTTATCTTTTGATGTTGTTAAATGTTTGTTCATTTTTTAACCTATGCTTTAGTATGTCCTTTCTCTTTACCATTATCTTTGATTTATCCTGATACCCATCTGTCACCACTCACCATCATAATCACTCTCGCAAATGAGGTGAATCTGGAATTAATTTGAAATGAAATGTTTGAAACTGCTTCGAATAATGGGAATTATTGCAGCAAATTGTTGGTTTTGATAAATATACCTGAATGTATTTAGAGTGACTTCAATATGTTAATATCCCTATTTTTGGTTTCGAACAATAAAAACCATGACCCTGTTAGCTTTGGCAGTCCATGCAACTCAGTTTTTTCTTTTGATGTCATTTTAAGCGCTTGTTTTGCGGTGTTGTGATACCTGTGCAGAAATGTCTCAATCTCATTTGATATTGATTGCTAGATGACGTTCACACTATGAATTTATTTGGATATGGATTTACATAGTAAAAATTTCTAAAATTTTCTATCTTCTTTTCAGCATAACTTGAAACCAACTGGAAAACGTTATTTTATTACAATCGATGCTTCCAACTCAATGAAAGCTCATATTGCTAACAACAACCATGTACAATGCAGGGTAGCGGCTGCATGTATGGCTTTATGTATCGCTAGAACAGAGCAAAAAGTTATCGTAAAAGCATTTTCTAAAGAGTAAGTCGAGTTTCTGTTGTAAGATCAGGACTAAGGATATCGGTATTAAACTTGGAGTTGTTTTTTTAAACTCTCTAAATCGGGAGTTAGATTGGAAGCCTGAGTTGGAATTTAAGTCTTCTAATGTTAGTAATTGAAATCAAAACAAAAACTAAAAAGTTTTTTCCAAATGGCCTTTAAATGCTTGCATATGACAGGGTTTTGAGGGTCGAAAGTTGGGTCTAATCCAGTAGCAAAACATAAAATGGAGACCCAGGACTAGATGGAATAGCACAAAGCATTGGCAATAATAAAGGTTTCTGGTGCCGGATTCATGAAAAAAATTATTTTTCTTTATTATTTAAATTATTTTTTTCAATATCTTTTGGTTTGGTGTATTTTCTCTGACCACGTGACCCTGCATAGAACATACATTCTTCTGAAATTTAATCATTTCTTGAAATTGGTGGAATCGTGCCAGACTAAAATACTGAACAAATACAATAAAGTAAAATCAACATTTTGATTCTCTTTTATATTTGTGTTGGTTTTTTTGAACAAGATTCAGAAAACCATGATAATCTTTTGGTTGCAATTGTTAAAAATGATGAATTATACGACTTGACGAAGAACCTCAGTTTAACTACCGGTATGTGGCGGGGTTAGCCTGAAAATACATGTTTCACAATGTACTTTTTTTTTTTTCAGATTGACTGATATAAAGATTGAAGAAACTACTGGTTTAGATGACATAGTCAAATGCTTGGAGGAGGTTTGTTTAATTTATTATTATTTCACTATGAAGTATACAATCCTATTAATGAATATTCACTATGCCTTATGTTACTGCTCATCGTGTAAATCTACTATATGACGATGAGACATTGTATACTGTCTATTGATTTTGATAAGTTCTGGGCATGGGCATTATAACTAAATTTCCTACTTTTCCCATTGCGTTTTTGTCAGAAATTTTAACTCTGAAAATGTTTAATGACTTTAACTTATGAATAAATTCACAGCGGAACTAACTACTGGGTATCGAATGTGATTCAAAATAACTACAATTGTTAGGCAAAGGGTGGATATTCCAACTTGAATAGCTGTGCTATATGCCATACATTAATATTATATATTTGTATTATTTTCGAATTCTGTTTCTTTGTTTCCTTTTTCTCATATTTTCTTCTGGAATTACTGAACTTGGGCAAATGGTATGGTATTGACAAATATAAATATTTAACTGCAGTATTTCAACATAATTGTGCTCGAAACATTCTTTCATCATATTTTCAGACTCCATTAGGTGGAACAGATTGCTCAAGGCCAATAATATTTGCAAAAGGAAAGAAGATCAAAACTGATGTGTTTATCGTGTTCACTGACAAAGAAACATGGTGCGGTAAGACAACTCCTCGGGAAGCATTATGCCAATATAGGAAGGTATGTTGGTTCAGTTTTAAACATTTTTTGAGATAGTTGAACCACTTGCAATTTTGAGCTTAAGTAGAGGCAGCTGCTGATACCCAGGAATCCACTATTGGCTTTCTACCGAGCCTTTGGTTGCATCGAAGCCATTTTCTATTGTCAGGTGAACTATGTTGGTATATGATATATACATATACATACAATATATATACAACTGATATATGTGAGAACTATTATTTGGAAACACTGGGATCTTCCCAGTTCGGCATTGCCTACACAATTTATTACATCCGGAGTATGGGGTTATGGGACACGATGAATCCAAGATTTGTAATCTGCGATGCCAACACAGTTGAGTTTAACGCTAATCCTACCACCTCAGCCATGATGGCTAAATCGAATCAATTAGTGCGCAATGCCGGTATAACTTTTGTGCTCATATGCAGGGAGTCCCAAAATGAATGAAACTCACAAAAAATTGGTAATCGAATTAATGGGTCACATTTATTTTGGGACACCTTATATTTGAGCATTGATCTTTGTTGCTTTGCACTTATTTACTTCAGTTCCATCACAATATTTTAACCTTCTTTACAGTATGTCAAAATACCAGCCAAGTTAATTGTTGTTGCCTTAAATGCTGAAGGAACTACAGAGAAAGTTGTTGCAGATCCAGAAGACCGAGGAATGCTTGACATTTTTGGATTTTCACCTTCAATACCAAATATCATCTCTAATTTTGCAAGTTATAATTATTGACATACTAACAACTCATTAGAAATATTTAGAATGCAATTTTTTTCATCTAATTGATCAAATTTTATCTGACGTTTTATTTTTACATTTGGAATGATATTTAATAATTTGAAGTTTGATGTGTTCAGTGTAGAAAGAGCACAATTACATGATGTTATATTACGAATACATCCATGAATATTCTTCAATATGAACAATATCTCATGACATTAACAGTGAAAAAGAAATAACAATTTATGTTTTTACCGCATATTGTGTGTCAATTTTGTTGTTCTAAAATGTGTTTATTATGAAACTGAGATATATATACTCGTTTTTTTCCAAAATTTACAATATTGAGTGAATCTAGTTTTGAACGTTTTCAAAATTTGATTCATTTTCCCCCCAGCTTAGTTCTTCTATTGATTTACATCTCATAAGTCGTAAACTTCAACTGTCCTGGTCATTTTTACATCCAGGTGCTGGTTTGTATACACTATTAAATTATATGCTATCTTATTTAAAGAACATAAGAATAAACATACTAGCAAACTCTTCATATCATTCGGATACACTTGGGTGCGACAGTATCAGGGGCTTGAATGAAAATCATCTCTCATTCACATATTCATCTAACAACACTTCCGCCATTAGGGACACAAAACATCAATAATTTTCTGTGCTTCAAAATTATGTCTGCCTGATTTTGGCTCTTCAGTTTGCTGCCCCATGTACCAACTTACTTTAGAAATAATGTTTTTGATCTTGCCTGTCATTCAATGTATTCTACATAAATTGCTATAAAATGAATTATTTGTTCACTTTTCAATTTGATAGTTGAAAAATTGCACTTTGTCAACATATATTTGATGAGCAGAGCCATTGTTATGTTTTAACATTTAATTTAATGAGGATGACTTTTTCATAACCTTTCCTGTATGCATGTTATATCGTTTTGTGATATTTTCAGATTTTGTTGGGCGACTTTCAAACGTTTTTACCTTTACAATAACGATTGAGAAACAGGTAGCTAGATATTGAAATCAATTTCATATGGAATTTTTTACAATGTCTTGACAGTGTAACTCACAAACAAAGGTGGTGGTATCAAAATATATCTAAATTTATGAGGTCTTACATATAGAAAAAAATCTTCAGAATGAAATAAGCGCATGACAAGCAGCAATTTCTAGTCTGTTCAAAGTGATCGTTGATCAAAAGTTAACTGGCATGTGAAATGCTCTAGCAATCTTCTTATACATGACCATTGGATTGGAACTTCAATGTTTCACGCTTTGTAATTTATCTAGTCTCTAGTGTGATACAGATGTTAGAAAATTGACATGGATTCTTGTTGAACCTTATACTGGACTGGTTTTCATGCGGCAACAGACCAGAATTCTAATTTGTAGGATGAAACGCAACGAGTGGAGTTGTTAGTTTTTGCCTATTATATTACACTTGCTTTCCTTGCGTTTATGTAATTTTTCTCTTGAACTGAATCATTAGTATGTATTATTATCTTATTTCCATTTATTTTCCTAGTTGCTAAGAATTAGCTAGCCTATTAATCTTTAAATTTTGTTGTTGAACTGTCATTAGTAGGACTTTATAAAGCCTTTCTGTCAAGTACTTGAATTCGAATTTTTTGTTTCCAATAAAAAATGTCAGATTTTATATTTTTTTTTCGTTAGGCTTAGCAATTCTTTTTTCAAGCAAAGTACGACATCATTTTGCAAAATATAGAACAATTCATTTTATTCAAGAGGAATGAATAATGATTATGTCTATGGATGGCACAGATTGGTTTCTTAATGTTTGAATGCAAAATTTGTTTATTCCCACTGTTCTTATCACTGAGCTTACTTTTACATACATTCATAGTGAACCTTGTCATTGGTGGAATTCTGTGGTTTGAAATATCTTGCTCGGATAAATAATTTATTTTGAACTCCACCATGGTATGAAAAAATAATAACACAGGGAGTGGATATTCGGAGGAGTTGCCCAAAGTTTTATGAGAACAGTTGGTTTTAAAACGAGGAAGAGGTTCAAACCCATGTTTACTTTATACATACTGACAAATAATAGAAGTTTTTGTGGGTAATGGCGTTGCTATGAAATAGATAGAGTTGTAAGTTTGTAAAGATGTCATTAACAATGTAGATTCCTCTATGTAATGGGGGTTAAAATAAACACTGGCTTTTGATTGAATCATTTAGCCCGTTTAATTAACTGCTTTTAATTTTTATGCTTTCGCCCAATTCTTATTGTTCTACCATTTTTTTGTTATAATCTTTAATGAAACACTAAAAAATAAAGTCAACTTGATGCATATTGTTACAAAATTTTGAGGCGTGTTGAAAGACTCTCTCCCAGAGAAAGGGCTTACCCCAAAATTCCATTCTTATTTTAAAAAGGTGATTTTTATAAATTTGTAATGTACTGTTATTTTGCAACACATCTATTGCGTATTCAATCAATGTTAACTTCTTATTCGATTCTTTTTGCTCCTCATCATGGCCTATTTAACGATCTTCGTGCCGATAACCGAGAATAAAATGAGACGAGCTTGCTTGAAATAACTGACTTGGAGTAACCTAGATGTGGTTGAGTAGTCATGAAGTTAGGTAGTAAACGTTTCACTGAGTTTTGTTTCGACTATTCGATGCTGGTGTCCTATGAACCAAAACAACATCAACAACAAGGGTCGGTGTGAAACGGAGTCAGTAGAGCGATAAATGCGACGAATTTCACAAATGGAAGCTCTTTGTTATAACCGCAAATAGAATCTATTGACAAATCAAATACGTAGATAGTTTTATAGTTCCTACATATAAATCGGCACTTTAGTTTGTCTGTGAATAAAATCTATGACATCAAAGACTGCAATCGCAAAAGTAAGTTTTAATTTTTCATCTTAGACAACGCTAGACTCTGTTAGGATTTTTCTGACAGTTTTTCGTATGTAAATCTTAGCAGTTGTAGGATTTGTACTGGGATATCAGAAGTTAAAATTGACAATGTTTCACTCATCAATACAAACACGGGAAGAATGTAAAGGCTTCGGTTAAATAAGGTATCGATAAGAACAACGCCATGAACAAAAACTGTCGTTGATTATTCGGCGCTAGGTGTACATACATAGGGATTGCTCAGCTAAATTGTTGTTGTGCTTTTTGAGCTTGTTGTTGTCGTAAAACAATGCTTTTTTTGCAACTACTAGACCAATAAATTTCACATATTCAGTACTTGAAGATGTATTAGGTCGCTAGAAGGCTTTTTTCAATTTTTCGGAGTCATACGAGAGACCGATATATCATCCAAACCTTGGTTTTTTAAATTTAGTTGGATCCCTGTTTTATCGTTTGACATATGAGCTCATATATTTAAGAGCTGCACTTTTCTTTGAAATGAAGCAGATTGTCACTTGCTGTTTGCGATTTCTAGAAAAGGTATCGATCGCACCAATATCGCAATGTAAACTCAAAGTAGCTCTTGCATTTACAGTGACTTCCCAGCAACGTGACAAAATACATTCTCCATCTTCCCGAGAAGAAGATAATTCACAAGAAGCCGAAGGACCGAATGGTAAATATTCAATTAGTCCAAAGCTTCAATAAATATATATGTGGAATTGGTTAAGAGCCATAATAAATGTTGTGTCGGTATAATTAAATGAAAGACAATGGAAATATGGTCGCCTTCCGCAATGCTCAATATGCAAAGGGACCATAATATATTATATAACTGTGGTATGTAGAGGCCACGGAAGAGGACACACATCATTGGGTGCTCCCGAAGTATGTACACCAAGTTGTCGCACAGCCTGAACATAGTAGGTGTACCAGGTTATGGTGATCAAGTTGTGCGCCATCTTGGTGCACATACTTCTGGAGTGCCCATCATTGACCAACGGGTTTTATGTGTGTTATCTACCTTTGGATTGAAACGGCAGAACGACGAAATGTTTTTTTTTATTTACCCCTATAAATTAATTTTTAGCCTTGATAATATTCGACAGCAATTCAGCAACAATACAAAAGTTTAAACCCGAATCCGACGATTGGGATACTACAGATAATGTTGGTATTAAACTTTAATATGTTTGTCGTGTTTGATTGTTTAAATGCATATACATGTATGTTGTAGGTTATAGATTATATCTAATTCAATTATATTACGCTTGGTATATTATGGAGATTTGAAATTCTTTAATTAAAATATTTTAGCACTCCGTCAAAAGGGATACATATCTTCGCGTGAATTTCATACTCCGAATTCAGTCTCGTAAAGAATATACAAAAAATCCTTTACAATAATTTGTAAGGTCGAAATTACTTCCAACGTCTTGAGCCCACTTTTGTTAAATTAAATACGTAGTTATCCTTGTTTTTCATTCTATAACTTACTTTGTACATTGATGGCACCGGATGATATTACTCTTATTTTCGTATCAGGGATTCTCGGAAGATATGAAGAAATGGGGTTTTTCGGCCGCAGTCTTAGATAAAGCTCTGCTGATTTTTATGAACAACAAAGCAGTGTATAGATATCAACGTAAGAAATCAATAATTTCCTGGCATAGATTACCAGATATGACAACAATACACGGCCAACGACCTCCAGCTGTTGTATTAAATGGTAACTTCTTTGCCAATTTTGCCAATACCATTGGATTATTTTTTTGTTTTTATGAGGTTTATTTAAGCAAAGGCTATTTTACCATTATTGTACCTAAATTCATGCTTGCTTCAAGAACGCGCATTGTCCATCGTTCTACATGCAATTGTGTGCAAATATGTTTCAATCGCTTTTGTTTTGCAAACAACGTCTTCATACAATTTTGATTGAATCGATGTTCTCTTTCAAATATATCAAGTTTATTCTTAAAAACTAGCTACACACTTCGCATTTTAATCCTCCAGTTTCACATTTTTCATAGATACGATGTACGCTATAGGAAGTGCAGGCGTGGGTTTACACACTAACAAAGGCGAAAAATACAGCGTTTCCCGAAGAAAATGGATGCTCATAGAGAATATGGTTGTAGCGAGAAGAAACCATTCCATAGTTGCAACTGAAGGTAAGACATTTGCAAATACCGACCCTGTTAGAAAATGTAACGTGTATGGACCTTTGACCCCCGAAAAATTCTTCCTATACCTTACCATTGCAAAATGTTCGGGGCTATTTTAAAAGTGCTTTTGCGAATTGGCGCCTGTAAAATGGGGTACGTGTTTCAAACCATCATTATGATTCATCGCATGCAACAATCTGTTTTTTAAAAGTATCGGTAAAGAAGTTTAGCCTAGTCTATCACAGCTATTTTCACTAATTTTTTATTACTGCAGTTAAATTAAAACTCTCAGGAAGACAGAGTTATCATTGAATTATCTGATTTATATTCAAGATTCCGAAACACAACTGAAAATTAACTAGTAGAGTTCAAAAACGCAAAAACGAGGTTATGTTTACGACCACGCTTGAAAATCTGTCTGAGTGAGAAAAGTGTCTGAGCGGATGCGAAAAGGGAGCACTGTTACGTCTCTTTTTGCATCTTGCTGATTGGCTAATGTCACGAGGTAAACATGGAAGTCGATGCTCGGGGAAAGGTTCATAGGATATTTATGTTGGGGATATTATATTTGAAGTGCGATACGTTTAGTGCAGTCAGTCACGCATAAAAAAGTGTCTTCAGTCTCTACAAACAGTTACGAACTTTTGTACAGTATGTTAACGTAATCATACCCAGTATATTCTTTGTACAGCTGAAGTATATATCGTCACGCTAATAACCAAATTACGTAAGTCACTATTTTGAAATTTCATTTGATGGATGCCGAAACGTATAAAAGAAAGATAATATGTGACTTGCACATTGTTTGTGGTGGAGCGTAAGACTATTATGGCGTCACAATGATCAGAGACGTGAAAACTATTTGGATCAAGTTCCATTTGCGGCACATTGTTGCAATTGTTTCGTAATGATGAATTATCATTGTAGCGTACGGCCATTTAGACGCCAAAACAACAAAGAGATTTGTACGTGAAAATGACCTATCTTATTTGTGAAAACCATCTGAGTCAAGTTCCATTTGCGGCAAACACCGTTTGGGTAAACACGGTCTTACGACAAAAAAAGTCCAATAACACAACAAGCGTCCCGGGAATCTTGATCAAACAATATAAAAAGTTATTACATTCTTCACATGCCAACTCTTTCGTTAATATTTCTACATTATGTTAAACAACCGATTAACCGTCATGCCATGGGTGTAGCAACGAAATATCAGTCAATTTATTACCCGCTGACAACAAATTACATTTTACTTTATATATATGGTGTACGATGCATTATTTCCAATATTGTTTATTGCCGATGATTATAGGAAAAAAAACAGACCATGATTTATTTGTATCTAACGTTGTTTTGATGTATTATATAACAAATAGTGCAAAATTATTGTAAATTGTTTCAATTTTGTTTAGAAACCTAAATATACCTGATGCAAGTCACTCGGCTCGTTTTATGACAATGTATAATTTAAACATGTACATTAACATCGCGTTTTGTTTGAAACAGGATCGATATACTGCTTGGGGGGACAAAACGAAAAAGGAACTCTGTTGTCTGTTGAAGCGTTCGATGCAACAACTAAACATTGGTCGAAAGTTGCCGATCTTCCCGAGCCGAGACATTCTGCAGCAGCTGTGGCCTCCGGATCGGATATATTTGTTATGGGTAGGTGTCTTCATAGTAAAAATCTGCAATGAACAATTTTGAGCAAATGTCGCCACGCAGTTCAAAATATACATTGAAGTTAGATTAGATGCGACTAGATCTTAATTATACTCATTGTATTATTAGCATATTTTTATAAGAATCTCTTCACGGATTGGGCCACGTGCACTCATGTATATACAGAGAAAAAGCATTCATATTTGATGTCTGGAATTACCAATAAAAATAGAACAAACACGGAAAAGAACTAAACGTCGTTAAGATCGAGACAACAGGGTATTTATGCTCGTAGGCGTGCTACATAATCGGTTGGCGCCATTTATAGATGTAATAATAATAGATATATATTATTTAATTTTATTTAAGGTGGGTTTGTTAACGGAAAAAGGAGACACGATATGATCTGTATAAGCATCCCGAGTGCATTATGCATAACTCTAGCTCACATGAATATGACGCGAACAACATTTTCATCATTTATTATCGACGGTAAAATATTTGCGGTCGGAGGTGATAACAGGTAATATATTTATGATTTTTATTTCAAAAACATTATATTTTCAATGAACCCCGAATAAACCAAATTTTCCAGGACCCATTGTAACCTAAGTATAAAAAATTAGCATTTTGTCTGTCGATGTCATTCATAATTATTAGCCACAAAAAGGCTATTTCAGTCCACGACAGTATTCCGAAAGTTAGATAGTTCATTACTTTTTTTCATCCTGATGATTTTTTAGTATCAATATATATATGCAATATACAAGAATTCCTATTAATTTTTGACTACGCAAATGACGGACCTATATGGGCTATGACGAAAGGGCCGGATCATGCTCTTTAGAGAAGCACTTAAAGATTTTGATGCCCTACGTATAAAAAATAAGAATAATGTAATAATTCAGTATAACCCAATCCACATTTATTTTTTCTTGGCTGTGCCGGCCTCTTTTTATTAGATGTTGCTGAATTCCCTGTGTTGGCCTCTCTGGTTTTATTTCAGCTGATTTCCATATCCACTCCCTCCATCTTTAAAATGTGCTTCGCTTTTTTCATTCCTTTACGACTTGCGACGACTCCATATTTATTTTAGCTACTGGCTCCTCTGGTTTTATCACTCCGTATTTATTTTTTCTTAGCTGCCCCAACCTCCATCGCAGATTTATATTTGTTCTCCGACCCTCCATCTCTGATTTCTTGCTGCAGGCTCCTCCGGTTTCTGTTTTTGTAATCCACTACATATTTATCTTAACCTCGGCTGCTCGCTGCTTACATTGTAATAATACATGTGTGTAAGCTTTATAACATCTCTTCCAATTACTTTCAATATTTTAATGATTTTGCGTATTTGTATTTAGTGTGCCTAGATGCGAAAACGAATTTAATTCGTATTAGCTGCGCTGTTATTTCATAGATATTGCGGTATGTTACTTACTATGTATTTGTTTGTATTATTTGATATGGACCTTAACGCTCTGGAGTAATGAACAAGTTGAATTTCATAAACTAGTTTAAAAGTATAAAATGTTTCCCGGCCGTTCATTAAAAATGAAACTGCTTACCAATGTAGTATATGTTATTATTTGAGAATTTCTTATTTTTTCAAATTTTTTTTTGTGACTGGTTTAGTCGTCACGACACTGTCGAAGTCTACGATGCAGAGAAAGATTCTTGGGAGTTCATGGATATCTTGGCCACATTGCAGATAGAGGCAGCAGTGAGCATGAGACTATGAAACGTCATTCGAATTTCTACCGACTAATTTTGAAATCATATTGGATTGCAACATGAGAAATCATGTACTGGTACTTTATCATGCGTTAAGTATTCCTTCGTATTATGCATACCTCAATGTACTGAAGCTCGAGATTTAAAAACAAAAGCGCTGTTTTTCTGCCTTAGGCGGTAGAGAAACGTCAAGTATTTACTTATTTTCCAAATTTTATTTCTGATCACAATGTACGTTTATTCTTAGATTTTATTTCAATAATCCATTGATTAATGTAATGTTTACATATATATATATATATATATATATATATATATATATTGCAAATTACTGTTCCTATGTTACCAAGAGCAATTACTTTCAAATCTCTATGGCTTGAAAATTTTATTCTCTTGGTGCCGTGCGTGTCGCAATTCATACTCAATTGGCCGTAGAAAACTTAGTCTCTATAATATCTTGAGCCAGTATCATATATGGATTATGAATAAAATCTGCTCTAATAGCAAATATGCAATACTGTACATAGAATTGAATGTTTTCCTGAGCATCGATTTCTTTGTTTATTTCGGTAACAATTACAAATCAGCAATAAGTCAACAATGACATAACAATTACAATTTCTGCAAGCCGCTCAGACACTTCTTTCGCTCTGACAGATATTCAAGCATGCTTATACTGTTAAACATTGCCTCGTTTTCGTGATTTGGCCTGTTATATGTCTGTTTTCAGTAACGTTTCCAAAACATAGTTGTAAATGAAATAACTTTATTGTTAGTATGTTTTCCGAAGACCTTCAGTTTAGTTGCACTAATCAAAAATTGATCCCGTAAACGCTGCGATAGTTCAGCCTAAAATTAGCATCAGTACCTTTAAGACAAATGCCACGTGGTTCAATGTTTTCAATGCAAACGATAGTTTTGAACAGTTAAACCAGATTGTAAATGCCAACTCTCCAAATTAGCGTCCGAAATTTTGCAATGGTAAAGTATAAAGAATATAATTTTTCAAGGGTCGGAAAACGTCCATTGAGATAGATATTAAATTCACGCTGCACAAGATTGTCTGTCGGCTTAAAAAAACTGTGGCGTAAGCTGAGATGGATTTTGCTTGCTGGGGATGACAGGGGTTCATGGTGGAGACAAATAAAATTCATTTGCCTGAGAGGCGGTTTTTAGCTAAAGTAGGCTACAGCATTGCTACAGTACTTGCATTGTTCCAAAACGCGCAAGTTGACAAGCAAAGTTCAAATATATGTTTAGCTGACAATAAGTGGCTCGATCCAGGACATATAACTTGCTACTCTGGTGTAAATTCCAAACGTTTTGTCACCGCAGTCACGTGCTGATGATCCGAAAGACACAATGCCGCTAAGTATCCACCTGTGCTGAGCTTGATCTCGAAACATGTACGGACCACCTGAATCGCCTTGACATGAGTCTTTCTGGCCGTCTCTGGAATTAAAATCGAGTTCCAATCTACTGGGAATTTTGCATTACAAAACTCTATAGGTGTGGTTTATTGATAATGGTTAGTAGGTCGAAAAAATATTACATGGAGTGTTGTTCATCCCCAAATGTTTTTGCGTTCTTTTGTAGAATAGCATTTGGATGAACGGCATATAATATCATTGTATATGTGATGGAATATGTGCATTCAATGTCATACTTACAGAAATCCAGCACATATCATATTATCAGACACTTTTAGGCGTTCATCTCCATCATACGAAACGTGTTTTTTACATTTTCTATGATCAATCGGTGGTACTCTTGCTTCCATCAACTTGTACGATGAATATCCAAGTTCTGAAATTCAATACTTGAATATAGAATTATTCCTGACGTTACATCGCTAGGCATAATGGTATATTGTAAAACTACCATTCAAAGTTTTAAGTAATTTTTTACAAAGGTGACAACTTGAATTATTTCAAAGGACACCAGCAATTTTTTGCAGAAGTTCGTTGTCAATAAGTACGAACCACTTCATAATCTCTGTCCCACTCTAACTTTGGTGTTAAGTATTAAATAGTTTACACGTGCCTGTTATTCCCCACCCAGCAATAATTCCAGTTTTTTGATACCCGTCTTCTTCTGTTAGAGCTTTTACCGGCAATGATGCTTCCCGGTCGGATCTTGGTAAACATATAGGTCGAACCTGAATTAAAGAAAAATTTTCTTACATATATATTTGTTGACTATAGCCCACACTTCGGTATCAGAACAGAGCCAATGCCAAAATATTTTAGGAACTGCAACCGGATATGGAAACCAAAATAGGCAATTGCTGCAGCATTTGAAAAAAGGGATTGGTTTTTCGCAGGAAAAAGAATACTAACAAAAAAAAAAACATTCACATATATACTTACATATTTGCCGATTTTTACTGAGGCGTTGAGCTTTAATATAGCTATATCGTTTTCATATTGCGATGTGTTGGAATAGTTCGGGTGTTCAAAGACATCTTTAACTGAAAAAACCTTCAAGACACATATAAAGATCATTACGGCAATCCTAAATATTTGAAGTGAAATATATTTACTATTGTAAACGCACAGACTTTCCTTGCACACATTCAAAAGTAACGAGCTACACCGTTTGAAAGTTTAGAATTACTAAACACAACAGCGTATCAAACCTGAACGTTTTCAAACTTGTTTTTCTTTTTTTCTCGATTGGTAACACCAGCAAACACTCTAATTTGACGTTTATATGTTCTGTGAAAAAGTTGTAGGAAAGAAATTGGATATATTCTGTTGGAATATGCATAGATGTTTCTTTTGTCATTGTCATGTTGACAGAGTATAAAGATGGGATATTCCACGAAAATATGTTCTAAAGTAGAATCAAAGTCTAACCTTGCAGTACAGTGAGCAGCAGTAATGACAACATCGTGTGACACCAAATTTCCTCCACAAAATTCATGTCCTTCCAAGTTGTCACCGACTGAAACATTTTTACAATTATTGACCGCATTATTATAGGATATTTTTATTTGAGCTATCCACATTAAAACAGGAAAGAGAGAAATCAGATTAAAATAATCATTAGAGTCGCTGAACTTTCAAATCGGACATAAGATTTTGTTGTCCCGCAATATTCAGCAAAATTTGAAGCTGTCTTTTCTCTTAAACATACTGCCAATGACAATATAGATTAATTACAGAACGACAAGATTTTAGAAAAACAGATAAATTTGACACTAACATAAATTGATATAGACGACCCAAGGCCATTCAGCCAAACGAGCCTTTTTTCCTGCGATAATTTGGGAATCCAGAAGTTTTTCTTTGTCCTCTATATTTGGAATAACATCACCAAAATCGAAAGTGCCTTTCCGAATTTTTTCATTTCCTTTCAGACCACAAACTGTAAAATAGTGATGGATGATTATGAATTCTAAATAGTAGTATACTAGTTCAGGGGTGTCGAACTCGCGGCCACCGGGCCGTATGCGACCCCATTGAACCTCCAATGCGGCCCTCGAACGCTTAACAATAATTGCATATTTTGCAATTTTTTTTATCTGAATGTAATACATCTTTTAAACCTTTCAAAGTGAAAATGATTATTCACACGAAAACTGACAATTTACACAGAAAGTAGTTTTGGAAAATTACAATTTTTTTGTTCTCATTTTGACTCAATTATGGATACACAAAAGCAAAGCAAAAGAAAATATATTTGAACAGCAAACTTTCTCAACGATCCAATTTAACCGTTGATCATGTTACCTCGTTAATTAAAGTTGGTGTTGTAAAATCATTTCTCAAAATGCAATCTGGCCTTCAAACACCCCTGAGTTTGACACCCCTGTACTATAGTTTATAGGGTAAGAGCAAACCCAATAGGAGGGCTTTTTCAGCTTTACATTAGCGTCAAGATTATTTTATTTCACTTTTCAGCTTCAAATAGCAAACACACTTGGTTGACATTCCGGAACATTGTTTTTTTCGTTTATAGCCACAGGCCGGGAATATTCATGCCATTTCTCATCATCTCCGCATCTCCACACAGAAGTACCAGAGGTCATTTCATACCTTGAATCAAAAACAAAATAAATGTTTCATGCGCAGGGAAAGGTATATCTCGACTTCGAACATAGATGTCAGTTTGATTGCCTAATTTCAGCTAGTTATTTTTGCCTAAAGATTTTTTGCGTCCCATATGACAGGCATCATTTGGCTTCTAGGATAAATACTTTTAAAGCACCTCCTATCCTTTGACACCATGCGGACCTGTGAAACGTTTTTTTTTTAATTGATATTTTTAGTATACTTTTTCTTGTTGTCGTTATTCTAAAAAGATCGCTTTTCTTATTTTAACCACTAAACCAATTGCTTTGAAATTTTGATTGGCTAAAGATTGTTTTTGTGTCTAGAAGACTTTATTAATTTCAAAAATTTAAGTGGACTCTGTGGGATTCGATTTTCACCTTGATAAAGAAAACTACCGGCGCCGTTAAAAATATGATCCACATCATTTTGCCTCCGTGTTCGCATATTTGAGCATTCATCTCTTGTTGGTATATATATTTTAGGAAAAACACTTTCTACTTTTGCAAAAAAAGAGATCCAGTAGTTTTTGGGAAAGGCGATTTTTCACAATAAAGAAGGTAAATACAAAATGACAAACGATTCATAGGTTCATTTCGTGTCTAAAAATGAATTCGCCAACGTACTGATTGAACTCAAACCAAATAACCACACATTAGCATATATCGCTATATTTTGTAGAAATACTTTTTATGCGGGATCGTGCGTATTAGTTTTTGCGGGTTTAAAGTTTAAGAGACGAAATTCTAATTTTGTTTACATTAACTTACCATTGATAACAGAGAACTGTAACTTTGGATCCATAAGTAAGACTGATAACTTTTTCCTTGATTCTTCCATCTTTTATATTGTTAAGATGGACGGGATGCTTGCAACGTTTTACTGTACAAACATATTTAAACGAAGCAGTTAACTATCTACCAACATAGATATTGAGCCTTGTGTCTCAAAGCTTCATGAAGGGCCTTCTATGAAAAGCGGCTGTTCCTGTTTTTACCCTTGAATCAGCATAGCGATATCACATAGCCATTATTTATATTTAATGTGGAAGGGCGACAGAATTTTAAGATTAGTTTTGTGAATCATTTTGGTACAGCAGAGTAGCAGGTTTTTCCCAGTAACTACGACTTCGTTGTATATATATAGGAAAAATAAAGTCTACAAATCTTACTTTGACACTTCGGTTCTGGATCGCTCCACTTTCCATTACTCAAACATTCAATTTTCTTCTTCCCAATCAACCTATATCCAATATCACACTTGAACGTTACAACATCCTCAAATTCGTAATTTTCCTTCTTTTTAATCGACGTGATTTTGCCATTCTCCGGTGCTTTGGGATTATTAAAACACGCCACACCTTGGAAAAAAGATTGAAATATATTTACAGTGTTTATCGCTCTCACCTAAGTATGCAGACATTCCTGGTTAACGATGCTGCTCGTCACTGAAATTTACATCCTACTCGATCTGAAGATATGCTCATGGCCAATGGTACAGATTCATACACCACTTTTGAAGTCAGAGAGTTCGAGCATATACCCACTATATACGTACGCGTTGTTCTGTATTTTAACTTGAATCCCGATTCCTCCATTGTTAGATCGCTCACAAATATGACTTTGACTAAATGGGAATTTGTGATGATCCAATTGCCATTATTTGGTAATTTTGTTCCACAAAATTTGTCACTCCGCACTCCATATGCATCTTCATACTAAAAATACGTAATAGTTATTATCTTGGTAGAAGTTATTGGATTTGTCCGAGTACAAAATATAAACTGCATCTCTATCTGGAATATGCGACAAAAAGTGAGATCAAAAAATGAATTTAATATTAGTGACAATTATATCCAATTTTTCATTATAAGTAAATATCAATATTTAAGTTCGGTCACCTCTCGGTATCTCAATGCCCCGTTCTATGCTAGGAACGGTCATCACTTTTCGAATCAAATGAGTTTGAGTTGATGATGAGATTACCATTTATTACACAAAGAAGACAGTCTTGAATTTCGATAAACCTCTGTCGAATCAAAGCGAGTTCCAACTCATAGTATTCCGATATCGGACCTAGAAGTATGCCTCAAAATTTTGTTCGTCATCGCCTAATCGAGCAACGACTTTATCAATGATAGGAATTTTTCGAAAATAATATAAATATGACGAATAATCGATTATATATGTGCTTCTTGCGTTATTAATGAATTTCGCAAGATCTTGGTAAGAGCCGAGTTTTTCCTAATTTCTCGCTTAAAATACGTTTCTTAAAGAAGTTTCTTAAAAAAGGACTCGAGCTTTAGTTTTACCTGGACCCAATCGTAAACACATCCTTCGTCATCATGAACTTCGATATCGAATTTCTCTACAAATTGCAGTTCAATAGCTATGCCTTCTTTTTTCTACGAAAAATATTATTAGTTATTGCAAAGAGAACAGTATTCTATTGAGAGAAACAAGACAGCTCAAATATGTAGAGGGAAGTCGCAAATCGCCACATCTACGTTACAGTCTTTTACATGATCGCCGAGTTTTCTGAAAATTTCGACCGACAAGAATGAATGAATAAAGTGGTAGTATTCTGGAATAAAAAAGCAATATGTTTGATAAAATATCAGGTTCCACGGTACCGGGGTCGAAAAGAATTCATAAAAAAGTAATAGGATCTTAGCAGCTTTAATCATCCTGAAGTCTAGAGAATTTTAAATTGATTGGTTCATTAGTTGCTAAAGTTGCGGAACAACAAAAACAACAAGTACAGCAACAATTTGGTAAAATGATTTGAATTAACATCATTGAGTTGTGCGTTCACACATACGGCATGATGGCGTCAAAAATGTGAAGTAGCCTACGGCATTCCTGAAAGTCGGAATGCATTAGCCATTTATGGAAATAAATTGCGGGTAGGCGACTTTTGGCCCAACCTCAAATACAACTTTGTCAGAAAAACACGTTCAAATATTATCATATTGCCAACCTTTCACATACCATGCGCCACGTTTTAAACATAATGTTTCAGATGCGCCGTAAATCTCTTGTATTCCCACGCCTAATGTCCGCTTCTTGTTGAAATTATATAAATTTATAATACACACACGTATATACACACGTATATGTAGTTTTTACAATTTACAACTTCACATGAATAGAAATTAAGCAAGGAAGTATAATAAATAAAACTGATTAATTTTATTTTTAAGTACCGCCTTTATGAGACTTTTGCTGCTGTTTTACTTTCGCCAGTTTTTTTTATTCTTGGAGTTACGTTTGTTACCGAGAGGAGCAGTGCATTCTTCAAATTTAAATCTGTAAGTCTTGAACTCGCTTTGCTTTTAATTAGTTTCATGGCAGAAAATGTTTGTTCACATCTATATGTCGTTCCGAAACGACATATAAAACCCTGGGCAAATTTTCTCAGTTCTGGAAAATTTTCACGGGGTAACGATTGCCAGAACTTGATCATGTCAGATGCACTTGGGACTGAAGAAAGCTCATCAAATTTAATTGTGACGCCATGCTTCAAGTAAAAACTACAGCCTTCCTGAAAGTAGGAGAAAAACGCATTCTGTCTTATGAGCATTACGCAATAAAGCTGTTTTTAACAACGAAGAGAAAAAGGTACGATTAAGAAGTAAAGTTAGGCGTAATATTGTGACAACAGGCCTTTAGTATCAATATCTACTCTACCCTCGATTCTAATCGGCCTTTGCTAATCAGCTGTTTGGCCTAGCGTCGCGTGATTTTACTCCAGGCTTCTTCGAGATTAGTACTTGCGTCACAGCAAGCGATTTTACGCTTCGCTTTTGTTGACAACGGTCATTTGAAGTTTGGATGGAAAAAGGTGGTATTTAGGGGTCATTTTCAGCATGTTGTGGGTTGATTTATAATAATTTTTTTAGGCTTGTGCAATTCAACTGGTTGTTCAATAGTTATTGGGAAGTCTGGGCAATGGAAAATCCATGTTTCAAGCTGATAAATGACGATTTTCTATTTTTCCAGAAGTTCTGAACTTTTTACTTCAGTAGGGAAAAAATAGTAAACTTTACTAAATTTTGCTAAAAGTCTAGATTCTAGAATGAATGTCATAAAGTCCGTCCAAAAGCTAACGTCGTTAATCGCCTGTTGTTTCTAATTACAACAAGCCGTAAGTGGGTGACGTGGAGTAAGGAGAATAGATTTCAGGTACAATCAAAAGTCACCATGTAAATCGCAAAAAAACGGCTTGGCGTGGAGAAGCCAAGTGCAATTAACAATTTTGGCATGAAAAGGGTTAAAGATGCAATGCGCCACCTCTAATCATGCATGCGCCATAGGTTGGCCACCCCTGCCTTAGAGTAAACCTCTTTAGTGCATATCATCCTCAAAAAGTCAATCACGTTTATGCAAAATATAAGTTTATGAGTTTATAATCATCTTTGTTTTGTCAATGTTTTATCAGATCGTCGTTTCGAAATCTAGTGATGGATAGATTACCTACTTTAATTATTCAAATCGTAGCATTTATTCATTTGTCATACCTTGATCGTCCAGTCACAGTTGGCAAGTTTTGAATATTCATCAGGAAACCGAGATGTTGTTATTTCTCCTTCATCACCAGTAAGAACTTTTCTCGCACAATCATCTAAATGAAAACACTCATCTGTAGGTAATATTTCAATTTTGGATTTTAAAATATAAAGCATTTTTCATAGTCGTTATACTTTAAATGCAGCGTATGTATACTTGCTTTGTGAATTTATTTCATGATAAAGCATGTGAATGTAGGAACGATCAACCTGAATTTTCGAGATTAGGTTCACAGTTGTATTTTTTAATGAGATTATGGGAAAAATTGGACTGAGTCATGGAAATCTCGCAATACCTTGGGTCGAAGTTTTATATCTGACAATTGAGTAACAAAAATTAGCTTGTTGAAATGCCAACGAAATCAACGGTGCTTTGAAATGGGATGACGGTCTTACTTGTACAGGTGTGCTTATTTTCATGCAGCTTGAATCCAGGATTACAACTGCAGTAATATGAGGCAGGAACGTTATGACAATGCTGGTTACAATATAACATTGTATCCCAATCTTCAATCGCAGTTTCGGCTTTCATCTTCAGTTCCCAGCATTCATCTCTATCTGTACGTTATTGTTAATTTTCAATTTTTATTTCGAAATTTTCGAATTATAGTAAATATCTTAAAAATATTATCATGTTATTCATTTTAATTTGCGACAGATACACGAGTTATCATTTTTCTAGATTTAAATCCCTATAGTTTAACTTAGCATCTTGCAAATTATCGTGAGTTTTATCGATCTTCGATTTGTTCGAATATGAAAACTGTCACTTACCTATTTCAGTATAATGAGCAAAAAATCCCTTTGGCATTGGTTCCTCATTTGAATAATCGGAGATAAAATGGAGTGACATTGTGTTACTAGTTGATCTTACTTTCTGACTAGTTCTGGGAGCATCTATCGAGTTCATCCGACTGTTACCACAATACTTGTTCATCAGTTTTTCACCGTCCATTACCTGGAATACAAAAAAAAAGATGAAGAAAGTGTTCATAAAGCAAATATTGCACGACAGCCAACTACGATTCAATCGCAGTGGTGAATAGATATTGTAATGTTGCAACATAGTACCATAATCCTGCTCTTAGCTATTAGTCAAACTTTCTCCGAGATTTGTCACTTTTATTTTATTTGGGAATAAACGTTTCTGCTGCAGTACGCGCCAGGGGCATCAAGTTTTCGTGCGGTCGTGTCTGGTTAGATTTAAAAACAGTAACAACGAACAAAGTGAATATCTTTGCGGATAAAATTAATTCAATGTAAAATGCCCGCAACAATACCAATCAGTGAGAAAAAATATTTGTTTATTATTTAGTACCTTCAAAAAATCATAGACACATGCTCCGCCTTGGTCTTCATCATAGGAATCTTCTAAATCGAATTCTGTGAAATATAGTTCCACGCGATATCCAGGCTTGACTTCAATATACCATGATATATTGACATTTTCAGGATATGACTTAGGATAGCTTGGAGATTTAATTTTGCCGGATATTTCGTTTAAATGGTGTTCCACAGGTCGTGAGAACAATGGTGTCGTTGATATCAACAACAACAAAATAGTTGAAACGATTTGGTTACTGTGGGGTATCATTCTGGAAAATAAAAGAAAACAATAATAAATAGCATTGGCTATTGGGGCCACAAAACTATTTTTGCACTGTTCGCGGGCCTCAATAGTACCAAGAATAGGTAAACAATGCAAAACAAAACAGACACTTTTATTGTGCTAACACATTGGCATTATTTGTCATTTATTGAGCTTAAGCATGCAAAAAGCTCAATAAAACGTCCAAAAGTCTTTCTATAACTACATTTAGTATAAAATTTTAAGTGCTTCCGCAAATGTAGATGCTTTCGAACATCGATAAGATTCACAAAGCAAAATCCCCTAACTTTGGAAATGGTCATTGCTCACAAGATTCTTAAACGCCGTTTTAGATTATATTCTTTTGTCATCAGCACGACTTGTCGACATATAAAGCAGGTATTGTGGTATGTTCCCTCTTATAACTAGTTAAAAATCTGTTTGAATTGGTCAGCTTTCTTTTCAAACTCATGTTTACAAAATAGCTTACAAATACAAGCACATTGATTGATTATCAAATGTGAGATACAGGAGGGTAATTATTGTATTTTCTGACATATATGCAGCATTTTTTGTAATACTATTTAGGCTGGTTGCAAAAAAACACCCGTCTTGACTTATATTGTTACGCCATAACATTAATATTTTTGGGTATATATGATATATTTGGGTATGAGCATATATTCCCGACCAAAAAGATAGAAAGCCAGTTAACATTAAGAGCCAAGCACATCATTCAATTGTGCTAGTTACCTCAGCTAGTCATAACACTAGTCAGTCAATTCAGTGACATTAGTGAATAACAATATGTCAAAAGATTTTTCTAGTTTAATATCATGATGAAACGACACAAATTGCGAATATTTGATTCCCTCCAGCAAATGCGATGGTCCACAGATAAAAAAAAAAAACTGCGTGCCACATGTGGCCCGTTGGCCTGGGTTTGGACCACCCTGTTCTAGGCCATCACGATTTACTTTGGTGAAGCTAAAGGCAACGTGATTGTCGTCCCATTTCTGTTTCTTGGAATTATTAGAATTGTAAATATATTTTTTTGTGTCTGCAACATGTTTACGACGTCTATCTCGCAGTCTTGTGGAACTTTTGCTATAAGTTGGCTAGGTACGACCGCTATCTGACCGGTCAACTCCGTGAAAAACAGCATCACTCTTACTTTTGCTTCAATGTTATGTACTTTGTACCCTGCATGTTTTACTGAACCAAGTCGCAATTTTCATATCCGATATAGTGGCGCAAATAATATGTACAAGGAGTGATGCCAAATCTACTTAGCATCTTATAAACATTATCACTCTTTCGTTTAAGTTTAGTTTACTAACGTATCACAAAATAAGAAATGGGAATTAATGTCGGAGTTGAATACGTAAAACGTTCACTTTTGACATTTGTTGTCATAAATCTATATCTAAAGCTTTGTTGATACGAATACATACATCACACCCTTATCAACTTTTTTAAATGTGACTCAATTTTCACTTATCAGACCAGGTATTATCTGCAATTTTCCTATATTCCTATTATCTAATGGTTAGCTACACAGCTGACATGGCCCAATTTTATTTTGATTCCTTTGTTGACAATACGTAATAAAAGCTAACTACTTGAGTGTAGTTTAATTAGTAAGCTAATCATATAGTTGATACAATTTTTCCTGTTGTGACAAACAAAGAAAAACAAAGTGAAACGTTAAAAATAGATTAACGTTTCGAAATACTGTGAAAAAATTTGAACAAATCAATAACTATATACTCAAGTCATGATAAATTGTTAGCGAATTTCTCCTCTTTATCCAATAGAATATAAAAATAATAAAAATAGGCAAGTCTTCTAAAAATTTGTTATTCTTTACCTATACGTTATGAACGACAAGTTGCTGATACCTTGAATGCAAGCTTATTGGTTTGGCGACTGAAAAGATATTCAATCGCCCTTGGCTGCTTTTTATCACTGAGACTACCTGAGGCATTGTTTTTGTCGCTTTACTATTTTATGGTACATTTAAGTAGATCAAATCTGTTCCATATTTTTGATGAATAATTACTTCGAAAAGGTAGTTACATATCGTGCACGTACGTCTCGCCCCAATTGCATAGGTTACAAATCTGTAACTGAGAATAAACTATCGGTCGTATTGAAAATATGTTAAGCCTGGTTTTCAGTACGAAAATACTCGTGTTTTTACTTCATTTCGGAAAATTTGTTTTTAACATATTTTGCGCAAGGCCACATATGATTGGATGCTGTTCAATTTGCCTGAAATAATTATCCCACATATGCATATTTGTGCATATGGTTCATGCTACCTTTCAATTCATTAGCATTGCGGCTAGCAACTGCACGTCAACGTATCAGGTAGATTTGGCTTCGAATGAAACAAATTATATATCTTTCAATAACTTTGGACACATGGTCAAGTTATCGTTAGTGCTATCCAAACATAGACCTGACGCCCATTTAACAGCTTGAGCATGAAACACTTTTTTAAACAAAACTCTTGATGACTTTTCTCGAAAAGTATAGCTTGGAACTTGATTTAAAAGTAATTCTGTTACTTAATCTTCTTTTCTGTTACAAAAGGATTTAATATAGTAACGACAATCCGTTTCGTGTAGCCCACTCCATACGTGACTTTGAGCAACTGCCACAAACATCAACCAAACAGTATCTTTGACATTCTTTTTACCTAATACGGCATGCAGAATGTATATATTCTAAATGAGGAAAAGCGATTGTTGTAGGGTTTTAGCATTAAGTACGAAAATTTAGTAGAATAACGTGGGAAAATTAATAAAAGAAAGTGGCCACACAATTTTGAGTTATTAAATTCGAAACGAAAATTGATATAGTTTGGTCAGTGACCTATTTTTACGTTGTTGAAAAAGGCGTGGCGGGCTCTGGTGGCTGTAGCGAATGTGGAATGTTATTAGCTTGTTGAATTCTTTAAACTAGTTTGTTTTGGCCCATTTTTATTAGTTATTTATCGCGATAAGTCCTTGATTTTTATGCAGTGCCCTTGTGTACGAGAAAAATAGTGTTTTCGATGGGGTTTTTTTCTCTGTCGCATTACTGATTTGGATTTAAACTGTATAAGTCGTGTTAAGGTTTAAGTGTATACTTCGATATATCTGTATTTGGATCATTTCAATTCGATCGTGCAACTCTGCAATATACGAACGAACATTTATCAACACATCATTGGGTGCTCATTTGAGTCAGTTGAGGTTTATTCCTCTCAAGTACATTTGATAGTACTGGAGAAAGAACACGCAGAGAATACGACCCACTTTCCCATATATAGGGACCCGCGATAAGTAAGTATCGATGACAATTCGGACTCGTGTTCCATCGGTTTCAGTCGTAATTCTAGATTAAAACTAACAAACGCTTAAAGTTTTTGTATCCAAAATTCTCCTATTCCTGAGATGACCTCTCAAAGCCCAAATATTGTCGTTTGTAATAATAAACAGGTCAAAATAAACCTAGCATAAAACGGGATCCCATGCGTTTCCCTGCCAACATTGTAATGGAGACTGACAGTGAATTACAAAGCTCCAGATAAAAGTAAACAAGAATTTGGATAAGTTTGGTCGCCGTATAATGACGCAAGACGGGCAACTTGATATATCACTGCAACGAACCTATCAAAAAAAAACGAGAAGGCTTTTTTGCAGCTACCATATATATATTGAAAATTATTCTATAATTAGCAATCAAGCACAATTATGCGATTGGACAAGAAAAATGCAAAGTTTTTTGGAATAGTTTTCTTGAACACTCAGCAGATCTTTCCCCTCATTCAATCTCCTGCAGGTTATTTGCATTGCTCTTGATCCACGTTACAATTTCTTTGTTAAGTTCGGCGAAAACGGTGTACGTTACAACATTGCCGCATTGCCCATCGCCGTTCGAAATTCCAAAGGAGACCAGCCCAACCCCAAAGTAGTCGTCGGTTCCACTTTTCTGCATCACCATCGGCGCCCCGGACGCACCAGCACAAGTGGCGTGGCCATCGTCGCTGTGGAACAAGTTATTTCAGTCAAAGAGCAGAGATTGAGCAAGAGACACTGTTACTCATTTAAACTATTTTTAAATTCAACCCGTGCAAGAAATTTTGACTATGAATGTTTCCATTTCTAATGACACCCTTTTCACTCATACAGATTTTTAGCCATGACTGTGGGCGTTAACTTGGTTTAAGAATTGGACTATTGAATTGTCTATTTTCAGTTTTGATTTCAGAATTGAGGTATTAAGCAAATGAGCAATAGGTATTGTTAATGAATATGAAAACCATTTTCAAACTGCCAACTGATGGGAACACTGTAAAAAGAAGTATCTAAAATTTAAGAAAAAAAAGAACTTTCAGGTTCGAGGGCCAGAGAAATATCTACTGTTCAATCTCTTTATTCGCCTTTTTGAGAATAATGTCAAGTGAAGGTTTACTCACACATATCCAGCGCAAAACATATTTTCAGTGATAGTAACAGACAATTGAGTATCGGAATTTTCTGCAGATTTACTCTTAAGAGATTCCCAGCAATCAGTTTTGGAAACGACCGGAAATTTTGCATCTAGGAGTTTATACGATTCACGTGGATTTTCGTCATAAAGAGACCAAGCTGCCACATCACCAAAGGCGTCGACACTAGACTGAAAAGGAAACAGTACAGATTATCAAAGAATTGTTGTTCCGGTAACATCGGGTAGGACGTTTAGTTCAGATGCTTGCAGAATCGGAAAACAAAGCGTTACAATCAAAGTTTTTACGAATACGCGTCAACATCCTATATGGAAATAACGGTTAATCCAAAGAAACCTCCAAAATTGCCCCAATAAAATTAAAAAAATAGGAATTATTCGAGAACAAAGCTTTCATTTGTTCAACCAGGCGATACAATGACCGACAGCTTTAGTTTCACGACAATTTCACAATGAGAGTTATCGAATAACTATATATATATACATAAGATTACTTGCCGATTATATGTCTTTTTAGAAGCAATGTCAGACTTTGTGATGAATCCTTATAAAAATGGCTCAAGTGCAAAACATATTCAACCATGCAAATTGACTTGGATACCGTCAGTACAATGTAATTTGTAAAACAATGTATATATATCATGTTTAACGTGATTGTACATTTTCTAAGTTTATTTTTTTTTAAATACTTTTGAAGTTTAGCATATTTACCATAGTATAGTCGTGCTCTTGTTCTGGTAGACATAGAGTTCTGTATTTTTTCGTCATTGTAACAGTTTCCGCTAGGCGAATTAATGCAACGTCGTAATTCAATTTTGTAGGTGTGTAATATTTTGGATGAATAATAATTTCCTCTGCTTTAACATATCTGTAATTGAAGGTGTCTCTATATATATATATATATGAAGGTTTCAAAAAGTCTAAAGTACAATATGTAAAGCAATTAGAATAAGTGATTTGAATCGAGTTGTTCGTTTTCAGTTTCGATGAACAAAAGTAAATTTTCAATCCATTTGAGTTTTTTTTGAGGCCAACTGATTTAAAATCAATGTGACATCGATAGGCCAATTGTTGAACATTTAAAATCTTCAGTGGTTCGACCGAAATATTGATCGTTATTGACGCCTAAAATAGATACATAGCTAAAACAACAAATAAAAAATGATTTTTGATGCGTGTTACGTTACTTATAAATCAATATAAAATGCAGAGTGTCATGTTTTGCACTGAAAAATATTTCGAAATAAGTTAAGACAGATCGATCCTATACCAGAACCTGCATTAACAATTTTAATTTTCTATGTGTCCCCAACAAACGGAAAAGTGTTTCTTCTGTCATATTCTTTCGTTTTAATAAGAATCAAAACATACTTGACAGTTGTCTCTTTCTCCCGTCTGTCGTGTGCACCGAGCCACACGTGAGTTTTATTAGGCCATTTCACGTGATGTTCATCTTTCAGGCAATGCGCCGCAGTGAGTACGTAGCTGGTAATAAATCATTATTGTAAAAACATGTCATCTCCAAACCAATACAACTTTTATATTGTTTCATGCCTTTGCTTATGCACAAGGCTTTTTGCAAATATTCACTTCGGCATAGAAAGCTATTTGGTCCGTTATCTGAGCATAAAGTCAGCTCCAACATGTCAAGAGCATATAGCTTACATACAATAAACGCTAATTAGAAATCCAACAATACAGCTCATATAGTTAAATCTATGAACACGTACAGACAAAAAAAAGAAGCATGTATAGACAATTTCACTACTAACTTTGGACTAATTAGTGCTCCAGTACACATAAGTGATGCTTTCAAGTTTTTCGTTCTCCCAAAGTTCAAAAAAACCAACCAAGGCCACTCATTTCTATCGGAAGCATCTCCTTCAATGGGGTTAGCTCGCAGCAAGAGAGACATCGCGTCCGTCTCCAAACGTTGCTTTTGTCCGCATTCTAAAACATAAAATATTGAATACATAATTTTGAAATCTTTAAATAATTCGATTTTAAGCCGGTTGTATTAATGAATAACAACTATTTAATGCAATTATACACGAGTTCAACTCAGAAAACTTGTATTGACACTCAATCACCAAGCATGCAATTTTTGACCCTTATAACTAAAATTGTTGTATATTTTTTTGTAAGGTAATATTGATCGAATTACAACAGTATGTTCAAATGGAATCGCAGGTTCACTGTTGTTACAAGATTTGTGGAAGTAGAGCAATTTAAGCCAAGAAAGCGATACGTATATGCATAAAAATATGGGTTGTAAAAAATAATCAACAATACCAGTTTTACAATTTTCTGGAATAATTGAATTGTCATATTATCGCAGGAATTCAACAAATGAGCAATAACGACTGTTCCGAAAGTCAACACTGCTACTTTCGGTCATATTGTAACCAAATATCAGAGCATACAAGCCTTAAGTTATTCTTTTCGAAATATCATTGCTCACTAGAACATGCAAATTGGCTGAAGGAATTTTTCTGATTAGTAAGGGTTCATTGCAATTAATTGTAAATAAATTATTCATGCAAATAAAATGAAATATGTAACGTACCAATTTCACGCTAAAAACTCAATGTTTCGATAACATTTGCACTCAGGTCAAAGTATTCGATGTGGCCTCAGTCTAGTTGGTATGGTATGGTTGGTATTACCCAACCAACGTTCATTGAGCCTCACAAAAGGTGGTATTTGCTATGCTTTTCAACTTCTCGAACTCATTTAAAGTCATGGGTTAAACTAATGGGGTACAAAAATGGGGCCTATAATACGACTCACTCAATCAAATCAGTTTCATACTGTAAATGTATTTTTGTTTTGGAACATATTAAATGTTTTATTTCTTCACATATTATACATTTTCACGACTGGCTTTGTGTATATTACAATGTGCCACGTAAAAACAGATGGCGCGCTTCATAAATGGTATGAAAACAGTGAGAAGAAAATATTATAGGTTACATAATATCAGAGTTGTGGAGTCGGAGTTAGGCATGTTTTCATTATGGTCAGAGTAAAAATTTTGAATTCACTGTTATAAAGAATATAAGTTCTAGATTTTAAATGATAATAGTTGAAGTCAAAGAAGATGGTTTGAGTCTGATTGTCTCGAAAGTTTAGAGTTAGAGTCGGAGTCAGAAATTTCAATCGGGTTTTGGAGTCAACTCCGAGTTTGAGTGGAATTGTAAATTTTTCTCTGACTTCACATCTCTGTTAAACTGCCTCCGATATAATTTGAATGCAAAAACATATATATAAGAGGTTAGTTACTACAATAGCTCAAAATATACGGTTTTGGTATTAGTACATCATTCAAAACATTTGTTTCATTTAGCTGTATCTAAAAATCAAGTAAGAATAAGCCTACAATTCTTTGAAAAACTTATTTGGTTTCAAAAAAATGGCAATAATGAAAAAAAATCTAATTTTTGTGCAGTTTTCGATCTGATACATAAAACGTTCAATTTGGATTGCGTTATTAAACAGCTGTTCAATATTATCATGAAATTAAGCGAAAAGTGAATAAGAGAACTGCATCAAGCGAAAAAAGGGATAAAGCCAGTAAACGAACACATTTTGTTTATTTAGAGTCGGAAACTCATTCCAAGTTATTTGTGTTTTTCATTATCCACTTGACAATTTCTTCTGTAAGCTTCGTATATCCTGTGAAGGATACAATTTTTCCGCACTTCTTGCCGATACCGAATGACACCAGACCAACTTCATAATATTTGGAAGATCCTTTTTTAGTCATCATAAAGGGTCCTCCCGAATCTCCTTTGCATGTACTTTGTCCTCCATCGCTGAAAACATCATACTCATAACCTAAGTATTACCATATGTTTTATAATATTCATATGCAAAATCTGGTTCGTTTTATATTTTAAGCTGCTTGGTAAGTGAAGTTAAATTTATATATTTTGATAGTATTTTGGTAATATACGGCCTGTTCAGCAAAAACTATTCAGTTTTATCGCTGTCAAACTGAGTTCTAATCTCTAAATAAAGTATCAAATGAAACAAACATTTATATATATATAAATGTATACTTACTCCTTGCCAGCGCAGAACATATTTTCAGTCAATTCCAGATTTTTCGGCAATTCAGTTTTTGTTTCCAAAGTTCTTGACTCGAAACTTCCCCAACAAACTGAATGACTGACAATAGGAAACTCTGCATGCATCAGAACATCTGCGGGTCGGAATCCAACGTCGTAGAGTCCCCAACCAGCCACTTCTCCAGAAGCTCCTGGATTAACCTACATCAATGAGAATAATATAATTATTATATAAAGAGTGGGTAAAGTTGGGCACTTTTGTTCTTGTCAGGCACTTTTTGTTTGCATCTTTTGAGCCATATAATTGACATATGCATTTGGCTTTGCAGGGCTAATGCAGAGATCAATAAAGGTAGTTTCTGTTCAACGACTAAGAAATTCTCCAGTGACACACATTTTACCACTAAAATTGTCTGAAAAACGTTTGTAAGGGTTCTATTGCACCCCACTGGGGGGGCACATTTGGACACACCCTGGTGTACAATGGACAGTCTGTTAAATTCAACAAAATATGCTGTTAAAAATTAACAACGAATCAGCATTATTATCATAAGCGGGGCTTTTCCAGCTGTGGGTCGCGACTCCATAGGAGGGCGCTTAACGAATTTTAGGGGTAGCAGAGAGTACACCAATTTCACACAAAGTACTATATATATCTATTGTATGTTTTAGACTATTGATTCGAAACACATACTAAACTAGTACACAACATAAATCTCACGATTCCGAGAGAAGAGGCGCGGGTGCATAGCAATGCGACTTTGATCGTAAGACCGGAGAAGCAGCGCTCTTGCATTTAACTGTTTAAAGAACCAGATAAAGAAGTAGATTGCTCACCAACTTAAATTCCTTGTCTGTTGACGGTAAACATATTGGTCGAATCTTTGAGCTCATGATAATCGTTTCGCGAATTCGAATCAGAGCTACGTCATAGTTCCAAGTGCTCGATTTGTAATATTTAGGGTGAAGAATTATAGTTTCAGCTTCAACGTACCTTTAAATTGTTTTTCATTGAATAAAATGTCTATTTGAAAGAACATGATTACGGCAATATAAAACGGTAATGTTTCTTGGAAAGTATTGGTTGTTCATCATAATTATTTTGGGCGTTCTTAAATGAGTTGGGCGCCATACTGCCTTTAGCGTGTTTTTTTGTGGGGATTGGGGTGAAATGCTATTGCAAATAAAAAATGTTCCTGATCCTTTACTTTTAATTTAAAACATCGCTGGGTTCGATAAGTAACAAATATTTTATTTCCAAAACAGACAATATATCTTGACGTATTTCTCCTCAAAAATGTGGTGTTATAATGACATCGTAGCAATAAGTGGAGCAATTTGTTTGTCGGAAAGGCTCTCTGATTGCGTCATTTGTTAAAAGTAATCATCTTTCGGATCATAGTTAAGTTGGTAACTCTTACTTTACGATATCAGGCTTTTCATCTCTGTCGTGTGCTCCAAGCCATATATGAGTCCTGTTTGCCCATCTAACATCTCCTGGATAATCCGTAGAATTCAAGCAATGCGCTGCCGTTAATACGTAACTAGACGACCACAAGAATAAAATGAATACTGTTAATACTGCTTTTCTCATACAAACAAACTTTTTAACATACAAAAGTATTTCTAAATGATAAGAATCAATCCACGTGAAAGACAAATTTATCCTAATGCTTTCAATATTTCTTATATGTTATATGAAACCTATTTAAGCCTTCATAGGCTCAGGGTAAAATTGATAGATGCAATTGTTATTAAACTAATATTGAATGAGCAAAGCATTTCATTCACTATACCGATCAAATTAGCAATACAATATATCTGCTGATAATAATTTTTGAAAAACTAGCTACGATAAAAACTCACTTCGGGCTGATCAAACTTCCTCCACAAATACTTATTTCTGCACCAAGATCTTTGTGTCTGCCAAAGTTTAGAAAAACTAACCAAGGCCACTCATTTCGAAGTGATTTCCTTCCACCAGCAATCTGTTGTCCCAGCAAACTGTTATCTTCAGATCCTTTGATTCCGCATTCTAATGAAATCAACATATAACAACATATAACAAAAATGCATGGCTCAAGTTGAATAACTGTAAAATGCAAAGTATACCTCTGACGTTCTTTCAAATTGCTGATTGCGACGAACTTGCGAATCTGGTATGAAGCGAACTTAAATATACGAGCCTAGACCTCAGCAGAGCACAAAACGAGGTATTTATTGAACCAATTACGTTTTATTTTGTAGTCAATTTGTAGATATACAAGAACCAGACAAAAAAATTACATTTTTTAAAACACTTATTTTATTTTAACAAAATAATAAAATGAACAAATCTATTGAAGTTTATTTTTCCAAGTTGGATTCAATGAATTCCATATATTTCCCAACATCGGTATAAACTCCGGGGGTCTCAGCATGTCCACATGCATTTTTGTCGCCAAAAGACACTACTCCACTCAAAAACCATTTGTTCCGCGCATTCTTCGTCATGAATGGCCCTCCAGAATCACCTTTGCATGCATCATTTTGGCTCTGTCTGGTATCGAAAAATGCTATTATTATTGGTTTGACGGATGTAGAAACATTGTTATTCATTAGAATTAAAACAGATTATAGACAATAGTTCATATATATTTATCTTTGATCCAAGTCAAGTCAAATATAAAATGTAAATTTCACAAAGCGCATGTAAACGATATGTAAATGTTTTTATTCGTTTCGAGCCAACAAGCAATCTTCTTCTTACTACTTTCAAAAATCGTTTGAAATCTCAATCATTATTGAAAACAACTTACTCAAATCCAGCACATATCATGTTTTCTGTTACTGTTTCAAGGTTGTCCTGCCTATATCTTTCCACGCATGTATCCCTATTTTGAATACCTACTCTTGTTTTAAGAAGATGCTGGGAAAAATTGCCACTTTCTGAAAATAAAATGCAATTTACAGAATAGTGTTGTTACTCATTTGTTAACAAAAAATTTATTCGTAAAGAAACAAACGAATATTATTTACGAATATTATTCATATCAATAGTTGCTTTTCCATAGAACAATAAAACGGGCATTACCTGTTTTTCCCCACCCGACAACAACAGCATTCTTTCTTTCGTTGTAATACTTTTGTGGCATTGTTTTTTCAGCTGGACTTCTAGGAACGCATATGGGGTGAACCTGATACAATCAATAAAGGTTTGTTGGTAAGAATAGCGTATGCAGAAGAATTACAGTCATTAACCTGCAACCATAGCTGTGGAGTTGGAAAAATTTGGACACCCGACTTTGGTTTTTTTACTCGGAGGCTTGATAAATTGACTTCAGCTCGGTCAATAACTTTTCCCTTATTTTTGATAAGTTCGATTTCGACTCCAGTTCCTGACTCCGAAAATAAAATTAAAATAAATTTTCTCTAAAATCTGACTGTAATAATTACGATACAAAACAACTAGCAAAAAATTGATCCTCACGTAATACGATAGTTCGACTGGTTTGTTCAATTTGATTGTAGCTATATCTGCATCGTATCTTGCTGCATGACCGTATTCCGCTGGCCAACTCCTTTTGTTAGGTACGGCTTCAAATTTCTAAAAAAAAACGCTGCATGTAAAACATAATTAGGATCAATAATGCTTTTTAATCTTAAATAAATGAAAAAGAATAACCGCGTATGTATGTATGCAGTGGTGTAACAGTCGCCGCAAAGGTACACACAAATTAAAATATATATTTTACATAGCATTTTATCAGAAATCAAATTAAAGTTTTGTGCTAAATCGTAATATATTTACGAAAAATAAGTCTTAGACTTAAATATAGTATCCGTTTTTACTAAAATGTAATACTAATGATAAATATACTCATGAGGGTCTTCATCGAAAATATGATGCTTGTTTCAAAGCAAGATTGAAAAGCAATCGAAAACTGGTTTTATTCTTGATATGGACAAAGTCTTCTTATGAATTTATTTCAACTTTATTGTATATATATTTTAAAGTTTTCCATATTTTGCAATGAAATATGGGGCAACTTTTCTAGCCGCTGAATATTGTTGGACCGATTAAAGATTAGAGATTTGCGTTTATAGAATATATTTTATAATTACTAGGGTAAGTAAATGATTAAGTTTTATATATCAAACACATTTCATTCGTAAGTGTATCTCCCCAAGTAACATCCAATTACTCTGATAATATTTTAATCACCTGAGTAAAATTAAAATTGTCGTCATATCTATCTAGTAGCCCAGCCCATACGTCAATTGGGTCTTCTTGCTCCAATCTATAAAAAGAAATATGTGATAGAATAATTTGCTATAGAAGTTGTGGAGAGTGAAAAGGGTTGCGCTAAATCTATATTTGCACAGATTTACTGGATCTCCGCTCTATAGGAGACCCTTTTTATCAGTCGTTCTGTCTGTCGGATCTCCGCTCTATAGGAGACCCTTATTATCAGTCGTTCTGTCTGTGTATTGGATCTCCGCTCTAGGAGACCCTTATTATCGGTCGTTCTGTCTGTGTATCTGTCTGTCTGTCTGTTTAGACGTAGCGTCTAAACGGCTGGACCAATTAGGGTGACATTTTTCACGTGGGTTATCCTGTCACCCTAGTATTGTGCGTTTCATAGAAAGTCCGGATGGAGGTTTCGTTTTCATGGAAACAGCGAAAAACGCGCCGATCGTTATAAAATTTCATATTTTTTCACAATTTCTCGCCAACCAAGTCGAAAATTGAAATTCCAAGAATGCTACCTTCCGCATAGCAAAACACTCTTTCCAATAGGCTATCTTTGACCTCGATATCCATAAACTGGAGGAGCCTTAGGGATTTTAGTGAAGATTATTTTTTAATTTTCAGCCACAAATACCAGTCATGCGAGTAAGACTACAAAACGCGCAGCGTTTGAAATGAACTCAGCGGAACGCGCAGCGTTAAACATGAACTGGCGTTTTTAGTAGTGTCTCCTATTATCCGTTAGTAAACTGAAATGATGCGAGCCTTAAGCAATGGCGGAGATCCAACTGGGCGCCTACCGGCTTGTCTGTCTGTCTGTCTGTTTAGACGTAGCGTCTAAACGACTGGACCAATTAAGATGAAATTTGTCACGTGCGTTATCCTGTCACCCTAGTATTGTGCGTTTTATAGAAAGTCCGGATGGAGGTTTCGTTTCCATGGAAACAGCGAAAAACGCGCTGATCGTTATGAAATTTTAATTTTTTCCACAATTTATCGCCGTTTTCTCGCCAACCAAGTCGAAAATTAAAATTCCAAGAACGCTACCTTCCGCAAAGCGAAGTACTCTTTCCAATAGGTCGTTTTTGGTCTCGATACTCCATAAACTGGAGAAGCCTTAGGGATTTTAGTGAAGATTATTTTTTAATTTTCAGCCACAATATACCAGTCACGCGAGTAAGACTATGAAACGCGCAGCGCTTGAAATGAACTCAGCGGAACGCGCAGCGTTTAAAATAAACTGGCGTTTTTAGTAGTGTCTCCTAAACAGTTAGTAAACTGACACGATGCGGGCCTCAAGCAATGGCGGAGATCCAACTGGGCACCTACCGGCTTGTCTCATTGTCTGTCTGTCTGTTTAGATGTAGCGTCATTAACGGCTGGCACAATCTGGATGAAATTTTTCACATGGATTATCCAGCCACCCTAGTATTGTGCGTTTTATGGAGAGTCCGGATGGAGGTTTCGTTTCCATGGAAACAACAAAAACGCGCCGATCGTTATGACATAGGTCGTTTTTGGTCTCGATACTCCATAAACTGGAGAAGCCTTAGGGATTTTAGAGAAGATTATTTTTCAATTTTCAGCCACAATATATCAGTCACGCGAGTAAGACTACGAAACGCACAGCGTTTGAATTGAACTCAGCGGAACGCGCAGCGTTCAAAATTAACTGGCGTTTTTTAATAGTGTTTTTACTATTATCCGTTAGTAAACTAAAATGATGCGGGCCTCAAGCAATAGCGGAGATCCAACTGGGCGCCCACCGGCTTGTTTTTTAAAAAATGACACAGTTACAAGATATATGGACCTTTGGACCTTTTTTGAACTAATATGATTTTATAAACTACTACCAATGTATCTAACCGTTTGGATATACTTACGGAGCAATGCAATGTGCGGCTGTTACGACAGTCATTTCATCAACTAATGTTCCGCCGCAGTAGTCTCTCCCAGTTCGTCCACCCCCTGTAAAAATATGTATGTGTTATATCATTGTGTTTTGAATATGAAACTGTGACTTCGATATAATTTTTTTCGAGCATTGAAGTTTCAGCTACTTATTGGCGCCTAGGGCAGATCCCTTGGTTTTACCACAAATTCACAAATTTCGTATAAAACGACACCTTTAATATTGAGGTTTAATTAGAGTCCATTGAGACTTGGAAAAGGCTTGAAAACAATAGCCTGTTATCAATTTCAACGTTAAGTATTGGAAATTTGACTGAGACCTGTTGTTGGTGTTATCTTGGTTACTAATTTTAAAACGAGTAGGCCCTACTATTGCATTTTCAAATTAAATAATTTTACCATCGAGAGCTTCTGGGCGATTTCCTTTCAGGTCCACAAATACCATCCATGGCCACCCTCCGTGCTCTTTTACAGGTTTACCACCCGCGATTTGTGATTCGATTGCAGGATCTTTGACTAACCTCTCGCCACATCCTGTAGGTGAATACGTGGTGATTAGTTTGTATTCAAGTAAAATAATTACCATGTATTAGTTATCGATTCTATTGATATGTGATAGTAGCCTCAACAAATACTCCATAGATTATTCTTACCTTTTGGAGAATTAGTGATCTCATGCAACTTTACTTTTGAAAAAGTTATTTACTTCTATGAGTGACAGTTTTGAATTTAGCAAATAAAATATTAATAAAAAAAAGATGTAGTAATGAATCATATAGGTATACTTAACTTAAACAAGCAATAATTGGTAAACAATCGAAAAGCGTGCAATTACGTTAGTGCAATGGTTTGCGAAAATATTTCACACAGCAAATTAGCTATAAATAAAATAAAAAAAGCAATGTTTTAAAAGAATAAAATACTGCATAGTGAAATAATTAAATTAATATATTCAATTGCACAAACGTAAAAGCATGCTTTTCTGCCTGACATAAAGATCGATATTAATAACGTAAAGAGAAACCAAGTAACAATCAATTAATTTTCTTTAAAAAAATCTATGTAACTTATTAAAAGCGGTCATATATATATTCTTGTAAATTAACTTACCATTTTCTGACTTCAACATTGGTATCCTCACGGGTTACTATCACCATCGAAGAAGTTCACTTAATTTCCAATCTGAATCTAACAACAATCTTCTTTCCGGAATTCATGATATATAATTCACCTCAAGCTATACAGCTTTATATTCTATATTGAGCTAATATACAATAAATTCTGATTCGAGTCCTTCTGTTTGGAATCACGCCCTTTTACATAATATCAAATATAACGTGTTTAGTGAAATTTTCCGAGAAACCATCTTTTCTGTTAACCTTGCATTCTCAATGTATCTTCTACTCTAACCTGTATGTACTCTAAGGTCCGATAACAATTGTTAAAAAAAAATCTTTCAAAATTCTTCATCATCGGCACTGATACTTGCTGTCCCTATAATCATAATCATCATGCACAAAACATGCAAATTAATTAAATTACGCGGTGAAGGCAGATTCGTCGCAATCAGCATTAAAACAACTATGTAAATCTAATGAAAATAAAATTGTAATAAATAACAAAAATATATATATATATATCAACTGAATTTGTGCAATTAAAGTAAACAAAATTAAAGTGACATAAAAGTGATAAAAGCTCAACATACAAATTTAAAAAATAAAAGATTAATAAAATAAAAAACGATCCGTCATGTTAATGCAGAGGAAATTTTCTGCTATTGAGTTGTTATTGCGCTGTAGTATTAACAATGTTCGTGAAAACTCGCTAAAAATAATTTGATGAAAGTTCCAAACATGGCGCTACACTTGGCAATAATGCCTAGCGAATTATTAGCTATATTCTAAATAAAAGGAAATAAGTCATACTTGGTCTGCATTTAGGCATATCGTTTTCAACTGGATTTGGGACAACCACCGAGTCATCAATTTTTTCCCACTGTTTACTATCTTCACAAACCCATCTTGCAGCACCAGCAGTCATTTCATACCTTATGTGTAAAAAATCTAGATAAGGGATAGGTTTGGACAAAATTCTGATAATTCTGAGTTTTTCGGGCAGTCAGGTGTTTGTCTATCATAGATTTGAGAGAACTATATAGAACAGATAATAATGGATAGCATACGATGCAAATGGAGACACTTTGGGAGATGCAGGCGGTGAATCAGGGGTGCAAAACACGGGGTATGTATGCTAAATGTGACACGCCATAAGATCTAACGTGGCACGCCGGTGGTTTGGTAAAAATTGTATTTACAATAAATCCTAATAACTTACGTTTACATCGAAATAATAACTAAATTACCATGTTTATTCACACAAAAATAGTTTTACGGAAGCAGCGAACGGGACGTGGCACGCGACTTAGGCACGTATCCTAATTTGAGGAGTGCACCCCTGCTGTAAATAAAACGCAAACAAAGCGTGACATTAGCCATTTGAAGACACAAAGATTTAGGAGCAACATGGATATAAATGAAAACAGATGCATTAAAAAATTAATTGAAATCCAATTATTTAGTTTATCACAAGGTTTTCTCACTCACCATTCGTTACATTTCACTGTTATCTCTTCAAGGTAAGTGAATTGCTTTGTTGCCAAGTTAACAATATGGCTGTATTTGACGCTTTTTAGATGTTCTGGCAAACCACACGACTTGACTGTTAAAGAAAGTGATTAAATATTTACGCAACAATTTGAAATTTCCACAAAATTAAAAGCAAAGTTTATGACCTCCCAAATAGCTTCTTGTGTCAAGTAATCTTAAGAGTTTAACTGTGAAACGCAGTGGTATTTACTTTATTATTCTACAATAATATACGTACTTCGACAGGTCGGTTGTTCATGGTTCCAAGTTCCATCACTTAGACATTCCAGTCTTGATTCTCCAATCAGATCGTAACCTCTGTTGCAAGTATAGTTAACAACATCTTCAAACTCATGATAACCCTTAGAGAAATCTCGAATAATCTCACCATTTGATGGACTACTGAGTAATTTGAGACATCTGATTCCTGGAATGACATTGAATGATTGAATTTTCATCATGTTTGTGTTTAAATATTGCTTTTTCTAATGCCGTAAGTCGGTTATACTAGTTTCAGTAAGATCGTTCGAGTTTTGGGAATGTAGTTGCATTTATCATATCGAGGAAGAAGAAAAACGCCTATCAGGTAACTAAACATGACTTTGTGGCTTACTTCGAAAAATTTGGAATGTATCGGTAAGTTGTGATTTATGTTTACAATCTTGAACATCTGTAATTCAATACAAGTATCTGTTGGAAGAAAGTCCCGAAACACCATTTTCGACCTAATTTCTCGAGACGAACAAGCAATATAATATTTAGATTTCTGGATCTAGTGCATATCTTTGTTTACACGGCAATCACAGTATTTGTAACTTGACTATTGAATACGCAGTAGGATGGATGAATCATTTTGCAAAAATGTTGTTCTTGTTAGGTTACCGATGTCTTTAAAAAAAAAACGCTTTTTGATTCAATTAATAACCCCATCGATTTCAGTTTTTCAGTACCTAAGGATACGTGAATCCTGATGGTCATATATATAGGCTATATATATATATTGCTTTTTTTTACAGAGAGAAAGGTTATCTAACAATAAAACGATAAATAAGATAACAAAATCTAAATCATCTAACTTGTTGTATTGTAGAATATTTTGAAGCCTTTTTCCTGCACAGATAAATCAGTTTCAAACTCAATTTTCACGTCTTTGGTGTTCATGTCGATAACTTCTCCCCCGGCAGGCGCTTCGGTTCCACAATAAGTATCTTCCCTGTCATTGTGTGTCAGCTAAACAAATGTTTATATCAAAACATTTTTTTTATTACATAGTAAGCTTAAATTTTCAAAAGATTTGTTTTAGTCGTACTAGGCTAAACGCAATAAGCTCGCTCAACACAAGCAAACTTCCGATTTTTTTTTAATATATCCAATGTTGTATGACCACTTAGAAAAAACCTAATTGAGAGGCCATGCCCACCCGAGCGAACGGATTTGTAGAACCGTATAAAGAATATATGCACATCGATAAATTATCACAGCTAAAGTAAAAAGTTAAATGAGGATGGTTTGAAATTGCTAAGTCTTGAGTAAAAATTGTTATATATTTTTACGCCCATGACGAGAATACCTTCAGGATATCGTACACACAGCCTTCTTCATCGTGTTCTTCTACTTCAAATTCTGTGTTGAATGTCAAATGAACACTCAGTCCATCTCGCACCTACAAAACAGTTTAAAATCATTACAATAATGGAAGCAATGGACCAAGTTGTACATTTGACAAAGTTATATATTATGTATTTTTGAGTAAGTTTTATAAATATAGAAAACTTTTGTATTTTGTGGCGCCACCGAGACGCTGTTCAAAATCATTTCCTACTACAGCTTAGATTAGAATCCTGGGAACTAGACGATAAGTAAACAGTTCCCAACCGGGGAGGATTTTTTTTGTATATATTTGATGTAGTATTTATTACTAACATTCTTCATTTTTTGTTATTACTATAAGACTTATTCATGAACACATTATAAACTATTTAAACTGCAGAAACGGAAATGCTATGGCAGTTATGGACACTAGGTTGTGTTATAGCAATTCTTTCGAAATATCTGTTTTTCGTTTTCATGTCACTATTGCAATATTCATACAATTATACAAGTTCACATTGGGTAAGATGAACTGATTTTCTTTTTCAAAGTTCGACACTGATCATGATTTGCTTGTATCATTTTCATCCTTCATAACACACATGTGTCCCAAACATGACTAAGTGAGCCAACTTGGCTGTCTATGCCGACAGATAATCTGGCAACTGTATATTTTCCCGCATGCTGCTGCCTTCGTTCTGGGTTCTTCGAGAGCGCACTTCAGTCATTGAGCACTGGAATTTTTTTCTATGTGTGTGTTTATTTTTCATGTATTATTCCTATTTTGCTAATATTCAGAATTATGGTCATATAAATAAATATATTTGTCTAAAACTGTCGGAATAAACTAACCACTGATGTCCATTATTACAATGAAATAGAGGCAGCAAAAGTTGAACGGGTCTTTTTGGGATCGAGCTTTTTAAGTGTTTCTGGTGATACCCGCCCGTTGAATCGTACAGTATCACTCTATATTCTAAGTTGGGTAATAGCGCCGTGTATTGCCTGCCTACAACCCTTTCAAAGTTACCTATTTATAGGTGAATGCTTAATTATTTTCCTTCATCAGGTCTTCATAAATTGATTGCTTCAGGGGTGTTTTATATATCATGGTGATAGTTGAAAAGGGTATATGCGTTAAGATTTAGTAAACAACACTTACGTGGATATCCCATGTACAATGGCTCAATTTTGCGTATGGCTGAGGATATTCAGGGCTTTCTATTTCTCCCTCGTCTGCTGTTAGAACTTGATTTTCACAGAATGTAGCTGAAAAAAAAATATGCCATGCTGTTGATATGTATAATAAATTGGATAGGTACGTGGTACGTGTCCATGAAGAACATAATATACTGTGAGAGTAAAACAAAAATAAGGGAGAGAAAGAAAAAAGATCAAAGCATGAACCGAAAACTATGCAAAAGAAACCTACCTACACAAGTATGTTCGTTACTACTCAAAGTGAAGCCAGCTCTGCAACTGCAATAATAACTTGAAGGTACATTATGGCAGAAGTGGTTGCATGTTATTAGCTCATCCCAGTCTACCATGGTGTATTGTTCCTTTCTTCGCATTTCGGCACACTCGTCAATGTCTGAATGAAAAATAAATATTGTGAAGCACTTGATTTGATATATGTTTTTTGTTTTGTAGAGAGTTGCTGGGGTGTATATTGAGATTCTCCGATGTGAAATAGGACATCAATATTGATGAATTGCACTCTCCCCAATTTTAGCTAAGAGATTCAGACCTTGCTTTGCGCAAATTTTCAAGTTCAAAAATAAATAATAATAATTTGAACTATTTTCTTTTTAATTTCAGCCTAATGTAGAATTGAGTTTTATTTTTCGAACAAAATATTTAGGATGTTCTGAACGGTGTTCTCAGTTACGCGAGTCGAACTATACCTTTATTTTCTCTATGACTTACGCTTTTAAACAATCATCTTTACGTAAACGACATTGTACAAACTAGTATAAATTACCTACTAACCAGATATTTGCGACTAGTGAGGTTACGAGTTTGAAAATGCGGCTCGGTATTTAAAAAATAATGAAGAATTTAAGAGTTAAATTTCGACTGCGTACATTTGTCAAATTTTTATTTACTGAAAAAATTTGGTTAGATGCGACACAGTAAACTATGTGAAGATTGGGTTAAGTTCAAAGTAGGTCCATTTTTATCGCATCCCAGTTTTTCAGATATAGACTGCAGAAGTAATCTCTATGAAAAATAGTCAAGCTACTATTATGACTGATTCAAATGTAACGTGACGACTTGATATATGTGAAAGGCTTTATCGGATTCAACGGTGGTTCACAATAAAGTTTAGATCACTCGGAAGTTGATAGCGAGGTGACAGGTAGGCTTACTATAGACTCAATTCACTAATTGCATTTACGAACTCTATTTGTACTCGTATTGAAGCATAGAAATATGCTACGGATGTCTGTATTGTACCTGGCAACAAAACAATTGACTACTAAAATGCGAATAATGAAATAAAATTACAAGCTGACTCATAGAGCGATATTTGTTCTATCGAGATACACCAAACCAACAACCAAGAATGTTTTTATTTTATTAAAAAGTCGATTCGAGATTGGTGATTATCATTGTTGACAAAAACCATTGACCTACAAAAATTTCGACTTGGGAATTTGTTTGAAGAAATGTTTTTTTTATGTTCAAATTTAGTCTTATACTGGTCATTACGGAATAGCCTAATGACAGTAATGCATGCCGGAAACAAATGAGTTCTGACAAAATAATATTTATGTAATAATATATTAATATTATGGCGAATCTATTCGCACTTGTCATACTGGATTTTCCTAAGGTTTTTCAATAGGTTTTAAATCGAGTATTTGACCAAAACTGACTCCATATCTAATGGAGAGAGTTATCTTCGAAATTGATTGGCTTCTGAAGTAAAGTTGAGATTATCATAAAAAAACAGCTTACCTTCTTCCACATAATGTGCTTGAAAACCACTTGGTGTTATATCTTCGTTTGAAAAATCAGATACAAACTTTATAGTTGCTGTGTTTCCCTTGGTGTAAAACCATTTGTCTGGTCTTGGTGCGTCATATGGATACTCAGTCGGTTTTCCACAGAATTTACCGATAACTTTGGCGCCTTCTGTAACCTTTGATAACGCCAAATCGTTTAATCATACCTTATAAAATGGACAACTTTTGGGAATGTGAAATCTTGGCACAGGCTATGCCTATTTGATAATATTTTTTAGGACAACACCCGGCGTTCAAAATTTGGGGTATTTCAATTTTACTCAGCACACCTCGAATATAGAATGGTTCGAACGATTTTTAAACTTTCAAATACGGGGGATTTCTGAGAATATACATGTATAATATTCTTATAATTCCTAATTATAATATTAATAAAGTTATCATATTATTCAATGTATGTGCTATTCGTTTTAATTCCATTAGTTAAGCACATTGTGTGTAGTTTATTCATAGCAATACTGAAACAAAAGGTGATGTTTTTTGACAAGCAATTGCCTCGGGAAACATTTAAACGATTTTCACCATTTTGTGATTATAAAAAACTCGATGACTCACTAAACTTAAAAGCACGACTTGTACTGTACCATATTTTTCATGTTACGCGTTTGAAAATGAAATCGAGCGAATATTTTACCTTCCAATTTTGTATGGTAAGAACAGAAATGATCACGTTCCAAATAAGACAACTATTTCAAAACACGCTAATTTCCACTGAATTTGGTTATTTTAAATTTTCAGAATAAATGAGATATGAAATTAAAAATAGCTATCATACCTTAACGAAATCATAGACACATGGTCCACCTAAATCGGGGTCATACGAATCTTCCAAATCGAATGCACTGAATCTCAGTTTTATTCTGAATCCATCTCTCACTTCAATTCTCCATTCCTTTTCTAGGTTGTTCCCATAAGGTGCTGGATGGTTGGGGCTTTCGAATTGTCCGAATGTTTCACCACGTAGTATTTGAACAGCATATGAAACAGCGATCAGAAAAGAAATTGTCAGCAAACAGACGCTGAGTCTAAAAAAAATGTTGAATGTTTTGGTATAAGATTATTATTAGAACTCTACTGCTTTCACGGGTTTATATCAAATAGTTGGATCTGAAATATTGAGTCCTCACCAGGCGGCAAGAACCAGCAGTTTTATCTGGTGGCAACCAGATTGTATTTCTCATATTAATTAATGCACCGTAATCATACAACAAACGTGTTCAAAAGAAAATAATTTGAAAGACCTGATTGAATGGAGGTAGAAGTTCCATAACAAAGGGTAGATAATACCGAATTAAATACGATTTAAGATAGCAAGTATTTTTAGAATCAAATATTTTTGATATATGCCACTTTAATTATTATATTTCGAATTATGGGTACTATAAAAATAACTAGATAGCTCGTTGTCAAAACATAAACATAACATAATAAATTTAGTGCTATTTAAATAAACTAACCTCATTTTGCTGTTTTCTCAAGAATCCTCTGTAGTATCCAAAAATTTAACGGAAGCGGCTTAAACTAGCTAGACGCCGCTGTAAATGCCGCAAGGCTAAGTCTTTCCCTTTTTTATAATGTCGGGCTTGCTACAAACTATACACAAGATCAACAGATTTTTTTGCTTCGGGCGTAGACAAGCGGGCTTGTTTTGAATAAGCGGAAGAAACATGAACAAGCTCATGTAACGAAATATTTGAAGTTGTTTTTCATGACACGGTGGTCAATTCAATAAAAGCTAATGAACACTGATTTGCAAAATGTACATATTGTGCTTGTTAACATGGTTCCACTGCTGGCAAAACATGTAACTAATATTTACTCGACCTACTAATCTCTTTACAGATTTAAGTTTACATCAAGCAATTTGGTAGAATATCTTTATAAATGATAAATTATAAATATATAAGTAAATAAGTTCATTGATCAAGTCCGTTGAAAACAAGTTGATGCTCGGAAATGTGTTACACTATGATGTATATGTAGTTGAATTAATTTGAAGGTTTGAGTAATCAAATTTGTAAAAGTCGAGTGAATCAAAAATATTTGTCATGGTGTAGGGAGGATATCGCAATTTACACGATTCGGTGAATTACTGGCGATATGACAAAATATCGTTGATATTTGCGTATATGTGATTGTAGAAGCGTGTTATTTTTAACCAAGAATAGTCATGTTCAGAATGAAGTAGACTAATACTCATGTTCTCCCATTCGATTCCAAAAAATAAGACTGAAAATGTAATATTTACTGTTTTTAAATAATGTTTCTTCGACACTGATCTAAGACAAATTCCTCCTATACAACTTTACCATTGCAAATTTTTGATGCTTGTTGTTTTCACAAGTTTGCACTGAACTGCCTTACACTGGATAATCATAATTTTAATTTAAAATGTGTAACTCCATCTAAACTAAACTTTGTCGTAATACAGAAACTTTGTCGTAAGTGAGATTAGATTTATTTGAATCAAACCTAAATTTCGGAAACACAACCAAAAAAAAGAAAACAGGCTAATGTTTTCAACCTCAAACTAGCGGTTGATGAATCCCCAATCCCTACGTCATCGTTGACATTTCGTTTATTAGCAGATGCTACGGAAGTAAACAAGGAAGCCAATGCTCGAGAAAACATCCTTTGGTAAAATATGTGCATGTAGTGTTTGCTGTCTTGATTCAAAAATAGCGCAATAGGAATAAAATTTTTGCAAACAAATTGCGATGAATGAATGAAATTTACTAGACACAGAATATAAACGAGCAAACCTTTTTTTAACAGCATGTAAATATGCATTCTTCAATGTAAGGAGAACGATTAAAATAATGAAGAATTTTCAAAAGTTTCAGATAATTGCTCGTCATCATTATGACTAATATTTTATGACGTATTCTTTGTCATGACCCTATGATTTGTCTGCCTTCGTTGAAAAATAATGTGATTTTTATTTCATTCAAATCAAACTATAAAATTTTGCTAAATTCTATGGTATTATCAATTCGTAAAATGAAAATCTTTCACTTGTGCTGGAGTATTAAATAATGGTCTGTCTCGAACGATATTCGTTCATTATATATATATAACGTTCATTGTATGTGTTACTGGGACATCCAAAGTATAACTCAATAAGCAGACTATAGGGAAAAATAACAAAATTATGCAACCCAAAGTAAGCAAAAGAGAAATTTTGCGATACAAATAGCAAAAGAAGTAACGACCACTCAACTCCCATTTTAAGGTTTTTTGGAAGTTGATGATTGAAAAAATTTATAAAGAAACAAGCGATGCCCTGATTATAGCTTGTGAGATCAGAAAAGTCAATAAATATTATTTGTGTTGCATTACGTGAATTTCTACGGCATTCAATACAATGACAACGGTATTCTGGACGATGTTTTCTTGTTAAATAGCGCATAGAGTTCTTGAATACACAGATAAGTGTAAGCAGTATAAATTCCGTGGACTATAAACTTTATCTCCAACAAAGAATGACAAAACAGAGTCGCTAGATTTCCTGATTTCTCGTGATTATTTGGAAATAAAAGGATACGAACGTGGTATAATAGTTACACGAAGTTACGGTAGTTCAAATTTTGCGTTAGCTACTTTTGCCAATGCGCTGACTGTTCTTATTTGTCACACTAAAAACAGTCCAAATGGATTATTTTATAGTCCAATTTCTACGTGTAATCACACTAAGGTCTGTATTTTATATACAGTATATGAAATTTGCGGCTGATCTTACAGACGACCACTAGAGTGCTACCAGAGCACCTTGAGCTACTGATACTAGAAAGAATGATAGTGGTGTATTACTCGTTAGTAAATGCCAATTGACGGGAGACGTGAAGCAGTCAGGTGAATACGATCAGGAAGTAAGTATAAAAAAGGTAACTATCGGTGGGCCGAGGCCTACATTAAAAAAAAAGAATGTGAATCAGTGAATTTCACATTAAGGAAGTTCTTGAAAAAAAAAAAATTTTGGTACATAGGGTATGAAATGCATGAGAGCTCACAGCCATTCGAGTTTATCAAACGAAAATTTTTCGAAAGTTCACGCAATCCCTTGTGATATCTGTGAAGCACGAGAGCAATGACCAAATATATGAACAAACTGGTCGCGTATCGGTTCCGGTATGGCGAGGCAAATGTTCCTGAACTTACGACTCATTTACTTTCTGCAATACAAATCACGACGCATTACAAAGGGAATTTTTATTAAATTACGACATTGAAAATTTTTATAACACGTGTCTATTTGATCAATGCGATATCTTAGCTTGTATACGTAAACAATATAATATATAACCAGGTCTACTTCTCCATCAACGTTCATTTTAGAAGATTTGATCATTTTATGCGGACAGACAAGAAATTACTATATAGGCAATGGATTGTTATTTTGCGTCACACTGGAATTCGTACGCACTTGCATGTGGGCACAATCTATACCAGACATGGCAAAGTACGGCCCGCGGGCCAAATCCGGCCCGCTGGGTAATTTAATCTGACCCGCCTGATGCTGCCACAACCGAACTGAAACCAAATTTTGATATTTTAGTTAAAAATGGCTCAAGGGATTTGTTGAGATTGCGGTTAAATTTAGTTTTGGTTTGGCACGAGGTTTATTATTGCTTTTGTAACACTGTGAACATCGTACATAAAATGTAACTCTTTACGTCATACTTACATGGCCCGCCAGTCTAAGTGGGCAAAATTTTTGGCCCCTGCTTCAAAAACCGTGCCCACCCCTGATCTATACGGTGGTGGTGGTTACTTACTAATAATGTCGATGACTAACTATCATTGTGACGTTACGAGCCACACGGATTATTTATGTATCCCAGGTGATTACATTAATATTGGAACTGTATAAGAATTGATAGGAGGATCATTATGCTATGATTTTTAGTGCAGAGAGATACTCAATACTCGAACACACTGAAAATTGGCAGAAGATTAATATCTACCAAGATCATTACCAAAACTTACCATTACTTTTTTAAATAATCTGAATATATAATTTTTTGGTACAAAACTCAAATCAATAATGATTTAACCTAAAAACATAAAAGAACGTAATTTACAAGAATTCTCAGAACGATGTAATATGAGGATTCACCATTTTGAGTTTTTGTAGTAGAATTTCCTACCTTCTGCTAAAAAAAACAGCATCGTTCTACCATCAATTCATCACACTTTTGCTTCCCAAAACTATTTCATTCTTCGTAGCGTAATTTAACCCCGCCTAACTCAAAATTCGACTCTGAACAATCATTAGTGAAGGAGGATGGCAGAGGTAAGACTGGCGTTTATTCATCGACTACTAGCGCGGTTCATTTCTAAATCTTCACACGCTATGACGCTGTTCTGTTTCCAGCGTGACCTTCATTAAAAAAACAGTGCCGGTGCATATATCTCAATAAAAAAGTTTCATGTGGTCATTTAGAATCCGGTCATGAGTTTTTTCATTGGTATAATTTTCAGAATCTACAACAACAAAAATGTTTTCAAACATGCAAAACTGGTAAAATTTGCCATTGTACGAATAATATAAATAGAAACACATGTCAATCTTCCATTTGGGATTCGATAAATTCACTGTATTTTCCCACGTCGGTGTAAACACCCGAAAGACCAGCATATCCGCATGCATTCGAGTCACCAAAAGACACCACTCCACTCAAATACCATATATTTCTAGGACTTTTTGTCATTAAAGGGCCTCCTGCATCACCTTTGCATGCATCGTTTGCAGAATGACTGCATTTAAAATGACAAAATTGGTTAATGATATTCAATTACATTGTAGTCAACAAAACAAATAATACGAATATGGGCAGTTTTTTGTGTTCACTGATAATATAGAAAAGTTATGTATTAGCAATTACAGTAGAAAATTTGAATCTTTTGTACAAAAGCACCCCGAAACAAAAACAACGCCCAAAATAAGAAAATTAATAATTATCCAGTAAAGGTAGGAATGCCCGAACCCTGACTGGATAATTACTAATTTATTATTTTACTTACTTGGTGTCGATTTCAAATATTACAATATTTGCATTAGTGGCGGGGGTTTTGTAATAACGACCCAAAAATTGGTATAAGAAGTGATTATATGTTTTGCAGAAATATGAGAAAAAACCTTACTCAAATCCTGCACATATCATATTCTCAGTAATTATTCCAACATCTCTATATCTTTGAACGCATACATCATGATTCTTTATACCCACTCTTGTTTTGAGCAGGTGTTGTGAATAATTTTCTGATTCTGCAATCCGATAAATTACATGATAAATCAATAAATTTTGCAGCATTGTTATGAATTCGATAAGAAGGTTATATTACCAAAATTTATAATACTAAAATCAAAACAAAACCTATAGAAATACATCTTATTTCTTTGTAAATAATTGGTATTAATTCTAATGCTGGGATAGGGAATTTGAATAACAACGATTTATTCTGAATTATTTTAATTAGGTTGATAAAATAATCATATGCACCTGTTTTTCCCCATCCAATTACAATAGCGTTTTTATAATCTCGATAATATTGCTGTTGTGGTTGCTTTTCACTTGGAGATCGAGGGATGCATATTGGATGAACCTACAATAATGTTATTCAATTTTTATTTATTAAAATAGCATTAACATTTTTTGAATTGTTTTTGAAATATGAATGAAATATCTCTAAAATTTCGTGATGCACAGTACACACGTATTGGGATCGAAGACGTCGTATGCAAATGCAACACTTCGGATGTTGAGATAAAAATTAGATTTTGATCAAAGATGGTTCTTAAGTTCATTTAAAGCCATGGACCCTTCACAACTGCAATATACAATTGCTGAATTTCGTCAATCACAATGTTATCCGTTGACGTTTCCGAATATCTTGCAGGTATCATTATAGAGTGCACACTTAATTCTTTTCGGATTGATGACGGAGGGCGTCTAACTACTTATATGATATGCGTAAAACGAGCTGTATTTCTGACTTTATATAAAACTTAAATATTACGGCATATCTTCGGGCAAAAATACAATAAATTACTCTTACATAATATGACAATTTTGCCGGTTTGTTTAATTTAAGTACAGCAATATCACCGTCATGAGTGGATGAAAAACCATATTCAGCTGCCAAGCTTCTTTTGTTAGGTACGGCTTGTAACTTCTATTGTACAAAACCAAAAATATCAGTATGAAATGGAATTGAAATATGTGTTACATGAGCTCATGGAAAGAAATAATAGAAATACGGTAACAACTTTTTATAGCGGTATTCATTCATTCATTCAAGGTCGTCGATGTAATCAAATTAAATTCCCAATAAATCAAAAAATGGGGAAATTCAAAAACTACAATCGGAAGTGATTTAAAAATGGATCGCCTTTGGAAATCTAATTATACAGACTAATAATCTGTAAATACATCCCATCAAAAACACAAGCGTGTAGTCTATGTACCCTTTGTCAAACAGTAGAGTAGCCCAACATTATATATTATTCAAAAATCTAATTCAATAAACTCTGGTATTCACGTAATCACATACCTGAGTAAAGTTAAAATTGTCGTTATAACGGTCTTGTAGTCCAAGCCAAACGTCGATTGGATCATGTTGCACTTGCTCTAATCTGCAAAAATATCACTTTTTAATATTCGTCTTAGTTTATTTACATCTAATTGCTTTATTCTTAGCTAGCGAGGGCCGTGTGCGTCAACCACTAATTTTACCACGAATACAAACATTTGCATACGAATTTATATCTATTTCAACCAAGAAGCTATCATGCAGCCATGCGCCTAAAATAAAGCCGTAAGGTTGCAGTTTTAAACTTTTTAAACTCTCTGTAATCATAGTTTCAAAATGTTCAAGTGACGCTAAGAAACTTGTCTTCCGTTTCGAGTCAGAGTCGAAATTTCGTGAAACCCAAGTCCAAAACCACCCAACAATAGCCAAAGTTAGATTGTAAAAGGGGTTGGAGTTCGATGAAAGCACACATAAAAAACTTCCAGAGTCATTATGCAAAATATCACTTTTTTATATGATGATGATGATTATTGACGTTTGTTAATCAATGTCTATCGAAATCAATTAAACTGTCAAAACAACATGAATTTTCCTACAATAAACATACATTAATTAGGTTGTCTGAATGAACCACTTACGGTGCGATGCAATGTGCGCCTGTAACCACAGTCATTTCGTCAACTAATGTACCACCACAGTAGTTTCTCCCCCCCCCCCCCCCCATTTCCATCTGGATTCATAATAGAAAATATCACATAATAAGTATTATTTTGAACAATTTTTTTATTGAAAATTGCGATAAGGCACATAATATACCACAAAATATAATGTTTTGCAGCTTGTATGTTGCCTTTCAACTTTGGAGTAAAATAGATTAGGAAAATGATTCTTACGCCGGTCATCCTTGAAATCGATAAATACCATCCACGGCCAACCTCCTATTTTTGCTACAAGTTTACCTCCAGAAATTAACGGTTCAGTTGCAGGGTCTTTCACCAATCGCTCGCCGCATCCTGTGATGTGGAAGCACTGTTAATAGTCTCGTTTGAATGCACGAAACTACTATTTTTGTGAATGAATATTTTTTATTTCATTAAAATTCAATGTTTGTTAACACTTAAAATTTGACGAAAAAGTGTACAAAACAGATAAAACAGAAGGATTATATATTATGACCTACGAATACGCTACACCTGACAACAAAAAATAAAATCCGATGTCAAGCAACCGGAGTGAATAGAACACGAACTTTACTTAGAACAACAAAATTTTACAGAAAAAAATGAGTCAGTGAGCTACGTAAACTAAAGCATTACTTGGTCGACATCTGGGTAGATATGCTTCGTCTGGATTGGACCTGATTACAGTGTCATCAATTTTTTTCCATTCACCGCTTTCCCCACAAATCCATTTCGACGCACCGCGTACCATTTCATACCTTAATATAAGGAATTCAAGTTAATTGATGATTTACGTCACTTAGATTGGTTTCAGTGTCGTGTTTATATGTCCAAAAATAAACTGATAAAATAAATTAGTAGTAGAAAATCTTCTCCTAAAATATAGTTTTGTGGGAAGAATTTTACAGGATAATTTTGAACCTCTGATAAAAATTTGCTAATTAAAAATTATTCATACCAGGCTATGCATTTTACTGTTATTTCTTCAAGATAAGTGAATTGCTTCTTTCCCAAGTCGACAATATAACTGAAGTCGACGCTCTTAAGATGTTCTGGCGCACCACATCATTTAACTGCAAACAAAGAATTTACCACATGATTTAACTGCAAACAAAACAAAAGATATACATTGCAGTTTACATTGCAGAAATAGTTTACTCTACTAAACAATAAAAACGACTTTTCCAGAGTGAATATCAAAATTCAGTCTCCGTTAATTCTGTAAAGCAAAGTCAATGTTAAAGTACAGTGGAGGGTCTATGCATCTGAAGGTGTATTTTTTGTACGTGAATAGATGGTGGGCCATTGTAACGCTCAACAAAATTGTAGATATTGTTGGTTGTTGTGGCCAAGTCTTCATTTTTTGTTGTTATTGACACGAAAATGTGTTTTCCTTTTTAAATTCTCTTCTAATCACCTTCAATGGTCATTTGTTAAAAATCGAACTGTATCTAAAAATACTCCATATTTTCTATACGACATCTCGTTTCGGCATAAAATTTCGCTGTTTTTTAAAAACCGAAACTTCGACGCTCGTAATTAAACAAACTGAATAAACCGGCTGCAATATTAGTTTTATTATATTTCTGCCCTGATTTTAGTATATGGTGTAACATCGTGACAGTGAGTTGTGTAATGAATAATTGCAGTCAACAAATAGACTGTGAATATTCCTTAAAATCAATAGTATGATTAGAACAATTCAACTATTTTTTGTCTTGATAAATTATTATCAATGCCTTACTTCTGCAGACTGGTTGTTCATGATTCCATGTTCCATTGCTGTGACATTGAAGTTTTTTTTCTCCAATCAGATCGTAACCTCTGTTGCAAATAAAGTCAACAACATCCTCAAATTCGTGATACCCCTTGGAGAAGTCCCGTAAAATCTGACCATTGGATGGGACTCCTAGGGTTTTGAGACATCTAATTCCTAAGAAGACGTAATTAATCGCATATAGTTGTATTATTGACATGCACTTGAACTGACAAAAAATAAATAAAAAAGCATACGGCAGTGTGTACTATAGGCCGCGAGCCGAGGCCCTGAAAAACGCTTAGAAAGTGAGTTTCGTAGCGCACATCAGGTAACTACCTGAAAATGATTTTAAAATGTTCCTTAAAAATTTAGTAACATATATTGCCTTGTTCCCACTTCCAAAAGTTGCACGTTTTACGGAAAAGACGCTTTCACTACAAGAAATATGTGCTACGATCTGTCTTATATTCTCTACATTTTCGGCAATGAACAATGACTTCTGCATAACGTAACAATTGAATCGTATCAGCTGTTAGCGAGCGGATGAATATTAGTCATTACTGCTCGACCTTGCGTTGAGTTGGGAAGCCTTTCCATAGCCCTGTTTAGTTATTATTAGTTAAGTTATGCTAAGACGTTGTTGAAAAATGTATAAGTAAGTTATTAAACACTTGTAGATCCTTGGATATGGGCCGTGAGACGAAGCCATGAAAACGCCCAGAAAATGAGTTTCGTAGCGCACATCTGGTAACAAAATAAATTCTTCAGTTTTGTATGAAAATGAACATACTGAACGCATTACAGCTTGTTCCACAATCCTGGTGCGAAATTGAATATAAGAAGTTCCCGGAAATTCAATAACCATAAGTTTACAACACATACATAAGAACTATGCAATTCGAGAGCCCTACAGCACACTAACACAAATGTATTCCTGTAATGTTTTCCCAGACCAAAATCGGACTTCCTCAGTCAATCATCATTTATTAGGTAGATTACGAAAAATATGGCGTACATGTAACCAACAACAAAAAATACTTTAATTGTGTGACAGGAGTCGCGAGTGACCTCGAAAGCAGCGACACCAACAACGCTGATTCACATTTGCGAATAAATTTCATGTAATAACCACAAGCAGTTTACAACAAGAACAGCATAAAAAGCTACATCCATTTTATAGAAGCTATCAAACGTATTTATTTTTAAGCAATGAAGTCACAAATTAACATCGTGAGCACGAAAACACAAATAAATCAGTTATTTCTCACTTAGGAATTTACCGGAAAAGTCAAGAAAATTAAATGAATGTAAAATATGTACATAACATAGTGAACAGAAATATTACAATTAATCTTTTTTTAGTTTATGTGGTTATGTATTTGAATAAAGGCAATATTATTTCTAGAAACAGGACTACGACACTAACAAATGTCCGAAAAAAACAACAACTGAATAATACTTATTAAATCAACTGCAATATCTAATTCACTTTCTTCTGAATTGTTTTCGAAATCCACTATCTCGAAAATCGACTTTTCCTCTATAAGTGTACTGTGATTTTTGCAGTCAATACAAAAACAAAAATCTGTGCAATTTAAGTTGATTTTGGCACACTTTCATAAATTATTTTGACTATTTTTCTTACACTTGCAGTTTGCCAACTCAAGAACTGATTTGAGGGCCACATGCTTCTTCAGTGAATCATTGTTGGGTGGAGAGTATAATCCTTATGTTTGGCAGTGTTAAATAGACGTGCCCTGGTATCATTTACATTCTTCATATCCTCTTCAAATTCCTCAGCTTTATTTATTAATGCCTCGTTAACCTCAAAAGATCTTCATAGTTGAGGGAAAAAAATGAATTGAAAACCTCAATGAAGTCTCCAACATAAGTTTGATGGGCAGTTCCAATTGCAGAAAAGTGCTAAAGTATTTCAATATGAATAGCCCATCTAAGTTGTTTGCAACTATTATGATTCTCATATACCTTTAAGCTTCAAGACTTCTTGTTTAATCCATTTTATAGCACTGATAGCAGCAGGGATCAGAGCCTGCGTTAGGTCGGATTGGTGGAACATTGCCGTTTTCTTTTGTAGTACAGTATCTAAAATGAGGAAGAAAATCATATTTGGAGCAGCATGAGTGTAAAAATACCACTAAATACTAACTAATACCTTGAATACATAATGCATTTTATCTGATGTACTCAATGAGCGTATATATGCTCCTTGCATGTACTACAGTCCAGCAGTGTTTGCATACCATTACTAGACTATATCTACACTAAATTTTAATATATCACAGTCTGAAATGCCCTATGACAGTATGAGTATGGACTATAGATTATATTTTGAAACATCAACTGTCTGTCTACAACTTGATTTCTGACTTCTCAATCGTTTCCAATGCTACCTTTCTTTCCACTCCGGCATAACTTATCATTGCTTCCCAGGTTCTTGTCGACTCTATGAATTTAGATTTAGACCAACCGACATTAGTAAAATTGATTAACTTCTTCTCTTTCACACAACCGTGCATTACAGAAACAGCCATTAATTTCTATTTCCAAATATGCTGTGGCCTATATAGTAGTATAAGTCTGCTGAATAGTCAAGAAGAGTCATTAAGGGAAATCATAAAGTAAACATTTCATGCAAGCCAGAAAATATCGTTGTTTGCGACATATTATTCTAGGTCTAGCCTTCCTTGGAGTTACCGCACCGTACCTATTTAACAACGTGCTCGTGCTCAACTAAAATTGCTATTTATGGTAAGGATATACAAGTGTTTAACATCTTACTTATACTTTTCAACACCTCCTTAGAATAACTGAACTAATGTTAACTGAAAAAAACTATGGAAAGGCTACTCAACGCAAAAGCGAGCAGTAGTAGTAGAGCATACATACATAGTAGTACATCTGATATTCATCCGACCTCTGGGGATCCACCTACAGCTGACTAACTTGACTGTTACGTCATGCAGAAGTCTGCGTTCATTGGCCCATGATACCGGAAAAACAGAGAAAATAGGACAGATGGTAACACATATTTATTGTAGTCAAAGCGTCTTTTCTGTAAAACGTGCAACTTTTGGAAGTGGGAACAAGGCATTATTTGTTACTGAATTTCTAACGAACATTTTGATATCATTTTCAGGTAGTTACCTGATGTGCGCTACGAAACTGAAAGATAAATGGCCTCGGCTCGCGGCCTACTATGAGAAAATTAAAATTACACCACCTAAAGGTTAAGATGAACGGAGAGAGTCGAGTATATACTTGTTACGTTATAATAAAATTTAGTCTACAAGTAAATTCTTTTGCGTAAAGAAGATAATCGACAAAACAGCTATAATTTGTTACTATAATTCAGTGAAGCGTCACGGGCCGGATTATATCACTCCGCCGTAGGTTGCCGACCCCTGATCTAGAGATAGAGAAATAACGGAACAGCATCCAGATTTCTGACGTTAATGATTTACTTCTTGTGTGTTTGATTTGAACAGAATGTTTGCTCCTAAAGCATGTTTTTCCTGCAAATCCTAAAACACGCATTCCGCATGTTTTCTGCATGCCGAACAAAATTCTTACTTGCTTTTCAACCATTACCACCTTCCATAATGATACCTCGATTTGCTTATATATAATAAAGATATATAATATAAATTTAGGAATATAGACAACTGACTTGACGTGTCGTAAGTGAATTTGAAACCCATTTTTCCCTCCGAGATATCGCTTGTGAATTTGATTCGCACGTTGTTTGTATTCATATCTTTCGCTGCACCTTGGTCAGGTGCAGTAGTTCCACAATAAGAGTCTTCTCTGTCATTGTATGTTAGCTAATATGTAAAAAGGATTTCTAATTAAGCTATGTTTTTTTTGTTATTTTAACAAATTGTATACTCTTCAGAATACAAATTCAATCAAATTTTATTATGACATGTCATGAAACAACAGATTGTTTTGTCAAGTTGCTGCCCTTGTTGGACAAAAGTAGATTTTCTTTTCACCTACTTGACCAATGGCCTTCAAATTCTGGTCACAAGTCCGCCCTTGCAATAAGTTTTAAAATTGTCATTTGGCTCTATGGGACAATTACTTTAGTTCACACTTTTGCTTCGTCATTAATTGTGTTTTGGGAGAGTGACATGTAATGCAGGTCGTTAGTTCACGGTATCGGAACTATCTTCTCACACACAAACTTGGCATTAGCTTTTGGGAGTTATTTTTCTATATTGCAAGTATTCAGAAAATGATACTGACGAGTGCAAGTCAAATCATCGGGACTAGATAAAATTTATTTATTTGTTATATTTAATTTATTATGAAATTTATGAATTTCATCAATCGAAACAGAGCATCGGTTGGCTGCATGTAATATTTCTAGGTACTACCAGATGCATATGGCTACAAATGCAGTTTATAATTTTGTCTTACCAATGCACCTTTGCTTCATCATTAATCCGTAGTTGTCACAATATAGTTTTGCTATAAGTGATTCAATGGATTAGTATGTATTTTGGAAATTAATAGAATCAGTAATGATAATTTATATAGAGCATTTCTCATACTTTACGACAAGCTTACTATCAGAATATCATTCGTACAGCCTTGCTCAATGTGTTCTTCTATGTCGAATCGTGTATCAAACTTTATTCGAACACTCAACCCATCTTGTACCTACAGCAGAGAACACAACAAAGTCAAAGCCGACTAAATAGTAGGATCAGTCCTGAATAACTTTATCGTATCACATTAATCGCTCAGTTTAGTGCAAAGTCAGACCTAATTTGAATTGTGTGTTGAAAACTTTAGCAATATCATCGTTCACTATTTTAATTCCAAATTTGTTACAACATTCTAATGATTCATCAGACAGTGCTGCTACAAATACCTAAGATTTGCAATAAAATTAGGTTTGAAAGACTAAATTGTTTTTTCGAATCATGAATTGTAATCGGTGATATTCTCGAATCGGGATTTGGAACTTTATCACCAATATTTGGGATTGATGGATCTTGCCAAAAAACGTACTGTTTTCTACTGGCGTTTTATAATGATAATGCTACAGGTATTGTCAGTATATGCTTACGCGAATATCCCATGTACAATTGCTTAGTTTTGCATATGGTTGAGGGTATTCGGGACTTTCTATCACTCCTTCATCTGCTGTTAAAACTTGATTTTCACAGAAGGTAGCTGAATAAAAAATAACAAGAATTAGTAGAAGTAAGTTAATTGTCGTACGAAAATTGAAACACTGATGCTAAGAATGGCTAATATTTTATATAGGAAGGAAACTCAGAAATAAATAAGAACGGACTCGTAACTTCTAAACGTATGAATAAACATTTGGTATTTGGCGACTATATCTGTTGTAAACATACCTATGCATGTATGGTTATTTTTGTGCAAGAAAAACCCCGTTCTGCAACTACAGTAATAACTTCCCGGTACGTTATTGCAGAAGTGGTCGCAAGTCAATTTGTCCGACCTTTCCAAGTTGTTAAATTTTTTCTTTTGTAACGTATCACATTCGTCAATATCTTTACAAAAATAGAAACTATTTTACTTTACTGGCCGAAAAAGGACCAGAAAAAAATAGTTTGATTAACGGTGTCTAGGCGTCCAGATAACTCAAAATGGCTGACTGGTAAAGGGTGGTTCTGGGAGAAATTTAAAAGCGTGCTGAATCGAAAATTCCAGACTTTCTAAATCCAGCAAATTTCTCCCCGCTGAGATTTTCACCAGCATTTATAAAAATGATTACATTTAAGTTCGGTACACCAGAAAAAAAACATGTTTTTTGCGTAATATAAAATATTTTTCATTGGCATCATATATTTTATTATATATAAGGATGCTAGTTATTTTATTCAAACTTGACCTTCTTCAACATAATGGGCATGAAAACCAGTTGGAGATATTCCGTCGTTTGAAAAGTTGGAAACAAACTTCACATTCACTGTGTTACCAACAGTATGAAACCACTGGCTTGGTTTGGGTGCCTTCATAGTTTGTAATAATAAATTGCCACAAAATCGACCAACATTGTTGTTACGTTCTGTAATCTTAAAAAATAAATATTGATCAATTTTGTAATTTTTATTGCTGCATTTATCTGGAATGAAAACATTTGCAATGAAGATCATTTTTGCGCTAATGATTTGGTTTCTGCGCGACTAACTACTTATCCTTTTGATGCCGGTGGATATACTGCAAAGATAGTTGAACCTAGCATAGTTGAATTATGGGTGCTCTCGAAGTATGTATGTCTGAAGAAAAGTCACAGGAAAATATTTGTGTTAGTGTGCAGCAAGACTCTTGAATAAATTAAGATCATTTTTTTCGCAAAATATTAGAATTCCATGCGATAGCTTATAAAACAAGTCTGATGTGAGCCGAAAATATACTTCCTGAAATACTTTCATTAGATTGATAGCATCTTAGAAAATATGTACTGAATTGACTGTATATATATATATATAATATATATAGTTTCTAATTTTATTGAAAACAGTGTAAAATATTACTAGTCTTTGGGTATCACTTTCAGCGATCGAAAGCCTGTTAACATATTTCGAATATGGCATGATTATGAAATAATCAATTTCAGCTTGATGCAGTTTCGTTATCGTAAGGATATACGATATATATAACTCTATAAAAAATTTATATCATAATACGCGTGACCAAGTTGAAGTCAAAAATTAATTTGGAGCGACTGGTTTCCTACCTCAACAAAATTGTAGGTACAATCACGCTCGCCATCATTTTGAAGTTCTTTCAAATTAAACGTAGTGAATCGCAATCTAATTTTGAATCCTTCTCTCACTCTAATTCTCCATTCCTTTTCTGAATGGTTCTCGTATGGCAATGGATAATTAGAGCTTTTAAATTGTCCGTAAGTTCTACCACGTAGTATTTGAACTGCAGTATTTGAATCAAATACTAACAGCAGAAGATCGCGAAACAGATGCTGATCCTGAAATACAAACAATGTGTAGTGAATTATTAAAATGCATTTTTTTTAAGAAAAATGCTCGTATATATATATTTTGAATGTTGTATCATGTGTGTTTCACGTTAAGGTGGAATTTCCAACTTTTGCAAAAACCATATATGCTCGTTACGTGCACACATTTAGTACAAAGGTTACTTTTCAGGAAATTTGATTAAACATCTTCTCATAAAAATTTATTTTCTGGATCTATGTCAAATATAGACTGATATTTCAGCATTTAAACCACGACGATAGAAAGATGATTAAACAAAAATATTTAGGTCTCAAACTCACGCCCAAAATAGGAAGGTATTTATATAATACTTGATGTTCTCACAAATACTTGATTGTAGCATAAATTAAATTTTTGAAAGCTAACCTCATTTAATTGTTTCTATCAATTTTCACTGCATAATACAACCAACTGAAGGGTGCTGTTGAATCGATACTATCCGCCACTGGAAATTCCAAAATGTATGTTCCTGCACGTGTACAGGAAGAAATAGGAATGTCTGACCGAACATGCGCAAAATTGCGTTTCTCTCACGCGATAAATAAATAAAGTGCAGTATAACGAGTTAAAATGGTAGGGATTGCACATGTTAACATAACATTATTTTAGGAAAAAGCAGGTTACATATTAATAACAGAATAGATGAATGCTTGTTGTACATGAAGTGTACCTATGGGTCGTTTTGTAGAATTAGCTGTTGATGTTCTTGAAAAGTTCACTTTCTCTGCAACTAACAGACCAGTCATTATTCAATTTTCAGTCCTAATAGATGATTAAAGCCACTAGAGCAGTATATCGAGTTAAAATGGTAGGGATTGCACATGTTAACATAACATTATTTTAGGAAAAAGCAGGTTACATATTAATAACAGAATTGATGAATGCTTGTTGTACATGAAGTGTACATATGGGTAGTTTCGTTGAATTGGCTGTTGATGTTCTTGAAAAGTTCACTTTTCTCTGCAACTAATGGACCAATCATTTTTCAATTTTCAGTCCTAAAAGATGACTAAAGCCACTAGATGACTATTAGTTTTAATGTTTTCAAATCCCCTACTGAATCCGATGTTTTCCCTGAAAATTTTCCGTTTTATTTCAAATAATATAGAAACACTTCATTCCGTCATGTTTGGCCGCCACCTTCACGCCCGTCCGCCAATCTGTTTGAAAAACTCGGTGCTAACCCAAGGTCACCGACCGGTGACCGATGTGCGACATCCTGTCCGTGTATTTGAGCATTGCTCTCTCGTTCGTTTAAATCAGTGGCCCCGAAATTGATTGACCGGGGGTCAAAACTAGAAGAGAAACGATATTCGCGTGTCGGAATAGCGCCCGCGAGGGGTCGATGCTTATATCGGTAAGTATTATCAACATACGGATATAATTGAATTGTTACGAATATACACGTGCTCAAACTGTGGTAATGACGTAACAATTGGGGGTTTCTAGAACGCAAAAAGGTAAAAACGCAAAAAGGTAAAGTGTTGAGCTATTTCACTAAGTTCGGCGGACCATATTAAATCGTTACGCGGGCCGTAATTGGCCCGCGGGCTGCAGTTTGGGAACCACTGGTTTAAATGATATGATTGTGACGATAAATATACATCATGATTAGTCTGCAAGAAAATATGTCATCCAATAGTCAACAAGTAAGAACCTAGTATGTACTTCAAGACTACTGTATACGCGCTTTACTCCAAAACTATAAGTAACTGATTAATTAGTAACCAAAAGTTATGGTTGTCTTTTGGTTTTCTCTGACACGATCTTGACCCGACCTCAAAAATACATATCTAAACTAAGCGCGTTGAAGTATGCAAGTTCGTGAGAAACAATGATAACGGTGTAATTGACGAAATGCCGACATTCAAGTGATTATCTGTTCTGAAGCATGGTGAATTTATTAATGAATGAGAATTTTTGGAAAAAAAAATTTGTTTGTTGCTCGATCTAATCTCGATCCTGACATCAACTGAAAAATTTGCAAACGCTTTTAATTATGTAAATTCATAAATTCAGTGTCAGTTGAGTAGGACAAATAAGTAGACGTTTTTCATGGAATTTTGTGGTTCTCACACATGCTGTGGTACACTACATTCAAGGTTCAACAAGCAGTGTGACATTATTTTTGCCACAGTGCCAACTCCATGTTACTAACGGAAAAGGTATTACTTTATACCCGATATGAAGGAAAATTGTATAACCACATGGACTGTCAATATATATTTAAAAAAATGACAATCTCGGTAAAATACCAAGCCAACCAAAAAAGTAGTGAGATATAAAATCTTTAACCAAAATTTAAAATAAAAACCTAATTAAGGTAATTATATAAAGGTTCCCCGTTGAAAAACTTAATATTTCTCTAAAATAATATTTAACTCTCTAGTAGCGTGAATTAAGACAAACCTTTTCAAGTGAGGGACAAATTAAGCATAGCGTTTGGAAAAACAATTCAGAATGTCATGTTTAAAAAATTGTCATCGTGTCCCGAGGCATCGAAATTAACTTAATCTAAATTTGTTCTAGTATTTGTTTTTGGATATGAACCCGATGAAATAGTTGAGTCGGTTGAATAAATTCAAAAGCTTGCAGACCAATAGCTGGTAGATAGTGTGGTCGCTAGAAAAACAGAAAATACGTGAAACAGCTTTTTTATTTCTACAAAGAATAACTTTACAAAGTTTTGAAGGAATATGTTGTATTACACTCATAATTGCGCCAAGCTCGTGAAGCGTTTTGAAGATTAACTTGTTGGATATTTTTACAATTCAACCTATACCTATACGCATTTTATTCGTGATCTCATCTGACTTTCTAATTTTCTGCTTTTCTATCGACCAACCTGTATATGAGCTGTCGGATACAATTTATGATCATGAAATACTGTAGAAATTGGCTTCACAACAATATGTCCAGTCGTTATATCACACTTGCAGCTGAGATCAATCAACAAATTAGCTATATTATGATGAGTAACCTTTTTCTGTTGTGGTCCAGGCAAAAAAACTATATATAATATATTAATTATATATATTAATTGTAATTGTAATTGATATCTTTACAGTAAAGATGAAGCAATTATTGCAATACAGTGCATACATAGCGTTGCTGCAAGTTCTCATAAATTGGGCATTGCTTACAAAAGCTGACCCAGTGGTTCATCTTCTAACCAAAGAGCATGGTTCAATTCAATCTCCTAATTATCCAAAAGATTATGGAGTCAATTTAGACATTACGTGGGAAATAACGGCAAAACCAGGCTATAAAATTATTATATATTTTACCGACTTCGACGTGGAAGACTCATATGAAGAGGGTAAAGGGAACTGTGTGTATGACTACGTTAAGGTAAGTATTTAGAGGTATTTCTCCAGAAAAGTATTTGTTATAGATATCTAATATAGATATATATCAGTTAGTCAATCAAGCAAATGGACTTAGATGAAAAATCTACAAACACCGGATGGTGACTGGTTGCATCCTTTGATTGCTGATTGCAATAGTCGGCTCATGATCAAATTTGAACTCGCGATTCAGAAAGTACAATTTTAAGCTATATTAACCATATCATACATAATGCATGCTCTTCAATTTTGAGAATGTGTATAGCAAGGATTGCGAACCACTGACCCCACCATGTTTTCTCGGTGACTCAATGTAACTACTACTTTTACTCAATTTAACAAAATTAACTACTGTAACCATAGTGATGCAGCCAGTTCTGAATAGAATCCGAATTTTAAATTGCACAGTATTGTCATTAACGAAGTGCTATATGTGCTGTATGTATGAAGATCAAAACTACACAACACCAACCAAGAAGAAAAGGATGCAGTAGCAAGTTTCTCGTCAATAGACCTTGATTAAAAACCACAGTTTCCTTTTGGCAATAAAAATAAAATTGTTGACCCATTCATTGAATAAGGTTCGTCATCGCTGATGTAAGATGTCTTTCGCAAGGCAGCCATATGTGTGTTCAATCCAAGTTGCAACTATGATAGTTTCCTCCGTAAAAACAGTTGTCGTTTGTCGAGACATATGCATATATATGTATATATTAACGTTCAACCTTCCTTCGATTTTCAACGCTAATCAATGTACATTGTGAAGATTGTCAATGGGGATTCATTTCTCGCATTCTCATACATGGACGATTAACTAAAGGACCACGCTTGAATGCTATACCTTCATTTTCAGATTTTATCTGGAGATAAAATCATCAAAACGTTTTGTGGCAGCAGTTCCCAAAACAATATTCACGCCCCTGTGCTGGAAAAACAAATTGAGACGACAGGCAATAAACTGACTTTGCAATTCGTTTCCGATTATTCAAATGATGATCCTAAACCCAGAGGATTTCTAGCACATTATAAGAGCGTTGGTGGGTATAAAAGAATTCTGTTTTGTTAATTTTGTTCCGAAATTGGGAATCTGTAGCGAACGCAAGGAGAATCGGAATTGCAAGTCGAATAAAAGATTGGTTAGGTTCAAATTTGTATTAAACAAGCAAATAGTTTTTCCAAGCAATCATTTCAATCGTTAAAAAAGTTAATGAAAGGCCACAAAAGATGATTGTTCTTTGTAATTGATGTTGGTTTTCTTTACTTATGAATCTTTCCTAGTAAATATTTCGTCTTTAATGCTTTTAGAAAAAAAAAATTTCAACTCTGCGATCATTATCCCATGTAAAATGACTATGGATTTCATTTAAATATTCAAATCGTTAACAATGAACAACATCCGTCCTCGCTTTCGAACTTTTTGGATGCTTCGATAATTTAAGCTTAATCAACTTACAATTCTTACAAATGATTGGCAGACAGAGACGAATGCAAAGAAAAAGAATTGGAAGTTATGTATGCTTTTGAAGATTGGGATGAAATTATATATTGCAACCACCAATGTCACAACGTAGCGGGAAGTTATTTCTGCAGTTGTGAAAAGGGATTCCAATTGCATAGCAATAAACATACTTGCACAAGTGAGTAAAGATTGTTTGTTTTGTTCAAGTAAAAGATATGAAACATTTCATAACTTTTATTTCTTGCTTTATCCTGTACAGGTTCTTGTCAAGGTATCATATTGACTGATGACAAAGGCATCATAACAACATCCAAGTATCCAGTTGCCTATTCTAAACTTGCAGATTGTGATTGGACAATTAAGGTTTGAAAAACGCAACACCAAGAGGGCGTTTATATTTCTTTTGTTCGAAACCTTTAAAAAGTCATCAGCCACTGATCCGTACCGAGCAAATATGTTTTTAGAACTACTGAACGATATTTTTGATGCGGCATAACCAACCTGGCCACTCTCATTATGAGTAAGCTAGCGTACCCAGAATTCGAACGCGAGATTTTCACCCGCCGCAAAAACATAATTTGCTTCATGTATTCCGCATTTCCGTGTTCGGAAAATTCGCCGCAGGAAGTTTCGTTGCATAGGAAAATTCGCCGCAAGAGCATTTTGCTGCAAAACGAGTATTTTTTATAAAAACAGTTAGATTTATAGGGTTAGGGTATGCTAAACTTAACAATTTTTATCACAAATACTCGTTTTACAGCAAAATGTTCTTGCGGCGATTTTTCCTATGCGACGAAATTTCCCGCGGCAAGATTTTCTAGAACCATGTATTCTGCACATGCACGAAAATAATCCTTATGATTTTATTATTTTTAGGGAAAAAAGGGCATCAGCATAGACATAAGATATGTTGGCACTTTTTCAATCGAAAAACATTTTGAAGAAGGCTGTGTTTATGATTGGGTTTATGTAAGTTGATAGTTTTCTATTCATATCACTCTCATGCAATTATGTGCTATGCACACTCATTGGAACAGAAATTGGAAAAGAATTTTTTTTACCCTTACGCACTTTTCCACTCGTCTCATTGTTGTTATTTCAAAACTAAACGTATAGTAAAATATACCCTGAGATTATCTCAAAGCTTGATACGAAATGGGGTGTCTCCAAAATGTCGTGTCCCACTACGTGTACAACGTGTCCCACATGTGCCACTTGTACGACGTGTCCCACTTGTACCACATGTCCCACTGGTTCCACGTGTCCCACTTGTCCCAGGTGTCTCACGTTTCCCACTTGTACCACGTGTCCCACTTGCACCACCACCATCAAGTAGGTACGTGGGACAATTGGGACACGTGGTACGTGTGGGACACGTGGGACAAGTGGGTCATGACATTTTGGAAACACCGTACGAAATGTCCTTATTCCCACATACCTGGAATAATGTATCTGTGCACAAGTTATTTGTCGCCGCAGTTCCAGTGTCTAGCTTTGCACATGGCATAAGCCTATAAGTTATATTTCATTTTAGCACGAACTTGCCGATGGTACAAAAAGTGAGAGATATTGCGGAACAGGGAAGCCAAACAATGGAGAATGGATAAACACAAACTCACAATCAGTGAAGATTATGTTTCATAGCGACTTGACTGAAGAGGAATCAGGATTCAAATTAGAATATAAATTTAATAGTAGGCGGTTCCTAAATTTTATTTCTTAAAAATCTTTGGACATAGAACAAGTCACTCAATGTGTATTTTAAATAGTGTTTATATAATAAAATCGCCGTATATTACCTTGTACCTAATTCATCTATCTTTATCGTCGCTAAGGAATCGTTTGAATTAGAGATTTCTGTTTGTGTTTTTCCAAATTCAAGTCAACCGATTCCTGTGCTAACAGATTCAACTTTGATTCTGCTATTTTGTGTATTTTAATGAAGCATTTTATTAAATGACTCTACATTATTTATTTATTTATCCTAAAAATATATATCACTAGGTCCAAATGATTTTATTTTACTCTGAGTGATCCGACTCCGAATACAAATATATACTCGTATATTATACCTTTTTAGGGGTGCAATGTAAAAAAATACTGATAGCGCCACAAAATGGAATGATAATCTCGCAGTCAGCTTCAAGATATGAATTTGAAGACGTGGTTAAATTTGCTTGTGTCAAGGGATTCCGAATAATAGGAGAGAAGTCGATTACGTGTTTAAATAATGGGAAATGGAGCGCCACGGAACCCGTTTGTCAAGGTAACATTTAACTATAGTGCGACTGCTGGTATTTCTCCTAATCGTATGTATGGAACGGAGTAATTGTCACATAATACATTGTATTTTTCAGCTATCATCTGCGATCACCCGAAGGACTTCGTCAAAATAAAACATGCGACTCGAGTTATTCTACCTACGTCATTTGCATATGGTGCAACTTTTACTGTTGCCTGTGACGGTGAATAGTAAGTGAAAATCATTTTTATCGTAAAATATAAGTATTATGGTGGAATAATGGAAGCATTACACAAAATCGAAACATTTTAAATGAAACCTAACACATTTGATAATATTTTAGTCGATTGTCAATATATTAGTTTGAATGCCACAAATATTCCTTTTCTTGCAAGTTTTGAAATGGTTTCGGGAGCAGCGTCTTGGATATGCGGAGATGACGCAAAGTGGGTACCCAATTCTGAACTTCTGGCACCGAATGATAACAACAATGTTCCGGAATGCAAACCAGGTGATATTAGGAATTCAATTCACATCGGTATATATATATTGGGGCATCCCGTTTATTTCACATTTGTAGGCATTTGTTATCATCATGCAGACGTCGCTACGGTAAGTAGGCTATGCATGAAAAGAAGTAAACCAACTCTATTTCGGTTTATGTAAAACATGTTGCCCTATATATATATATACTTTTGTACGTATCTTGATTATTTCAAAAGTTTCATGTCCTATATATATCAAATTTTCTAAAACCACACCATTGCTATTTAAGCTTGTGGATTAAAAGGAAATACAAGACGCCTGGCATTTGCAAATTTTAGGAGGCGAAGGGCAGTCCTAAAAACAGCAACAAAATTCATAGGCCAAAATGTCATCGTCGCAGCTGTTGTACGAGGAAAACCTGCAAAATATGGAGAATGGCCGTGGATGGCACTTATAGATTTATGTAAGATAACATGATCTAGTGTTCGTTTTTTCTTCACACTCTGTGTACATTTGGTGCGCGTGAAAATGTTTAGGGGTTTTGAGGTGTGAAGACAAAAACATGCAATCCAGTATTCCACACTCTTCTAATTAATCCATTTTGGTAGATTGTATGCGGTAACTTTCGGTAGAATTCAAAAGCGCTAATTAACAATTTAGCCTTGTTGGAGTTATTATCAAAGCGAGATTGAACTAACTTGAATGGAAAATTGAACCAGGCCTAATTAACTCGAGTTATGACCGATACACGACTAAACGTTTCCATCACTATTATGACAACACTAAAGCAGACTTGTGTCCTGAATCACCGAGTCTATAGTATTCTAAACATTCCGTGACTATACCCTTCAATTTTTTATTCACAGTTGGCTCTGGCTTAAACACAAACGAATTTTGTGGAGGAAGTCTAATATCTGCAAGAACTGTCGTCACTGCTGCTCACTGCACATCGAGGTGATGGTTTTACTATAAAAACGAAAAACGTTTGGTTTGAATTAGGTCATGCAGACGATGCAGTGCCAAAGAATAAATAGGTGTTGCACCTGAAATGTTTCATTATTAGACAATAGAATCTAGACATTGTCCACCAGCATGCTTTAATTGTTAATAATGACTTTTTGTTTATTTTGAGTGGAGAAAACATACTTGACGTTTCAGACTTATTTTACAGAACTTATGTTGACCGGATTAATGTGTTTCTTGGCGTATCGGAGAGAAACTATGCTGGCGATATTCATGTACAGGTACATATGAATTGAGTTCCAACGAAAAAAATCAAATTTGCAGCACATGTACGACTTATTTGTAATAAATGGCTTTTATTTTACTACAGAAATTCAAAGTAGCTGAACTATACGAACACGACAAATATGTCCATTCCAATTTCGATAACGATATAGCGGTCATCATTCTGGATAAGTCGGCAGTCATAGGGCAATATGTGAGTTAATATATTAGGAATTATCAGACTTATGTAGCAGATCATTTTTACATTTTCTCTTGGCTATCTACACTTTGGTTCACACTAAATTTTTGCCGACTTCAAAAAACCTCGCCACCATGTGAATAACTTAACTTGAGGTACAATCCCATAACAACTTTGATTTACCAACATATAAACCCCTCCATTAATTCAGGTACGTCCGGTTTGTCTTCCTCGATCGGTTCGACAAAAATCTCTTCCAAAATATGCGTTAACGGATCCAGAAAGTTTTCCAAAGACAGGGGTGATAGCAGGATGGGGAATAACTGGTATGATCGTGATATGTTGTGTAATTCTTCAACACCCAGGCATTTACAAAAGATTAGACTATCATTCAGAGTGACAATTTCGCAGTGTGTGGAACAATGAGAGGGCAATTCCACTAAGGATACAAGGGCGTCCATGCAGCCTGATTAGATGAATTCACTTCTATGCAAAATAAACTTGATAGATGTTTCATGAATTTACTTTCATATGTTATAAATCATATATAGATAAATTGATGTTAAAATTTAGTTTTTTAAGATATATAAACGCCGGAATAGTGCAAATCATAGAACGATCTTTTATTACCTTTCACCAATTACTATGCATTCTCAGAAACGGGATATCTTCCTAAGGAGCTGAACTTTGCTCGTATCCCACCAATAGAAGAAAGCAGATGCAAGCAGTTATATAAAGCTAGCAATCCTTCTGGTTCCGACGGAATAAAAATAACACAAAATATGATTTGTGCAGGATATCCAGGGTATGTGTATTTTATACCTAATCTATAGTATAACATAGTTACGCAAATTCAGCTATATCTCGTCGCTTAAATCACTACCGTGTTTCCCCGAAAATAAGACCTAGCCAGAGTTTTGAAAATGATTCTAAAATAAGCCCTCGATTTAAAATAAGACCAAGTGGATAGGGCAACCTTTTTTTGACCTAGTCGATAGCAAAAAATTCTTCCTAGTCGTTTTGAATAATCGTTGATTAATAATCTTTGTTTAGCACACTGTTAAAAATTTTTTTCCAAATTTACTAAAAAAAAATGGCAGCAAAAGTACTGGCCCCATGTAAAAAAATTTACAGGCCCTATCAGTAGTTTTATGAACAGTATTTTTAGTAAATTTACATAGATTGATGGTAGCAAAAATTACTATAAAACTGTAAAAAATACTACTTTTTTGACGGCAGTAAACCTACCCACCAGTAGTAATATTTTTTACCTTAAAATAGTAAATAAAATTACTATCTCGATGGCAGCTACCTTACCCGACAGTAGTACCATACAATACTAGCATGATGGTAATTTCTCACTCGCGATGACCGAACCACTACGAGAGTAGCAAAGCTATTTACTAGCACGACACAACAGTAAACACACATATTACAGTTAAAATAAAAAAAACGAGATTCTGGAAACGAAAATCATTTTATTACAATTGATATTTTATAAAACCATAAATACACACTGAACGCCTTTAAGGCTTGTAAAACAGTTTCGAAAGAAATTTCAGAAAATATATGGTCTACAGTCAAATTTAAACACCTATTAGGAGACGTTGAAGGCTATCCATGCAATAAAATGAGGGCACAAGTTCTTGTAGGACATAGAAATTCTGTATGTAATGGATCAAAATCGAGTTTCTATTGGCACTTGTTAGAAATCTGGTCTATACATTTCGAGGTCTATTTATTTATCTCAATAGATCCAAATAAAGTCAAACAAGAAAACGTTTTAGGACTGGGTTGTTTAGTTGACAAACTTATTTTGAAATCAAATTTCTGGATACCAGGCTATGAGACGCTGGCAAACGTGACATAATAACGAGACTATTGTAAGAATTTCACGATTTTTTGCACTTTACTCTAATTATAATGTTTCAAAATGAAAATTTGGGAAATATCATGCAACCTATTTTGTAGCTATGGCAAGAGTTTCAAAGATGACAAATTCTAAAGTTAATTATGCAAGATAATTTTCAAGATAAGATTTCAAGGGGCGTGAAGTCGAAGAGCGGGAGTTTGAGGATTTTGGTAGGAGCATGAGTGGGAGTTCTAAATTTTGAAGCTTGCGGAGTCTATAGAGTTAATCATAGTCGGAGTTTATCCACACTTATGAATAGAGTTTGACTGGACATTTTTAAAGCTCATGAGCTAGGAGCAGAGTTTGCAGAAGTTTGCAAATTCGAAAATGTTAAAATTGAATAAAACTGGACAAAAAGTTACACTAAAGCAGCTAGCATAGCAGCAGTCAAATCTTATAAGATCAGGGAGTCAAGAGTTTTAATTCATATTTTGAAAAGAGTCTTGAGCAGAAGACGGAGTCATATATTTGCAAATGTGGGAGTTGATAGTCATGAGTGGAAGCCAGAAAATTTTGTGGTTGAAGAAGATTACGGAGCAGAGTTTGTTTAAAATTATCCAGACTTCACACCCAACACACAGCTAAATCATTTTTTATCAAATAATCGATCAGCCAAAAGCAGGGCTGCGAACTCGAACTTCGAAAAACTCTATCAAATACATGAACTCAACCCCTGACCAGGGGTAATGAACTCGAACTTGAGAAACTCAATCAAAGGCATGTGAAAATTTGATCGAGTTTTCACCCCTGGTCCAAAAGTGATGTAAGCTGCAGTAACACCACCAAAGTTTACTTAAACATCAATTTCTAACAATGGCACATATAACGCCTGTGATAGATTCACTCTTCTTGCAAGGCCGATTACTTTTGCATGAACGTCTTTGCCTTTACTTTTTTCGACTTAGTGCCTCTGGGGTTTATGTCACCGAAGAACCTGAAAAAAGACCGAACTTAAATGGCGAATAGGTTTCACATATGAAATTTGGAAAACGTCCTGTCATCTCACCACCAAAATAGTAAAAACACAAACACTGGACAAAAATAGTAAAAATGTCAGGTATTTATAATGTATCGTGCCTTGCCAAGGGATAACAAAAACTGCCAGTGGGCCAGGAATGCAATTGCTAAACCAAGAAGCACCAGATCCTCCTAGCCTCCAGTTGTCGCAAATCGCAATAGGCTCATCCGCTCGTTGACATTCGATTGCAAATGCAGCAATTGAAAAAATATTGTATTAATTTCTGTCATTAGTAATGATTTTTTGCAAATATATCAAAAATTTCCTGCTACAAAATGGAGAGCACAGTGACATCGTTTGAAATTGAAGTTCACTATAAAATAGGATTGTTGTGAGTTCATTTTTCACATATGGATGTAAAACATATTAGATTAGGAGGAAACATGTGTGGTACCGCCAGTCAGTCTATTATTAACCACCTAAAACTGTTTAACTAATTAAATTATTCTCAGCCCCACTTATGGCCCAGTCCCCAGGATATGGACACCATGAGTTTGTGCAAGTCCAGTCACATATTTCCTTTTCACAACCCATTTTTTGTATTGTATGTCATCAAATAACACTACATGACAGAAGAAACAGGTAATTCGTCAACAACGTGTACATTGTGCCAACAGCAAGAATTATATCAGCACTGTAGACTAGCACATTTTTTCTTACCTCTGAATAAAATCAAACGTCAGCAAGGCCTTCTTGGATATTCTATGTTGAAAACATAGAACGAAGCAAACTGAAAAGCTACCGCTTCAAAAAAACGATCTACAGGAACACACCACTTCTCGTTCAGCGATGACGTAAAAAGTCTCAGCAGTCGCTACCCGTGTTACCTGAACACAAGATTGTAAACTTTAGCTTCGAATCTATAGGCTTATGAATAAAGTGAAAGTCACTCGACAGGTTGATTAATCTTATTATCTCAACTTCTAAAGCCAACTAATAACAAATACACTTACTAGAGGTGGATGATTAGTGATTTTTTTGATAATATGCAATTACACAATTATTAATTGTATAATAGTACGATCATCTCCAAATTGGCTTTGGCTATATATCTAACATAGCAGACATGGATTTGTTCTTATTTTCACTCACCGTTGATAGCAAGCGCAACACTGATAAAACGAAGGGAGAACTTATTACATTGATGAGGCTTATGATGCGCATTACGTTCTTTCAGAAATAATATATTTCATATTTCAAGCAATGCATACTGTGACGCAACAGTTAAAGCAGGTTGCATGGACAGAAAGCTGGTGATATTATTTTATAATAATCACAACTGAGAAGTATATGGCGACACAAAATGGCCTTTGAAAAAGTTGCGCAGAATTAATCACAGGAAAACAGCTATCATATCATTTTTCGAAATTGTTCCCGATATTCACAATTTACATCGCTCACCTCTAACACTTACCTATGCAAGCAATAAATGGAGATTTTGGAATATCTTTAATATCTGGGAAAAGTGGTTTCTTTCTGAAAATAGGCAAAGTAGTGAATGTATATGCAAAAAATTCCGTTAACCACTATCATGCAGTTAGTTTCCAATTAATTTGCAGTCGGCTCACAAAACTTTATACGAACAGTGTTGTGCAGAAGTTACATACTCTTGATGCAAAAAACTTTCAAAAAAAAGTACTTTACACAAAAAAGCATAGAACATACCTGGAAACACTTAAATATTTGGTTTAGGTTTTCTCCGAAATAATAGGCGATCAACGTGACCACCCCAGTCGATTTTGGTAATTCAGTTTTCAGACTCTTTGATTCCGATTTTGAAGAACTTATAATTCAGAAATTTTCTTATTGGTTGAATATTTCAATGTTCTAAATAATAATGCCTGCTAAAACGCTTAAAAACAGTGAAAAACCGTCAAAAAACACCCAGAACCCTGCTAAACGCTTAAAAACAGTGACCAACCGTCAAAAAACACCAAGAACCCTGCTAAAACGCTTAAAAACAGTGAAAAACTGTCAAAAAAATACCAAGAACCCTGCTAAAACGCCTAAAAACAGTGAAAACCCGTCAAAAAACACCAAGAATCCTGCTAAAACGCTTAAAAACAGTGAACAACCGTAAAAAAACACCAAGTACCCTGCTATAACCCTTAAAAACAGTGAAAAACCGTCAAAAAACACCAAGAACCCTGCTAAAACGCTTAAAAACAGTGAAAACCCGTCAAAAAACACCAAGAACCCTGCTAAAACGCTTAAAAACAGTCAAATAATACAGTGTAAATTGTGAAATCGCCAAATACGTTCCGAACAAGATGGCCGCCTTGTAGACTTTGTAGGTATAGTTGAATTCATCTGTCTGTTACCGGTACCGTACCTATTGTTGCCACTGACTTGTAACGTTTGAACGTACCGGTATCCTATCACCATAGGCTACCGGTAAGTTACATCTATTCCGAAACAAATACTGAAATAGCCAATTCAGATTTTTACTCTTGGTCGTCGATATATACCGGTACCGGTAAGACGGCGAAACTAACGCAGTGTGTAAGCATGTCGCTGTATACAGGTAGGCTACGGTACCGGTACCATTAGATGCTGATGTACACGGTATTTGAAGAATATTTTGGTCTACCAACTACAAGTCTGCTACTGTAACACAAACATGCTCAATTAACGCATGAAAAGCTACAAAAACCAACCGCCTAAAATAAACATCCACTAACGACAAAGAGCCTCGCTTACCGAGTCCTAATTCCTGAACCAGAAAAGGCGCGGGCTACAGGCACGTGACATTTGAGTGATGTCATAATTGGCACATTACCGGTACTAAATGACCTATGACCGGAAAGAGAAGGATTAAAATATAGGACACTTTGATCTCTGCAAAAAGTACCAGTACCGGTACCTCAATATTCAGACCACTACCCGTGGTAAATTCGCAGCTACCGTACAGACCGTTTGCTAACACAATCATCAAACTCAGACTCACGCTATTGCATACTTAACATACGTACCGCATTCAGTTTTCATACGCACGCAACCGATGCTGAGCTCCCAAACAGCTTAGCGTCCCAGCCGAGATGGGCAAGGAAACTCGAAATCAAAAATGCTGCGCACGCAACCTGCCTCGTGGAGTTTTTGCGGATGAATTTTTGGACAAATAGGTCCGCTTACTTCCGGAAAAATAATATATAAAAACAATATCTTATCTTGTCTAATGCAATAGCAAAACAATCAGAATTTTTGGGTGATGAACCAAAATAATTTTAGAATAAAATTAATTCAAATTAATACCCAGAGCAAAATTTAGATGAAATTCTAAAGGAGTATTTAAATTTGCTTCGTGACTATATCGCATGCGTAGGTAGATAAATTCGTTTATTGGAAAGAATAGTTACTCGTAAATTAGAGGATCTTAGATTTTTTTACTTTTTCCAAGTATACTAACCTTTTTACTATTTTTCTGTTATATTAATTACTAACTGATCAGTGAAATTACTATTCATTAGTAAACTATTAACAAACAAGCACCCTGATTGGCTCAGCTAAGCAAGTCACGTGATTTCAATAAAATACTCTTGTAGAAAGTAAAATTCAACGAAAAATTAGTAAAAATTTACTAGAAAAATTAGTATATTTACTAATTTTTTTAACAGTGCAGTAATTTTAAATAAAAACGTGTTATCGGTTTTCATATTTTGTATATTTGAAAATCTCGTAATTCTCTACTTTGTAATTTTGTTTTTGATGAATGAAAAGGAAAGACACTGTCTTATTTTCGGGGAAACACGGTATTACTAACTAACTAATTGATAAAGTCTCGATTCTATTCAAACCTGAAAAAACTACATTTTAATAACGAATTTTGTATTGTGCCTCATTTATTTTGTCGTGAACGTCATAAATAAATGAACAATTGCTATGGATAATATAGAAATTATTTTTTTATATCATTTCCAAATACAAAGTCAATTTTTTCAATTGACAGTAAAGGTAAAGGCAGAGACTCATGCCAAGGGGATTCCGGAGGGCCTTTAATGTTCAAGGATCCAGACAGATCAAAATATTATCTCAGTGGCGTAGTTTCATTTGGCTCAACGGAGAAATGTGGCGAAGGAACGTTTGGAATATATACAAACGTGTCACGATATATCAGCTGGATTGATAATTTCATTCGAGATTAGAGGTTATGTCATCCAACTGAACTATGAATCTTATTGAAAACTTTGTATAACATTACGTATACCAATGAACTAGAATTTCAAAGCACCATGGGATGAGTAAAAAGTGGTTTTTGAGATATGAACTATAAATATGACTATCAATATAATAGTAAAAAAAAAATGAAAATGTAGAGGTGGTGATTTGATCTTCAGGTCCGTATGATTGTCAGTTGCTCTTTTGCTTGTAGAATCATTCAATGTGTCAGGATTGTTTTCAAGCACTGATCATGTTGATCATAAAATTCAGCGATGGATCAATGAACAATAAAAAGATTCAATCGTCAAATGTAAAGTGAGGTTACTTCCATTGTATATATATATATGAAATTTTACCTGTTACACACACCCGTTCCGATCAAGGAGCTTTTATTTTATTGTTTAAAAACTATAATAACAAATAATGTTACAATGTCCACCAAATATAAAAATGATAGGATCATGAATGTGGTATTCAATTTGCTTAAAGTATAATATCCGATAAATATGTCGGAATAAATCCTCTGATACAACCATATGTACAAAAAATAAAATTTCGGATAATATATAGTATTGCTAGTTCATTGTACAAGTTCAAATAGATCGCGTGAGATTGAAATATTTGAAAAGTAGAGTAATTAATGTGAATATCGGAATAAAAATAGTGAAACCTAAAAACGAATGATGTCCTTTTTCCACTCAACTCTTCGATATACTACTCAGGCTCACATTTGCGTAATTAGAACGAAGAATATCAAGCTACAATTAAATTAAATGAACTAAATAAACATGGAAGTCAGGTCACTTACCACGTAAAGTTTTTATGAAATGGAGTAGAAGGGAATTGACCAATTTCTATGCGCCAAACTTTACGCGTCACCATTTTCCTCTACCCAAATTTTTGGGCCTGATTTCAAAGTTTTAATATATATACTGTATATAGCTGTTAAACATAGAAAATCGTTAATTTTGATAGCTGTTTCTCTCTCCCCTATGTGACTGTGGCTAAAACTGAACCGACGGAATGGGTGAATGGGATGGGATGTAGAGTTACAATGGGTTTATTTTAAGAAAGTCGAAAAACGTCACTGGCTAGCTGATTCAGAACCAAATAAACATGGACTCACCTCATATTATATATACGGTATATATACATTGGTGAAATGTATCTTTTCGCTTACATGCTTATATATATTAGGTCTATTATAATTGTTATCAAGGGTATGTCTATCGGAGACCGCCATCGCTGGTTATGTTAATGAACCGCGATTGTACTGGCCACGACAGTTACCTCTGTTTGTGTTTTGCAAGTCAGTAAACTGGCAACGGCAACTTGGTCGTCGAAGCCTGACTGTGACAGTTTCTTTAGGCGTGGGTCACTTCTTAGAGGTAGGATATCTAAAAAAATTTTATCACTAATTAGGGGGATCAGAGTCATATTTTAGGCATAGTTTACATTTATTATTATTGAAATGCTTCATTTAATTTATATTCCTCATGTGAGAATAACTGTCTATGGACCTTTCCCCGAGCATTGACTTCCTTGTTTACTTCGTGATATTGGCGAATCAGCAGATGCAAAAAGTGACGTAACAATGCTCCCTTTTCGTATCCGCTCAGACACTTTTCTCACTCAGACAGATTTTCAAGCGTGGTCGTAAACATTACCTCGTTTTCGCGTTTTTGAAGTCTATTCGTTAGTTTTTAGTTGCGTTCCGGAAACTTAAATATAAATCAGATAATTCAATGATAACTCTGTCTTTCTAGGAGTTCTGATTTGATTGCAGTAATAAAAAATTAGTGTAGAAAAGCTGTGATAGACTAGGCTGAAGTTCTCTACCGGTACCTTTAAAAAACTGACTGTTGTATTCGATGAATCATAATGATGATTTGAAACACATACCCCATTTTACAGGCGCCAACTCGCAAAAGCACTCTTGAGAAAGCCCCGAAAATTTTGTAATGGTAAAGTATAGAGGACTTGCACGGGTCACGTGACTTTGTTTACTGGACGGCAAAAAAAAACAAAAACGTCCATTTGGCTCCTGTCAGTTGCAAGTCGGATTATACGTTTCCGTTTTGTTTGACTGTTGAAAATGGTTATTTCGTATTGTTCCGTTTGCTGTACGTATAGTATAGACAACGAAATGGATCTTCAGTTATATTCCACTGTTTTCAAAAGATCCGGAACGTCGCGCAATGTGGATATCATCTATTGGCAGGACTGCTTGGTGTCAAGTCCAGAAGTCATCTCGCTTGTGTTTCACTGTTTGCGGACAGCACTTCGTTGATGGTGAGTGATAATGTGCCGTTATCAATTTCTTTAAATATTCATAAGCTTCCTCATTTCAATCAATGAGCATATATTACCATTCTATGTCGGGATTAGTTAGCCAGTTATTTGTTTTTAGAAGCATGGACTTGATGGTGGGGGATGTCGTAATCGACCAACGGTCGTGTGAACCACCCTCAGTGGGAGGAGAGCTGCAATACTCTTGCACATAACTATCCCCGCATGGGATTGGAACCTGTGAAACTACCAGGGTGATCAGAGATGCGGTGGCGAGCGTATTCCTAGATGGCGAATTCAATTGAATTATGGTTATTTTTTGCATGAGCACTGGGGTTAAACTTTAGGTATCTATTCAATTTTTCACACTTACTAATAGATTACCTGCTAACTAGGGAAACAATACCTTATGGCAATTGATGATTAATTCCTTACACAAGTCAAGTCTGCAAGTAGGCCTACGCCGAGGCCTACCAATAACAGTAGTTTGTCATCTGCTTTCCATTGAAATGAGGGAGCTTATGAATATTGAAAAAAAATGATAACGGCACATTATCACTCACCATCAACGAAGTGCTGTCCGCAAACAGTGAAACACAAGCGAGATGACTTCTGGACTTGACACCAAGCAGTCCTGCCAATAGATGGTATCCACATTGCGCGACGTTCCGGATCTTTTGAAAACAGTGAAATATAACTGAAAATCCATTTCGTTGTCTATACTATAGTATAGACTCTATACTATACGTACAGCCAACGGAACAATACGAAATAACCATTTTCAACAGCCAAACAAAACGGAAACGTATAATCCGCTTGCAACTGACAGGAGCCAAATGGACGTTTTTGTTGACCAGTGAAGAATTTTTCGGGAGTCAAAGGTCGGGAAAAGGTCCATTGAGGGATTTCAATTTGACTACAATTTCGCCTTAACAATTTTTCTCATCCGAAATATCTCAAACCACAAGCACTCTCATAATGAACAAGAAATTTTGCGCTCAGTCTGATATGCTATGTAGCCTAATTTATGATCAATGAGGGTTGAACTTATATTTTGGAGAGAGAGAGAGAGAACAGACAGTTCTTTTTTTGTAGGCGACTGGAAGACAAGCCTCCTGAGATATATATTGTGCCGTAGTGTCATACACAGCATGCTATACCCAAAAACCCTGAGGCAATTCTCCACACTTCTGTGCCATCGTGAGGTAATCGGTGTGTATGACAAAATGGAAACGTAACATTAAAACAATCAATATTATTTAATTGCACATGACAATTATTGGCAGTCTGTTTTGAATTTTCTCATGTGACAGAGTTCAGATAATGCAGTCTACGATAGCAATAAGAATTTTTGAAAAATTAACTTTGTTTTCACAATTTTTACTCGAGTTGGGGTAAATTTGGGGTTTATGTTACTATAACGTTAACCTATTAAATCAATGTTTTTGTTTGAAAAGTTGTTGCTTTGTTTTGCCCTACAAGCACACTTGTTCTGTTTTGTAACACCGAATAACTCGCCACAATTTTAGCAATTTCTTTCCATATCTTGCAATATGCTCATCGTTTATTGGGTTTCCAGATAACACCAACAATAACAAACACAAATTCACTTTGCTTGGATCTTGCTTCGACATCTTCTTTCTTTAAAATTTAAACAACTTTTCACGAAAAGCTCGCCGACATACGAAAAAATTTTGCAAGCTTTGGTAATAACTGAAAAAACATCTACGAATGAAATGTATGACACGACGTATTGTCAACTGTGGCTCGCCGGAAAAGCGGTCACGTCAAAAATATCGAGGTAGCCTGGCACAATTTATATTCTCTGCAACAACAATTCATATATTTCATGTTTTCGCCCATTTTACAGCCGATGACTCACTGAAGACGGTTGATGCGAGGCACAAATCATCGAATGACCTTGTTGACAACATGCAACCAAACAAGATGCTTGTCGACGCAAAACAGATTCAAGGGCACAAACCGAAACAGATGTTGACATAAATTGACCGTGGGATAATCCACTTTATTGATTGCTTTTCAGATTACGATAATATCAATCACCGATCAATCGGATGAAATCAAATTGTTTGTTGACTAATTCCATTGCGGCCCATATACTTAAGGAGTTATTGATTAACTGTAGCGATTAACGAGACGCAACAACCACTAATACCAGCAGTTTCCCAGTATTCGACCTTGTAAAAATGGACTTCCTTCATTAACTATAGATAATTCAGTAACAATCTTAGTTCATCGTAGAACAAGATCAGCCATTTTTTATGTGCATTTTATTAATGCATCAGCAACACAAACCAATGACAATACTTTAAAATTAATCTTTATTCTATCATTTCAAACTGGAATTTCATTAAGATTGAAATAGTGAAAATTACATTATTCAATATTAGGATAAAATTAAAGTTTCTGGTACCACATAATCATGCAACATCTATCACAAAAACAGTTAATAAGACAATGTACCGTTAGCCATTTTAAATTACAAACAATAGTACCACTTTTATGAACCGATATATAGAGCAATGGATAAAATGCCCCAAATATAATACAATACATTGGCCAATTTTTATATGTGAAACTATTCATAAAAATGCTGCAATTTAAAATTAAAACAAAGCACATACATATTTTGTGTACAGTAAATTGCTCTCGGAGTATGATGAATGAATGTCAATTGCTTAAAAACCTAAGGAATAACTACAATAAAGGGATTCGACATGAAGAAGCCTAGAAGATTGTGACCAGTAATGGTACATCAAAAGAAATGACAACTCAAGAAAAAATGAATATACAACAAGCAAATTTTTTGATGAATAAGCCTTATAAGTCAATCTTAAGTCCATGTTTGTTTATGGTAGTTAAAAAATGGGTGAAAAAGTGTTATATTAGAGGATATTGAATTGAAGTTCATGGAATTAATTTTGAATTCGTCTACAGTGCAACAGATGTATTCTTGCGGCGTTCGTATAGGATGCTTCCAAAGGCACATGATGCCAAGGAGAAGATAAGAACTGCAAAAGCAGTTAGAGAACCAAGAAGACCACGCAGCTTAATATTAGTGCATCCAGGGCTGATATGTGAAATGGTTGGACAATTGCCACAGACATTTGGCGCAATGCATTCACCTCCATTACAACCATCTTCGCAAACAGCTTCATCACAATTTGCCCCACTCCATCCACCTTGGCATCCATTAGCACACCCTCCAGTCACCGAGTCGCATGTACGATCGTACACTCCTTGTACTTCTGTATCTTGAGGGTTGTGACAGTAACCACAGAAATTTGCGCAATTCGGTCCCCAGTATGATTGAGGACACAATGTAGTTGAATTAGAGGCAGCATTTGTGGCTGAAACAGCACAGACTGCAATGATCAAGATAATAAGGTTTTGCATTCTGGAATTATCTACAGTTTACTAAATGAACTGAAGGAAATTTGTGGTTAAATCTGAAGCAGAAAAAAACAGGATTAAATCAATATCTGCATATGATAATTCGTTGAATTGACAATTCTGCAATTTGAGTAAGGTACCGGTAACTAAGTACTTTAGTACCGTATTTCTATATTATCTTTCAGAACCAGCTCTAGGCTATCTGTCTAGAAAAATGTGTGATGGCCTATCGTTATCGAACTCTTTGGCAAAGACTACAGCAAATTGATGATTCAGCATATGATTCTGGATACTGTAATAGGTATAAATTTATTTCGACTCCATAATGAGCATAGAAGACAATAAAAAAATGAATAAAAACAAAATAAAACTTATTACTGAATCAGGAACAGTCTACCGATAGGCCTACCCACTGTACTTGAGGCAGTATAGTTACCAAAACAGCTTATACAGTTATACGAACACATTTTCTTGAACTGCGAGCTTAAAGCAGTTGGACTTAAATACAATCAACTACTGTCACACTGTATATATCCCAACCTTTGGCAGTACTACATAACGCTCCACGGAGAACGCTAGCTCAACCACGACAAGCCGCAGCAAAGGAACAGGCTGGGAAACGAGCGAGCGAACGACCTTTAGAAGGCAGCCGACGTTAATCAATAACCTGAGGTGCGAGAAAAAGGCACAGCTGCGAGCAATGAAAAAAATCGCGACCTCGGTCACGCAACAGTTCAAAATTGCGTAATAAATTATATTTTGATAAGCTATTAATTTTTTAAACTACTATTAAATCAATTATCTTCAAAAAAGAACTATAATGTTAATTATAATGAAATTTGGCAAGTATTTTTCGGTATTTTATTGCTGGAAAGCACGGAGCCTCAACCTAAAAACCTCTTGTCCACAACGATAAATTGACATGCCTCTTTTTCAACCGCCACCATGGGACACCAGAACATTTGGCATTCACACCCTAGAAAATACGGTCGTGGGTCGCGATATTGGTAAGTTATTTAATTTACTGTTAGTTTATAGGTTATCATACATATTTCAAACATCCCAGTATAATGCCGTGTTTAACGGCATATCGCCTTACGCAGAAAATGGGACTTGGAAGAATAGAAACCAAGAAGCTGAAAAAATATTTTCCCCAGCTGCTTCCGTCTGTGCTATATCATTCATGGTCAAGAACAGTGGGTATGATATGGAAATGAGAATTGTAATGCCACTATTTTATCAATTCTCTCCATCGGGAAGAAGTACATAATAAGGACTGAATCTTCTATTAGTAGGGCACAGTTATCACATTCCAAGAATAGCCCTAACATTGAAATACATCACTTATAACAGTGAGTGCAAGCCCTTTTATTCGACAGTCTGGACCTCCATATTATCAATCACAATCTAGAAATGTCACCATTGGATTCTTTGAATAAATAATCCCTATTTACTGAAGGAATTTTTTTTATCATAGCATTTGAATATATTGAGCAAAAAAATGCATGTTTGGTTATGTGAAGGGTGTGATAAATTCAGGTTATTATCGGGACGAGCATGGCGCCATATGACACATCTTCCATGCCAGTCATCCTCGTTTCAGAGGCAAACGGGATGTTTGTTTTATTGAACCAAATGTCTTGGAATCGGAGAACTGTGCCCTACTGGCCACAGCATCATTTTATAATGCTACTATATGCAGAAATGCAATAGCAGAAACATTGAAATCCACCTAAAATATTTGATTATCGGAAAGCTCAAAACTTCAACCAGTCAATATTCAGTTCTATCTTGAGAGAAATCTATGTTCACCTCATGCACAGATGCATCTGAAACAACTGATTTGACTATTCTCATGGCGAACATGGACTGGTAATCGGATGAGAGGTTAAGCCGTTGTCTCTCCTGATAAATATAAAATTCTTGTCCTATCCTCTTTTAACATATACGACCCAGTCTTGGGCCAGAATGATGAGAACTTGGAATTACCGTATGATCACTGTGATTATACATTTGCGGCTTTATTCTCTGACTGGCTTTTGAATTCCAAAAAAGTTTCATTGATTTTTACTGCAGAATGTAGTATTCCGGTATTATGAAATTCTGGAATTGCGTAAATTTTTTAGACTAAATTTTATATCGGAATAGCAGTATAACTGTATAATACCGCCTTTGCTATGTGATTACTGTTACTATTTTGGTACTCAATATGCAGTATGTTTTGAACAAATACAGTATTATGAATTATGGAAAATCACTTCTGTTACAGTCGCATCACTGGAAACCGTCATGGTCTAATTAGAAAATATGGTTTGAACATCTCCCGCCAGTGCTTTCGCGAATATGCAAAAGACATAGGATTCCAGAAGGTACATATTAGTTGGATAAAATTTATGCATTATTTTTTGTTCCACGAAATGGATTGTCTGATGATGAAAACATGGAATTACCGTCTGTTTCATGATGAAAATCTAGCGGCTTATATTTCTGATGGACATCTGTATAATTATTCCTCTTACTTGATGTGGACAAATTTCTATTATTCTCAAATATATGGCTTATTTAATTGAAAAAACTAGTATTTGACACTCATTTAATCTTGTGGGCTGGGCCGTCAATTCCCACTGCTGGGCTTGAAATTTAAAAAATATATTATGGAATATATATGATATTAAATGGAATATACTTCAAAAACTATGATATACTAATTTTGGTACTGCGACAATATAACTAAACTTAGTTTGCTCAAACTAGTGATCACCATGTAAAAATATTTTTCTTTCAACAGCTGGACTAAATAAAAAGATATATATTTCCTGTTGATGTGAGTGTTGTACTGTTAATTTATTTACATATGCATAAAAGTGTTTGCACAGTGATGATACTTTGGAATTACCGTCTTATTACTTATGCTGAAAACTGTGCGGCTATTTATCTGAGTGCTATCCATTCTCAAGTTAAATTACACCTTGTGTATCTGGCATGTGATTAACATATCACTTCTTTCACAGGTGTCTACTTGCAGGTCAAACCATGGAGTTCGGTTCATTACAGTAATAAATTGTATATCTGGAATTCAAATGACCTTTTTCCTCTTCTAAGGTGTGATATTTCAGTAGGTCAAATTCAGGCTAATCATCATCAGTACTAAAAGTGGTCTCATAATTGAACGAGAGTGATGACCATATAATAGCAGGGTTATCGTCCTTTATGTAATTTCTGTATAAAAGCATGGATAGGTATAAGGCGTGAGACGGACCAGCTGAAGACTGCTGTTTAGTGGTATGGAATATACCTTGAGTTAGGTTCTGCCATTATGTAACTTTCAAATATCTTGAAAAGCAGGCTTTCTTGCACTAAATGTCTGTTTCGTTATTATGACATAGAAAGGCGAGAATTCGTCTTTGATCATTCCTGTTAAAAATGATGTTTGCTATACAGCAGGGGTGGCCAACCTGCCTCGCCCGAGGTCGACTGATTGGTAGGTAATAAGGTAATGCGCATAAACGAATGGGTATTGAATATGCAGATAACTGCACACACGCATACAAAAATTGACCACTCGACTCTGTATGCGCATTCTTAATAAAATCGCCACAAATTCGTGTTTCCCACGTTTCATTGAATTTGATTATGTAATTGTAGCGGAGAAAATATTTCATCGTTTATTTAATAAGATTCAGGTCTAAAACCTGCCTAGTTTTCAAGTGTTTGGATTTTCTCAAAAAACATTGCCAAGTATAAATGTTACACGACTGCTTAACCTTCAGTATAAAATTTGCAATTTTCTTAGATCGCATTCTAATGCCACTGCTGCTGTTGCAAATAATAAATATCGGACTACTCTTGAGGCGATAGAATAACTTTTGATACCGCAGGTTATTGTGGGATCGTTTGTCAGTCGACACCGTCAATTTTTGGAGGAATGTTGGTAAATTCACTAACATCAGACTCAACGTGGCATGCAATACTGTATATTGAGTAGGATAGTTTGACGATAAAATCTTGTTTGTTATTCCGGTGACCCTAAAGTTCCATATTAAGAACACAAATGTGTAGATATGCGCACTCGTGAAAAAGACAGCTGAATTTTGTATCAAATATCAGCAAACCTGAGACTTCAGTAAAAATACCAGTTAAAAACAGCAAAGGTACATGCTTTTGTGGGACTGGAAAATAAAGGGAATCTAAATATTTTCATCGGAAAGCAGTGAAAATTTGAAATTGGATGGCCGATAAGTTGCCTGAGCGATTTTTCACAGATTTCACGACGGTGATCTAGAAACTTGACCGATTCTGATCCGTTAAAATGCAGTTATGCACTGGAGAGTTTGTATTTACTGAACACATAGTTGGCTACCTTTGGGTCCTTGACTACTACGAGCCATTTGCGAATCGACTGCGCTGGGTCCCAATATAGGTAGAGATAACAACAAACAAAAATTAAGGTTCTTGTAGAATAGCATGAATTGCCTTAATATATTATTAGCAGTGAAGTCACGATTAAAGTTGTCGTGCGGGTCATCCGTAAGTAAGTTTATTTCGATTTTCTGTCTGAGTGAGAAAAGTGTCTGAGCGAATGCGAAAAGGGAGCATTGTTACGTTACTTTTTGCATCTTGCTGATTGACCAAAGTCACGTAGTAAACAAGGAAGTTGATGCTCGAGGAAAGGTCCATAGGATGAATTTCCATGGGGGTCGGGGAATTATCTATTACACGTCAGTGGACATAACGATCGTTTTGCATTATTTTTGAACACCTAGTGGAAAACTTAAAAAGTCGCCTAATGGATTTGTTTTTATGCTGGACTCTTCTTTCTGCTTTTTTGATCACGTGCTCATCGAACGTCGGTGGCGTGTAACGAAATCCATGCTCTGCTCTGGCGAGCAGCGTCGTAGGTACCGGCAGGGTTGCCATATTGGCTATTTCAACGCCAAATTTGCCATTTTTCAAACGCATTTGGCGTCAGAATTTCCGTTTGGCTTTTTGGCGTTTTTTTGGCTTTTTTCAAGTCTATTCTAGCGTCTATTATTAAAATCATATGAAATACAATATTTAGTGTGTAACAACTGAACAATAGCCTATTACCTGTACTTAGCTACTTCACATTAGGCTATCACGGAGCATCGATTTCCTTGTTTGTTACATCAACTCTTAATCATACCCAATAAGAAATAATTGCAGTTTCTGCAGCTGCTCAGACAGATGTTCAAGCAGGGTTCTAAACATTGCCTCGTTTTTGTAGTTTTGCGTGTTATTTGTCAGTTTTTAGCTCTGTTTCCAAAAAGTAGTTGTATATCTTAATTTTCATTATGCCTGATAAACCATACCATATGTAAGCCTTAGTTTAATTCTGCAATTACAGTAATCAAAATTTAGTCTCACGAACGATGTGATTAACTACGCTAAAATCAGAGCCATTATAAAACATGGCTCTGCTAAAATTACTGAATTGGATATCAGTGGTCCACCTGTGACTGTGAGCGGCACGGGGTTAGATAATTTTTTAATAAAATTGATGGTTTATAAATTAAAAAGTGAAAAAATATCCTATAGTAAAATACGATATAGGGAGAATTTTTTAAGGTATATCACAAGTTCAAGTAGAAACATGTAGGTATATTACATACTGAAGCGGCACCTCGTATTGTATATATTGAATGGTAAAATAATTCAGTGCGCCTGATATTTATTTCACCTTCTACAGTTCTATAGGAACTTTACTTTCTATTTCTGTGCCTCACTGAATGAACCGATGGCTCTACATCATCATCAGTACGTTGCCAAGGGCTTAAAATCGAACAAATCATGGGGCTTTTGTACTTAGTAAAATTGTTGGCTTTTTCTGGCTTTTTTTGTGTCTTGATTTGGCTTTTTTTGATCGCTGGGATCTGGCAACCCTGGGTACCGGTAACGTCAAAGTAAGAACTGCTCCGCTCTGACGGACGTGTCCATATATTTGGGCATTGCTCTCTTGTTGATGTACTGATTATTTGCATGATGTGATGTAAAAAAGGATTACGATGTAACAAAACATAACAAAAAATAAATTTATAACAAAGTTTACCAGAGAAACTAGACCTTTGTGCCAGAATTTTATTTCAACAACAGGAACGCAAATGCAATGAAATGTCCAACTGGAACGCCGTTCCGTCTACAGCTCACCACTGCACGTAACTAATAGTCTTCTGTACAATAAACAACAATAATACTAAGGCAGCGTAAAACTGAACAGCAACAAATAAATTAGGATATATATATATATGACAAGAGAATGCCGTGCCCTGGCGTTCCAACTCCAGTATAGGGCAATGGCTTTCTACCCTGGCGGACCGATAAAATTTAATCAAATTACCTCGCGGACCCGCAAAAAATTAAAATGAATAGAACAGAAAATATTAACATATATTTGCGTAATACACGGTAATGCAATATCGGGCTAACTCACTGTTATATGCTTCTAGTTGAAAAAAGCACATTTGAAAACATTTTACGGAAAAACTATCAAATATTATGCCGCCAAAAATTGAAATGGGTGAAACATATAATACCATATATTTTGCGTAATAAAATGCAGTGCTGGGCACCCATTATGTGTAAAAAAGGCACAACGAAAACATCTCATATAAAAAACATGTACATGCCAAATCATGTACAAACACAATTATTTCTAGTGAGAATTTTGCTGCTGTATCGTTTCCAACATAGAATTGCAAAATAGTCTTCAACGAGGTTTCTGCAACACGTAGCTCCGCAGCGGCGTTCAGTCGATTTCTTTGCTTCGTTTTAAAGCCAGGGATGTAGAGTTAGGTTTTGCGCATGATTAACTAGTTGAAAATGCGGATAACAGTTTGATTACTCGAGTACTTAGCGATGTGTATTCGATACCAAAAGATATCCAGAATTGTGGCAGTCATTCTCCTTTAATTCTGGAATCACAACTTCAACCAACTTTTTTCATCGGGTTTCATCATATTAATCTCTCTGCAGTTGATCGACGCCTCAGACAAAATGAATTTACATTAGAATGACAGGGTCGCTGGTAACTTGGCACCAGACCTAAAATCCTGATGTGCATCACCTGGAAACGATCTGAGCGGACCATGATTTTGTTGCGCGTCTCGTGACCACCTGCAGGGTCGCAACAAGTTCATATCTCACTGGATGTCGAGGCGAAGCCCTGCAATATTATACTGTTCTTTATGATTTAAACCAGGGGTGTGCAACCTTTTTCGCAGGCGGGCCAAATATCAATAACTGGGTAAAACCGCGGGCCGCACCTTCACTTAACGTGGGCTTTCTATTAGTTGCATGCACGAAATAGAGTCTTTTTGTAATTGAACTCATGTCGTCATCATAAAGGGTTCTTGCAGGAATAATGGGTTAAAACGCATAAATTTCTTAAAACTATAATTCAAATATATTGTCACACCCAATTTAAACAAATTCAGTGAGAAATTTGCTGCTGGATTCTTTTCCCGACTACTTTTATCCAAATTTGCTTAAATAGAAGTGCTAGCAATTCGATATAACGTCTATTCTAGTAAAAAATATGTAACCCAAAAGTGCCATGTTTGAAGCCATGACTTTTTTCAAGTGTGGATAGTTATCTTGGTTGAGATGTTTTCAGTAAAATACGCCAAGATTCATTTCCAAATACTTTGCTGTCAAATCCTATTCTAGATTAGATTTAAACAAAATTAACTGATAGGCTGGAACCAAAACTCATTTAGCTTTTGTATCTCATTTTTCTCTTAATATTAAACTTTTTCAAACTGCTTTCCAGTTGCCTAATCATCAATTGCCCGTTGTAATAAATTCATTAGCGTCTGCTCCGTATTTTCATATGTTCGCCGCTCGGCAAGTGACAGCTTTGTGAATCATGTTGTTCGCTTCGATGTTACGACGTTGTAAAGTCATAGACATAGATAATAAATTGGACTCGAATATAATCTTTGCAGCGCAAAGGGAAACAGATCAAACTAAATTAAAAACTAGTTTAGCTGGCCACACACCCTTCGAAATTGGCACTTCTCCGCGGGCCGCACGATTTCCCCTCGCGGGCCGCATTTGGCCCGCGGGCCGCACTTTGCACACCCCTGGTTTAAACGAAGAAATATACATACCCTTTTCTTTGGATGGTCATATTGAGCTGGAAAAGCATGTAGAACAGAAAATGCACACGTGCCCATTTTTACTATTCCAAATCTTGCGTGTTTTGACGGAGCGCTTTCGCGATGATTCAAAAGCGGAAAGTGTGATTAACGGCGCCAAGACGTCGACGAGCTATTAATGCCGCACTTATCAAACAGCAATACGACGGCGGAAGAGAAGTTGCGTAATAAAACAAACGCAACTTCGTCTTTTCGGCTTCGGAAAAGCGATTGAGACGGCAGAAAAACAAAGCAAGGAAATTTCTCGCGGACCGGCACCGTTCCGCGGTTTGTGAAACTTGTAATGCGCAAGCAGTCCCTTATTTGTGAAATCCATTTTCAAATTTCAGACCGCACGATAGCCAATTTGCGAAGAAATAGCCTTCTGTTTTGAACTTTACTGTCATTTATATATATGATTGTCCTCTGCTCTACGTCTGAAATCGAAATCTATTCCAATAACTGATAATTTTTTGCATACGAGTGAACTTAAATTTCTTACTGTCCATGCTATCTAGCTACTCGATTTGATATTTGCAGATTTGCTTTAACAGTGCTTCGTGGCCCTATCCAAATCTGTGTAGGAGAACGTACGCTTTGTGCAGTAATATCGGAGTGAGTTGCGTAAACCATTCCCAACTTTTGTTTTTCCTTAGTTTTCACGTGTGATTCTACGAATTTCCACGGCAATACCCCT